CCTCCTTTTGTTGAAACTATTTAATACTGTTGTATTTAAATTCAAATTAAAATTGTGTTTTCTTTCATACAGATGCTCCTTAAATTTAAAAAAAATTGTTCGATTTAGTATTCTTTAACTATCGTTTTAATTTCTCTGAAGTTTTGTCCTATATATTTTATATCGCAATCAAGTTACTTTGCAAACCCCGCTTTTTGACAAGTTGTCAACCTTGTCTTTAGGTTTTGAGAGGATGTTTCACTTGGAAAAAAATTCTGTTCAAATCAAATATAAATTAATTAAATTTGTCCTTTTTTGGAAACGCTACGTAGACGATATTTTATGCATATGATCGGGAACCCCTCAGGACCTAAAAGAATTCCTCCATTTAATTCCTACAATTCACGTTGGGAGACTTGTTTGTATCTCACCTGATGATGAGTGATTATTTAATACTCGAAATCCGAATAGCTGCCTAAAACTTCTGTGAGTAGTTTCCATCTTTTTATCTTTTCCAAAAAAGAAAATGGCAGTGATATTCGACTGATTTATAATATGATCTTTATGATGAATTGACCGGATCAAAGCTAATTCATATAGTTTGATTGTTTCCGATTACATATTTTGATCTGTCCGTCAGTGCCGCCATTGCAACCGCCTTTCCCTGCTTATATCCTCGTCAAGCGATGAAGATGCCGCATTGCTAAACGCATCTTGTAAACCAAATGATCGTAAATGATCAAAATACAAGCACCAATTTTATTTAAGTTTTTAATAAGAAAAGGACAAGATGATCGTGTTAAAGAGGAATTAATGGATATTGTGGGATTTCCTCTTGGAGTCTGTGGTGAGAACCTGTGTTTGGTCGTTTCTTATTATTTTGGTCTGTCAGACGCGTTTTAGCATTTTCAGTGCTCGGCATTCAAGGAATGACATGATAAAATAATGGCAAACATACAATAAATAATGTAAAATGTTCAAAGGACAGCTATCGTTAAAAGTTTTTAAAAAACCCACCTGAAATATAAAGAAATGTTATGCTTTCTTGTATGTAATTTGGTCATTCCTCCAGATTCGTATATCTTTACTTTTGGCAGAAGTTTGGTCCTAACTGCTTTAAATTAACTTAAAATGTAGTCAATGGTAAAATTTAAAAAAATTGAATGGGAACTTAATTTATAATTTACCATTAAATTCTGTAAGCGTTTGTTTCAGTTCCTTCCAATTATAAAATTGGTCTAACTGGTTTCTTCATTGTCTTTATTTTGTCTATGCTATACTTTAAGTTTATTCTTTTGTACAAAACTCTCTGAACATCTCTGAAACAATACTAAAAGCAAATTTTGACATAAGTGCCACCCTCTAAAAATGTCTCGAAGTCATCTGACAGCAAGTTTAGGCAGGCCAAAATTATCGGGAACGACCAACCTATTAGGATATGATATTTTGAGATCTGATAAGTGATAAAATTGTAGTTTGGTCGTCCCCGATCATTTGGGCCTTCTAATATCTTATATCTTTATGTTTTACATACTAAGTTCGTTTTATTTGTCAGTAAAACATGTAAGGTAAACATATCCTTCAGTGAACATTGGAAAGAAGCCGAAACACATCTGACATACCAAAATAGGGAGTTTAGGCAGACCATAATTATCAGAAACAACACAACTACAATTATTATACTGAGAAATTTCCTCTTTAAAAAAAATTCCTTTTTTGATCCCTCACAGGGTTTATGCATTTCGCCATCTTCAGTGCCCCTTCTTATTGCCGTGACGCCTCGAACAGCGACAGCTCAAAATGGTGAATTTCGGCAGGCGACACTACAATCCCTATTTTCACTTCAATTTAACATTTAATTATCAATAATTTTAAAATTCTGTTGACTTTTTGGATCCGATTATGTTTCATGATGCTTATAGGGAAAATGTTCTTAACGTAAAATTTGATCAGGAATAGTGTTTTGTAAGAAATTCTTCAGCTGTTAGAGCATATCAATTAGTAAGTAAAAGCAATTTTCATTTATTTAATTTTTTATTATTTTTTACGTTTTATTAACGCAAATATTGTAAGGTGTTGATATCACTTCAAATATCCTCATTAAAATCAATAAATGAAATAATCGTTTCATAAAAGTGAATTGACTGTGGTAAGTCAGTAATCTCAAAGTATTAGTGATTCTGCCGAAATTGTTTTCAGACAGATAAGGTTTTTCCCCCCACATAATCCGGCACTTAAGGTTTACAGCTGTTGACTTTGACCGAAGAAAGGAAAAGTTCCATTTCCAGACGGACACATCCACTCGGCAGAAACTTTTACACCGAGGCCCTTGGAACGTCGAGGCCGGAGGACGGTGAAACATCAGAGAAAAGGCCGTTTGCGGTGAGCCAAGTCGAGAAATTACTCATCACTGACAGTTTTCGATACGGTCGGGCAAAGAACAAAAAAGTGTTGAACTCGAAACGCCTCTTAAAGACAATAATTAAAAATAGAGAAATAAATAAAGATGAAAGCGGCCTTAATGATGCTTAGACAAATTGTAATAAAAACTTGCTGCTCGATCATCATGTCAGATGCTGCAAAAAATGCTGCTTCAGAACCGGTTGTTGTATCTCAACATTCCTTGCTACCTTTATTGGATTGAACTAAAATGAGCTTTTATTCAATTTGAAAAATAGGAAACACCTTCAATTTAAACAGATTTCCCCTTTTTTTTTACTTAAGGGGCTGAAGCTCAACTGTTATTGAAGGCTACGATGGGAAATAATAATTGAACAATGTGCACACTTTAAGCAATAACATTTTCCTTGAGTTTGGCGTAATTACACAGGAGAAAAAAATGTAATGTTAGCAGTCTGGCTCACACAATTTTACATGAACGAGAGGTCCTTGAATTTTGAATTTATAAATTTCTTTTATTTTATTTGTAGTACAATACAAGTACCTTCAAAAAGGTACCATGTAAAATGAGAGAAATACATTGACAGGCAAAAAATTCCACTCACTTGTAATATAACTTGATTTATATACATTTTTATATATTAATCACAGTTTCACGTTTTTAACGTTTAATAATTGAGTCTTTGTCGAAAAATTAAAAAAAAGAAGTAAATTGCTAAGGCAAATGAAATAAAAAAGCCGTACATATAAAATTTGTTTTAGATTTTTAATTAACACTTCCATATCGCGTATTTCCTCCTCTTGTTTTCATTACATCGAGACGCCTCAGCATACTTTCTACCATTTTGGAAATGCCTCTTTGCTGGAGGTTAGCCCATTCTTCACGAAGAGTCCTTTTAAGGTTGTGGAGTTATCAGGAAGTGATGGACGTGCTCTTTTGAGGTTATCCTATAAATGTTCGAGGGTTCAATGGGCTAGCCAGGCTAAGACCCTGATGTTATGCTGTTGAAGGTACCTTTGTACTGTGGGAGCGACATGTGGACGAGCATTATCGGGCATTAGATTAGGATTGTCGCTAATTTCATCGAGGATAGGCAACGCATGGTGTTCCAAAATTTCATCCACCTAGCAAGTGGCTGTCGAAGACCCTCTACGAACAACACCAACTCTTTGCGACTCTCCATTGAAATTCCCGCTCACACCATCACTGAGCTGAGTTGAAAAGGTTTGCTCTGGGAAAAATTACAGTCTTCATACCTTTCATTTCGCCTTCTCCACACTCTTTCACGCCCATCTGAAGATCGTAGGGCAAATCTACACGCATCTGTAGAAAGTTCAGCAGAACAATCGTTCAAAGACCAATGTTCTCGAGCAAATGCGAGCCGTGCAACTCTGCGTTCTGGTCAATTCTGGTCCTCTTACGGGCAAGAAGCCATTAGTCCATACTGATTTAATGTTCTTCGAGCAGTGCGTTCAGAAATTTGGATACCTCGAACTTTCTGTAGCCGGTTTCGCAAAATTATCCAAGTCAAAAAAGGGTCATCCTGTGGTTCTGTTTGTTACCGTAGGATGTCCACGACCGGGTACTTTTTGATTTCTCGAAAACGTCTAACGGCGTCTCGCAGTGTTTCGTAGGGAACTCCGATGGCAATAGCCGCATGATGAACGTCCATCATCAATGATGCAAACTAAACAGTTTATTGCTTCAGAATTCAAATGAGGCTGAATTAATATTTTAAATTCAGTAAAAAGTAAACATCGAAAAATCCTTTATCTTTGTTTTGGATTAAGGAATAAGTGTGTTTATCTCTAATTGATATTCCCAATTTAAAACATAGCTTAAAGAAATATCTATTGTAAAAAAATAAGATAAATTAAGGGCAGAATTTTCTTTTATCCAGAAATGAAAAAAAAAATCAATTGAGTGGACTTATTTGCCTGCCAGTGTTTGTACAAAATTAAAAACAAGAATGGAGAAAATACCCGTAGTACTCCAATGATAGTAAAATGTTGTCTGTTTAATTAATATTTGTGTCATTATCACTTTCACTATCATCACCATCATTTCCAAGAGGATCTCGCGGCCATCTCTTCAGTCGGCGAGGAGGGTTCGAGGGAATTCGTCGGGATGCGAAGTTTCTGATGTGCTGATTTACGGTGGTTGGGAGGATTTCGTGAAATTTGAGGCAAAGGTACTTTATACGTGTGTGATGTTTAGTGACCGTTAATCAATGATTATTTGGAGGTCGTGAGAAGCGGTCTGGTGTGACGTAGGTTTTCGATAAACATTTTCTTTATCATGCCAACGTTTCGATCTTTATTGAGATCATCTTCAGAGCTCGAAATGTTTGTTTACTGTGTTGAGACTGCCCAACACGACACAGGAATGACACATCTACACAGAAACAAACACTTTGAGCCCTGAAGATGATCTCGATAAAGATCGAAACGTTGGCATGATAAAGAAAATGTTTTACAAAAGTCACACCAGACCGCTTCTCACGATCTCCAAATAATCGGTAATTTATACATTAATCCGTGAATGATTAGAACATATAAAATATCAAATACATTTTAATGTCTCCAATAGGATTGTCTTTGTTTTTTTAGAGATACTCCTAAAGAGTTGAGAAATTCTTATAAAAAGAACTAGTGAAAATGTCGCCATTGAAATCGGAAAGATAATTAAGATCGAAAATGGTTTTTGAGAAATAACCGTGCACTCTAAACACCTCAAATGGACTTACACGTACAGCTACGAAAGTGAGTTTGTCACGTAACATTTTTAATCTTAATTATGGCGGTATCAGTGTTTCTAAATTCAATATTTATGAAGTCTTGTTTAAAAAAAAAAAATGTCACAAGCTGAAATACATTACCGAAAAATCTTTTTATAAAACTTGTTATCGATTCACTTTCATTTTGGATTCAAGTTACCTGATAGCAAAATGATTTTTTGACATCTTTGCTATGAGTTAATTTGTTTTTTGTACATATGAATCCAAGCTAGGTTTGAAAATTGCGAATTTCGTTCAGTATCTATTTAATCATTATTTTCCTATACATGTTTTCTCCTTAAAAGATGTTTTACATTCGTTATATATTCGATATTAGAGGTTAGGAGGTGAAAAATGAAGGGGTTAAATTTGCAAAAGATTAATGAATACTCTAGGTCTACTACCACTCCCATGATCATGTTATGGGAAATGTGCTATTGGTTAAGTTTGCTTAAGACTAAGTTCTACGTAGATATTTAAATCTAGTTTAGTTATAATTTAATTTATTTAAATTTGATTTGATATCTTTGATGGCCTCGTATTATTGAATTCAATTTTCTATAATAATCTTCAATAATTTTTATGTTAACGGTTGTTGTAGTGAAATTTGAGCTTGTAGATCATCGTGATTCTTTTACAAAAGTAATAACATTTCCTTATAATGCTTATCATCGTTAGCATCTAAATTACTAGTGATAAATATGACAAAGGTGCCAAGACCATCGATTAAACCATTTTGTATCTTCTATGGTTAACAGTTTCTAATTTTTCATAAATCCTATCTCTAGTTTAATTTATTAACTTACAGTAGTTATTAAAAGTGTTTACCTTTACTTTTTATCATCAAAAAAGTCCTTATCAACTAAGTTTTTATCGCTATACAAATTATCTACTATACTAAGATACCATCAATATAATTCAATTGACGTAAAATTTTATGAACTCGAAATAATGTACAAATGTGTATTCGGACTTTTGCATTCTAGGTTCCCCTGGTTTGACGGGTATAATTCCAGGATTGGTTGTTAATTTACTACTCGTGAGTCCGAAACGTTGGAAGAAACTGGAACATCAAAATTGTAAGTCTGGGTTTGTTGGTTTTTAATGTTCAAAAGTGTATTAAAATGTGTAAGTAATATTTATCTTGAGAATTTTTGTGGGCAGGAATAATTCGCGCTGTTTGTAATATGGTGTTCACACAAGTTATTTTTGCTGGCTTAAATTTAGAAAGCATCTTACACTGTTTTTGCTTATTCTTAATGAAAGTTCAGGTATCTGTGTTAGTGCTTCTCAATTTTTATTTGATTTGCCTATGACTTGTTCCATATTTATGATTATATTTTCTTTACATTTTCCTTTAGTCTGTTAGTAACAGTTTAATCTTATCTTTATGCGACTTTACATAAATAAATATCAATTCATTCACCTTCAAAATCAACAAAACACAAGTTCAAGTTAAACCTTTCATATTGCATTCAGCTGCAGCCCTTTATGCTTCAACATAAGGGTTTTTAGCCAAAATACCATCAAGGGCTTAGAAACCGCGCGGACTATTTTTTTAAATTCTCTGGGTGTCCTGAACGTGCATCCACAACATTCGGAGTCTGTATATAGTTGACTGTATGACGGAACTACATCCTCACGTAGCACAAATCTGATCGATGAATCAGAACCTTGTATTTAAAACAGTAATGTCCAACGCATGGAATCCTTTCTTTATCGCAGAAAAGGAGTCAAATTAATAATAGTCAATAAATTTGGACAATTAAGGAATAAATTTAACTCCAAACTGATTTGTTTTTCTCGGAGTGAATAAGGCCATTGTGGCAGCATGTGTAAAATGGCAGTTGGTTTTCTCGATTTCAATGTGCACACATCTAACAACAATCTTCTGGTTGTTGGTTGTAACCCTAAGCCGTGCTTGGGTTTGGAGTTTTCGTACAACATAGATTGTCGAAATCGAATAAGGAGCGAGTAAGGCTGATTTTTTCGTGTTTTTCTCATGACCCGAACGGAAAAATGCCCTAGCTTGGTGGACGGTCAATTCTTCCTTGATTTGATCCCAACTATCACACTCTTAAGGTCAGTGGTTTGTACAACAAAATACAAAATACAAAAAAAAATTATAAAGTAAATAAATACAATATAATACAAATTAACGGTTATATGGATAGTCAAAGGCCACTGAATAGTACAACAACAAAATATAATGCACAACTAAAAAAAAGATAATAAACAATAACACAACATTATTAGTACTGAAAAGTACTGTAACTGCAAGGCGGAGAGACGTGCTCAAGGCCGACGGATGATCGTCCTACGATTAATAATTTATACTTTTGATAATTTTTCAAATAAATTTGAGGTCAGGGCTCAATCAAGAACGCGGTTCGACTGTAATTTTGATCGACGTTTCAGGCATTCACAATTATATATGTTAAGCGTATAAATCAGTTATTAAGTATAAATAGCTAGTTATTATATATAGCGTTTTTAGTTAAAAGTATATAATTCCAACTTTTCTACACACTTTTCCTAGGGAATATATTTAATAACTTAAAGTAGAAAATTTAATGCAAACTCTAGAATTTATGATTTTTGAGACCTTTGACAATCGATTGAATCATTTATTGTAGGGGAAAGTTTGAGAAGAAAGAACAGGCCAGGATTTTCATTATTAGCTTTTAATTCGTCACAAAATAGCAATTGAATGATAATTAAACATGTTTAGAGGTAATAAAGTATCTGTCAGAAAAATGTTTCATTTATTACCACTTGGGTTGCTGTGGTGGGATTTGGAATTTCATAGAATATTATTTTTGATGCACTTGCAATTTTTTGAACCGCATATTGTTGTGCAGTTGCTGAAGCCACTCATAGAACTGATGAATGAATTTCATGATGAACGTGATGAATTTCACCGGAATTCAGGGATCGTTCATCGCCAACAGTGAATTGAGATCTGGCGTAAAGCTGTTTCCTTTTTTAGGCCCAAGTTTGAAGAAATTTTCGTCAGTGATTTCCATTACACAAGCCAAAATTTTACGGGCATCGGCTTTTCCACGGTTCACATCTGGTACTTGTAATCTGACTGTGACTCCTACCAGAACTGAGTTTATAACTAAGTTCGTATTTAATCGTGTTATAACTTCTCCGGTTGACCTCTCGTTATTATAGTTAACTAGTTAAAGTGTGAAATGTGAGAAAATTATACCCTCTTACTGGCCTCCTTAGTTATTATATATAATAAGTAGTTATTATATTTACATTGTAACGGAACCAAAAACAAACGAATAATAACGGATTTACTTAAGAATAGTAAACATGAAGATTACTCATTTTCTAAACAAACACCTTTTCTCCATTTTAATCCTGTTATATTCTCTTTAACCATGGAAAGACATCATCGTGAACCAGAAGTTCGCAATATTATTGTGAGAATGAGTCGTCCAGGTTCGGCTTTAATTCGTTCCCGGCTTTAACCCGATTCCGAGTGACTGGAAGTGCCAAGAAGAGGCCTGTTAGTGGATCTCAGTCCATTACGACGCTAAGAGAGGACAGAAATATTGTCATTGCTGCAAGACGGAACCTTTGCCATAATGCTCGCCAGATCCTAAATGAAGTACAAGATGTTTTGGCAAGATCTTTATCGTAATCGTTTTTGGGAAGGCCTCACATCGTATGCCCCTTTGAGACGACTTGCAGCAACAGCCCGCCACCAGCAACTCAGGGGAGTATGGTGCAGCTGGCGCCTAAAAGAGAACACCAATTGGAATGCTATTTTGTTTACTGATGAGTGGCGTTTCTGTCAGTATAGAGGATAGCAGGCGCGGAGAGCCTACCGAGAACAGGGGATGCGTACAATGCCCCATTTTGTGCTCATGTCAGTGCAGTTTGGAGGAAGCGGTGTAATGGTCTGGGCTGGGATTTATACTGGAGGGCGAGCTGGACTCCATATTGTTGAAGGCACCTCACCGCATTCGTTATGCCCAATGTATCAAGCCAGGGATCTCATTGACAGGGATTTTCGATTTCTGGATAACAATGCCAGATCTCATGGAGGCAGTTGTTCATCAATGTTTATAAAACCTGGGAAATTCCCATCTGCCACATCCCCCCTTGTCTCTAGGCTTCAATCCCATTGAGCACTGGATGCGTTGTAGAGGTTTTTCGATCACCATCCGCAGCCAGTTTTTTCTGTTTGGACATATCCTGATTTTGAGTATGTACTTTTTGTTTGTAAATTTGTAGATACTTGTAGAATCTTGTTCGTATAAGTAGGTATTTTGTCCTTAGTATGTATAACGTCTTTTATTTTGTTCGGAAAAGATAGATTTGCTTGATGTACATAGGTTTTTGATAGGTTCTGGAACCCGGGCATGCTTTATAAATTTAAACCTTTCTACCCCTCTTTAGTACCTTATACTGAAATCCTATCTATCCAGTCGCTGCTTCAGGTGAGATGCGGTAACGAGTTCTCGGAAATCAGGCCGATACAAGGCGGCATCCCTCAAGGGAGTCGGTCCCATCCTTTATATCACTATACTGATGACCTACCTGCACATCCCAAGACCATCATCACCCTAACCCGGACGATGCCGCAATTTCGTCCTCTAATTCGAATTCTATCTAAGCTACTTCCAACATCCAAGAACCCCTGATATTATCGAAGGCAGGTGCAAAATGTGAAGGGCTACACGGAATGAAGAAAAAGTGTTGTGTTCGAATTGAAAAAAAAACAGCCTTGCTCTCCAACAACAAAGAGATACCGACTTTCAAGTTCATCGACCCTAGACAGCAGGGTGATGTGGAATCCTCAAACAAGACAACCACTTACCAGAAGACTTGGAATACTACGAAGACTTCTAGGACCGAAATCCACCATTGAACTAACCGTATACAAGACAACTTCGACCGCTTTGGAGGTACAGAATGTAACTGTGGGGTTCTGCCAAGCCATACAACAGCCAACGCATCCGATCTTTCCAATCAAAAGCCCTTTTTTCGTCTCTAACTGCACGGTCCACAACGACCTCAACATTCCTTTTGTCGACGAACTCGTCTGTTTCCGATCCCAAAAGTTTCACGCCAACCTCTCGATCCAACCTAACCCTACTCCTCGAGCCCTTCCTACACATTCCCATACCTAGAACCCGCCACGTCGCCTTAATCGACGATGTCCTTTTAATTAACTAATGGTGGACGGCGTCAATCCATCAACTAAACTTGTACGCCTTCTACCCTTGGTCATTATTTTCCAAAATCCAATCATCTTTCTCTTTCGTATGATTTTTAACTTTATTTTAATACATTATACTTCCGGAGAGCGCCTCTAATGTGAAGAACGGGATTTAACTTCGACGAGCTAACAGATTTTTTGTTTACTCGTTGTTCCTTATCAGTTTCTAATAATTTTTATTCGCTGTTTTCTCGTCATTCTTAAAATATAACTTATTTATTTAAAATCTTTATACTATCCAATCTAAATAACATGTCGAAATTAATATGGAAGTCAAATAAGAATAATTCTAGAGCTATAATTTTCGATTAATTTTTTTTCATTTGAAGCGTAATACTATGTTTGTCCTTACCAATCCCATGAACTATCTTTAATTCATATGGATTTTCTGATTGGCGGAATGGTTAAAATGATCCTTCGCAACTGTAGTATTGATGAATGACCTAGTACTACCCGCATCACATACAATTATCGGTGTTTCCCATCTCAGTATTTCAAAGGTTGAATTTACGTTTTGCAAGTAATAATTTTGTGGGTCGTGGTTACCTAGGGGACCTCATAATATTTGTTACGCATTCGTAGTTATTTGATGAAGGTGTGAATTTCTTGTACTGTGTGGTTGGAACTGAGATGGGTTGTGGAAATACTCATCGGTGTCGGGTTTTCTCGTTGATAGTTTATTTGATTTGGGTGTACAAAATTATGTACTGAATAATGTTTTTGTGGGGGGAAAAATGGTGAGTGTTGTGGGCCCTTGGTTTTGGTGGAAATACATTTGCGTTTTTTATCTGCCCCAAATTTATGGTTGAGTAGCGCTGCAATTCGATGAGATCTGAAGGGTTCCAATGTTGAGTTTTAAAAAAGTTATTTAATATTGCATAAAACTTAGTCAGTACACCAGTTCCCGGTCGCGAGTGGATCTGAGTATCGAAATGGTGATTTGATGCACAGGTCAATGTTTTACCTCAGCAATTATTGAATCGACTCCAAGGATAATCAGGATGTAATGTACATAAACTTCGAGCATATAATTTTTGGCTTATCTTCAATCAATTTTTAAAATTATATAATGTCCACGAGACATAACTTTCCGTGGTAAAATAAAAGATACCATTATCATCACCTTCATTTATATGCACAGTCATCAATATTTTGGCAATATTCCTGAAATTTGTTTCCGCATCATTAAAGGATCTGCTTTATGAGAGGACAGGTTTTTCGCCTGCAAATTGTACAAGTTCAATGTTTTCATACATACTCATATACTATGCAAATCAGCCAGGACACTACCATCTGGAATTCCCGTGTTTTGCAGAACCGAGTCTACTACTTTTTAAGTGACTTTTTAAGTTTTCTGTCGATCAGGAATCTTGAAAATTTTTGCGTACGAGGCAGTATGAAAAGACCCAGGTTCATAGGTTTAATATGTTATCCACCAACCTATGCCATGGACTAGGAGTGAGACGTCCTGAATCCAAATTGAGCGTTAGGTATCAAGGGTTAAAGTGGATCAATATCAATCTCCCAAGGACTTTTATAAGTAAACAAACAGCTTTGGCCGATAACTAGATGGTTACGCCATTCTTTTTTTAACATTACACTTGTCGGTTACATGACGCAAAAGGATTTATTGATGATCCAAATTCAGTTTTATAATTGGATTGATAGAATACAAACACACAGTTAAACAGATCGATTTTGCCGTCTTGGCCTCAGCCTCCTCTTCACAAATTAGCAGAATTCAAGCGGCTCACAATGAAATACAAAAATGGAATACCATGACAAATCAGGAACAGAAATTCCTTTATTTAACCAGTGTTCCACAAACTGGCACGCCCTGCATCCCAAACTTGTAAAAGAGAACATTACCACAACTGAACTACTACTTCTTTTCTTCATTATGTTTTCCTATTATCCTTTATGGGCTAATTATTGGGCACCGCCAAAGCACACGTGAATGTGTAATTGAATTGCATAATCATACACTATATAAAGCTTAAGAAATAGGAGGAGGGATAACGCATCATGTGCAGCAATGATGGCTTAGGACAATGTTAAAAACTAGAAAAGCTGAGTCGAAAACGAGAGACTGCTATCCTGTGGAGTGTTGAAGAACTCGTAAATAGGTAAATCTCAAAGAGATAGAATATAAAAATTATGTAGACGAGATAGTCCATACTCGATATTATACGAAAAAATTATGAACTATAAACAAATGTTGAAAATCTGTTGGCTGGAGGCCGCTAACAAAGTAAGAACAAAAGAACAATAGTCCGTATGAAGCGATAAGCCAATGCCAGAATAATGCAGCCAATGAGCTGACAAATAAGCTTAAATAGCTAAGTAACTTTCAGGGAACTTAAGACATAGTACCATCTAGTTACATCCATAACTTCAAAGTTGGTTCTGATTGGAAGACCAAATTAAATTCGCGAATGAAAAAAAGGGTACCAGAACATCCAGAATTTGAGGAAAGTGGAAGAAAAGGAGGTGTCACACCGCTGGCGCGACCATTCTGAGGATAGGAATTCATGCTATCGAAAATCTTAGCATAGAGGACGAGGTGAGAGTGAAGAAACTAGGAATATCGAACTGTATATTACAAATTCTTGCGAAATTTGAAGACATTACACGATGCAATGATTCAGCAGTGGAAACAGACAGGGACTAGGACTGTTCTTGAATCCCATACTGATTGCAGACATCTGACAAAAATCAAAGTCAAGCCTCACAATGTGCAGAAGGAACCCAAACGGCCCAACTCAATTTCTTACGAACTCTCTGGAACAAGGTATGGTCTTAAAGAAGAAAGCAAATTTAGTTGCTATTGCCAAGCTTTCGACCTTGACCCAGAATGTTCATAAGTGATAAAAGTGGTCGATATTTCTAATACTGAAACCAGCATATTTTCTGAAATGTAGTGCTCCACCCCTAGTCGGTAGGGTGATGAAACTGCAGTTTGATGGTTTGCGATTTTCTCCTTTACCGTTTAGAGTCAGTAACAGTCAAATTTTTGTCTATTGTGGCGATCTCGCTAATGTATTTCTTGGAAGATTTTCGTTTCTTTAATGAAGTAGAGCAATCTTCTCAGGGGTATGGTATATGCATGCGTCAAGAACTGCATTCCCAGGTACCATAGCTATAACCTAGCTGTTGCGGGCAGTTATGTTCTATCGTTTCTTTCTCTTCTAGACACAATCACATTCACTGACAGGAAAAGATAGTTTTACTTACAAACTGGTTCTAAAAACTAGTGTTAACTATATTGTTGTTTCATAATTTGTTTTAATTAGTCTTAGCCTAACTAGTAAACTAGTTCAATGCACTAGCTAGTTCTACTCACCATTTATACCATATACTCGCTGTTTCTGATAATCGACATTCGTCAACTGTTGATAGTACCATTTTGTATGTGGTACTTTACTGGATCATGTTATGTAAATACACTCGTTAGAGTTTTTAATACCTTTCTGTTAAGTAGGATCTCCTCTTTCTCCCATTACATAGAGTGCTTTTGTCTCAAACCTGGTTTTCGCTTCCAATATTTGTTGTGTATTTTAGTTATTCCAGGCTAATGTGTACACAGTTTATGCCAAAAAATGGATTTGAGCCTATTAGATGTCCCGAGGCTCCTTTTTTGGCATGTATATCTGCTGCCTTGTTCCCTGAAATTCCCTCATCACCTGGGGAACATGACACAACCTTAGCATTTGGTTTTTTCTAGATCTTTTTTTTATATCTTTTTATCTTTTTTTTATCTCGTTTATGATATCCATGGTCAAACCTACCCAACCCGAATACATTGTCATATTTCCTATTGGGATCTGCGGGATGATACATACCTGTAGTTGTTTTCATTTTGGTCTGTCTATTCTTATTTGTTTGTGCTGCACGAAGAAGCCTTTGTAACGTTATAAAGAAAATGACAGTGTTATCCGATTGATTTATGAACTATGTAAAGAGTTGGCATATCAACGGACTGAAGGATCAAAGCAATTTCATGTTGCTTGGTCGTTTCCGATTATTTTGATATGTACATCAGGGGCGGATCTGTGCAGATGCCTCTCCCTGCTTATATCCCCGTCATGTGATTAAGATGTCGTATCTTGTAAACAAATGTTAGGAAACGATCGTACTACAAGCATTCATTTCATTTGGATAACTTACAAATAGTCGCCAATTTATATAAATATAATAATTCTCTATTCCACATTCTATTTTAATTTATAATCAAAATTATAAAAATATTTTTCAGAGAAGTTTTGAAACTTGAAAGCTTCACATTGTCACTTCGGAGTTGAAGTCTCCACCCGGTCTGGTTCGACCGCCGCGGCCTAACTTCGCCAAGATTCCATTAAAGAAGACTAATCAACCTGGATTTTTTTCGACATAAACCCATCACCCAATTTTATTATTGCTTTTAAATTAAAATAACGCTTATCTAATAGAAATTTTGTTCGAGATTCTTTCTCTCGAATTGGTCAATTGTTAGTTTCTAAACATTACAATGTAGGATGATTTACCAGCACCGGTACGTTTGTTGACACGAATGATTATCGCTGTAGGAAAAATTAACAACTGCAGTCCTTTACACTTTACAGATCGGTTCGAACGAGAACACGGTCGGTAGGGTGACGAGGTTCGTTGAACTTCTCCGTCATGTTGCCTGAGCCGAAGAGGAGGGGAAACTAAAAGTGACCTGCACGAGGATCGTAGTTATAATTACCGTCTTCCATTTATTTTCACGGGATAGATTTATTATACAATCGGGAGTCGGGTGAACCGGGGTATTCCAACAGAGATGGATCCCCCAACTGAAGAACTGTCCGTGGATCACATCGGTAACTTTTATACCAACGCTCAGCCACTGTTCAATGTTTATTCATTATATGTTTAAGATTCGGCATTCTTACTTAATTGACGAGTGGCTCTTCTTCGACAAGAAAGCACAGATTCATCATAGAACTGGATTTTGAAAAGATCAAATTGGTTTCAGACTTATTCTCTCTGTTGTCTTTTGATATACTTATCCATAGTTAAAGATGCCATTGTCAACTCCTCTGCTGCATTTTAAGCGGCAAAATTTTAGAAATGAAAGTCCCTGGAAGGTTCGAGTGATCGAGTCCTGCGTCGATCCTTGGAAAAGGACGTCGGTGGGTGTCGCACGGACTTGACAAACGAACTTGAACAATTGTAAATCCAAAAAAATGGTTTGAAATCGGCCCAGCGTGGGCGAGTGGACGTCGGCTCAAATCTGGTAGCCGTAAATCGCCCATGTCGACCTGTCCAAGGTCTGAACTTCTGGAGAAAGAAGTTCTATTTTACCGACCTTGAACCCCATGGACAGTCCGGCCGGTTCACCACCGACCCCTGCTAGCTATAACGATGTGTACAACCTTATTATGCAATTATTCAAAAATATAAATAAGAAGATAAGATTAAAAAAAATATAACTGCGTTAATTATAATTATGTAGGAAATTGAGGGATACTAACTAATGCCAAGGTTATGGATCATTAGGTGTTGCAAAATTACCCCAGGTGTTTATCAGTTGCAAACAATTTATAAATGCTATAAAGTAAAGTGTCGTATAAGCAATTCTAACATTATTGTTATATGTAGCTACAGAAACATAAAAAATTAGAATGAAGACAAAGTAGAGAAGATGTTTTCTTCGCAGTTCTCATCAGAAACATCTAAATAAAATTATCTATATGGAACAGTATCAGTTTAAAATATTAAGCCATCTCTTCTGTTTTCATATTTATTTTTTGTACACTAATAGCTGTATTTTGTGTCTTTACAAGGTTTTTCCAAAAGCAATGAATTCACTCCACTCAACCCAGAAAAGACCAACGACAATGTTTCAAAGTTATAATAGGTTGTTTCACCATCCTGACTGCTGTCGTATCAGTTGCTCTTATGGTGCACATCTACCAGGGAGAAAATACAGGAAATGTCAGTTTTTTTAAGTTTAACAATTATTTTATTAACAAAATCTCCAGTTTCGGACAGGCACGCTTGGTGGTTTGGTGGCTGACAACAAAGAATGCGCCAAAGTGGGCAAAAATCTTGAGAGAAGGTGGCAATGCTGTGAATGTAGCTGTTGGAGTTTCATTCTGCATGGGAGTTGTTCATCCGCATTTGACCGGGATCGGAGGGTATGTAAAATCGAAATAAACTTTTCACTGGAGTGTGATAAGTGAAGTATGGTTTTATTTGATTAAAAACATTATTAGCATTAAAATCAATGTTCTCTTAGTTGTTATCAGGGATGTGATCTAAGAAAGTTTAGACAACATCTCTGATAACAACTAAGTGAACATTATCTGCATAAGTTGGTCGATAAATCTACAAAACATTAAAATCAAAGTAAACCAAATAAATAAATGTTCTTTCTTGTATAATTTAATTACACTATTTTTATTGATTATAAATAATTAAAATTTTAAAAAAGAATCAAGGAGTATGATAAACTGTCTTAAGAAGCTTATTTTGTATTAAAAAATAGCTCAAAGAGAAATTTCAAATAGGTAGAGTATTTAGGAAAGCTAAGAAAGCAAGTAGCAAGTTCAATTACTTTTATGATGTGTATCAAAGTCATTTAAAATTGCATAGGTAATTTTGAACCAAGTTCCTCAATACCAACACAAGGTTCAAAAACTAATAATTTATAGCAATTGGTCATACCAAAATAGGTTGATGAAATTGATTAAAAACTACAAAACTTCAGGTTCATCTAGGCGCAGACGCAATGGGGAACTCCCTGTAAAACGTTTAGCTATAGTTCGCTGACCCTATTGTCCAAAATTTTAAAGCATTTCTATAAAATAACTTGAAAAATGTTTTCCTCCTGTGGGGTCAAATTTCTCCATCTTATATTCTGACAAAAATCAAACTAATCCCTTGATGAAATGGGTTCTTTGTGATTCCTGAACAAATTTTTGTCAAAATACAATAATTAATTAATTGATTTAACAAGTTATTAGGATATTAAATTTCTGAGCTAATTTCTCAAAACTCACACTGGATACTTGACAAAAGTACCATAATTATTATAATGTATGAAAAATTGCTTTCATTTATAAAAATAAAATATTACAACTGATAAAGCATATAAAGTCAACAGCTCTATCTATTAATTGGCAGAGAAGCTCTGACGTATCAAGAACACCATCGATGGGTGGCCCTCGGAGGAACTGAGTCGTAGAAGGATCATCCTCACCCAATTAAGAATAGGATATGCAAGGTTGACACACAGACATTTACTTTTAGGCCAAAGCCCGCATATGTGTCTGGCATGCAGAGAAAGGCTGCTTGATGAGACCCACCTAATTAAAAGTTGCAATTCCTTGGCTCCATATAAAGAGTGCGTAGGAATGCCACCCAATATGAGAATTATCCTTGAGCATGGCTGCAAATGGATCTACTGGTCTGATTCTTGGAGGAAAAGTTTTATTTTATTGTATATAGTGCTGACTGTTTTGGGTCCGAAGCGTGTGTTAAGAGGAAATGCATTTATCAGTGCGAATGTGTAGTGTGAGAGGGCCATGCAGATTTGAGCTTACACAAATCAGTAATGTATTGATTAATAAAGATGAAATTCATTATATTCAAATTGTTAATTTATTTATTATATTCAGTAACAAGACTAGATCCCCCACAACAATCCACATTTTAAATTATTAAAAACATCTGTAAAGTGTAATGAGAACTAAAAATTTAGACTACTAAATATAATGGATTTAATTAGAAACTATTTTCCTAAAGAGTTAAAAGCATCTTTGTCATTAAATGTTTGAGATTATAAAATTGTGTAAATTGGCATAAAAACAAAACAATGATACATTTAATTTTTTTAAATTTTTATTTATGCATCAACTATTCTGTAGAGATGTATTTAAGAACACAAAGTCTTTCAGGTAATATAGATTTTTTTTTCTTTTTGCCTTAGGAATGGCCTTGTGCTCATTTATGACCACAAACTAGGAAAACTAAGAGATTGTATTAATTTCAACAGGAAAGGCAGCACCAGTTCAGAAACCGTGGGGATCCCAGGTTTCATAAATGGCCTGTCTTTTGCCCATAGCAAGTTTGGAAGACTTCCCTGGAAAAAAATTCTTTCATATTCTATTGAACTTGCAAGGTGAAAAACAACTTTGTGCAACATTCTGAAATTTGTCTTTAATAAAATATATGTTTACTTTAGAACAGGATTTATAGTTACAGAAAGCTTGAAGAGTTCAGTACAACATTTGAAAACCGAAAATATCAAAACCAAACTTGGCCTGTGGCTTAATTCTCTAAAAGTGGGAAAAGTAACCACATCCAAGCCCCTTGCTGAAACTCTTGAGTTGTTGGCAGAACAAGGAGGAAACGGTGGCAAACTGGTTTAACCTTTGAAGCAAAGATTGTATATTTACTTATATATATTTTTTTAGTTTTTTACAGCGGAGCTTTTACAAAAAATCTTGCCCATGTTTTGTCGGAAGATGATATGAAAAATTACAAAGTTCTAAATAACGTATGCGCTATGGAGGAATGGAATAAATTCAAGTTATTCACTACTGGCCAAGTTACAGGAGGCCCGCTGTTGCTGAAAGCTTTGAAAAATATGAACAATGCTTCAAATCCCTATGCATCAATTAAAGCAATAAATGGTATAATTTATTTAAATTATTTATTATTTTATTTATTTTTTTAATTTTTGCATAGAAGCATTGACAACTGCAGAAAATTACACACATGGAGTTGTAGTAACTTCTGTTGACAAGGATGATAATTATGTGTGTGGTAAGGTAAGTACAAAAAATTATATATTCACTAGTTCAACTCTCTTCATTATGTATTTCTTGGTGTCACACTTTTTTTTACAAAAAACCTAAAATCTCATAAATCCTGTGGTAATTCATGGAATTAATCTAATTGTGTTGTAATTAGAATGAAATCAGTCCACCCCATAAATTACCAATTAATCACAGGATTTCTTCTGATATGTGATAATTGGTTTTACTCAATTGTTTTAGCAGATTAGGATCAGTTTTGGGCTCGCAAATATTAACACCAGGAGGGTTCGTTCTCAACGATGCTGCCAAATACGGAACGGGGAAAATGTTTACGAATGAACTTGATACACTTTCACATTCACTTGTCACTGAAGCTCAAATTTGTTCTTCAATATATGTCACAGGTGATGTTTATTATTAAAAAAAAAAAAAAAACATAGTTTACAATTTTTGTTTTTGTGCAGGTGCGAATGATTTTAGGGATTTGCTACAAACACTTTTTGATGTTGGAAGGAAATCAGGATTTGCAGACTGTTGTCGAGAGTCCGCGTATGAGAATGATCGATGATACAATATTCAGAGTTGGATCACGCTCCATCATTCCCGCCTAAAGAGATAGATCAACTTTCTAAGGCGGGAGTTATGCTAGTCCCAGCAGCCAAACCCTAACCGAGCATAAATGTGATCCACAAATTTAGAGACGGTTAAACCCGTGTGCTGATTCCAGGGGGCTTGGTCTAGGAGTAACCGTATAATTTACACATTATACAAAATTGTTGTTAAATTTACATAATCTTAAAATGTAAATATGTATATATTGTACTGGGAATAAGTCAAAAGAATGTTATGCATCATTGTGCAATAAATAATACTAATTTTGGCTCAAATTTTTCAGTTCATATCATTAATTTCATAAATTTATATTCAAACTAGATAGTTTTAAAAAACTGTTTTAACGCTCACTGGAGTAAAAATGAATTTTTATTTAACTGTATGTAGATTAACCCGTGCACAAACCACTGGTTGTGCAAACCGTTGTGGGCCAGTTGATCTAGTGTCTCTAAATAAGTGTGATTTTTTTTTAGTAGTAACTAACAATCATGCAAAAAACTAAAAATAATTAATTTTCTTGTTGTTGATTTCATATTTTTCTTTTTTATAAAATTATGTAATAACCTTATACCACTCTGGCCCTTACATCATAGGCCGCTGTACAGTAATGCAAAAGTATTTTCAAATTTTTACCATTTATTTAAACTGACATTTTTTGAGCCAAAGGCTTGCTTTTGTGAAAATGGGCGAATCTTAGTTGGACAATTTGGGGGTCATCGCGTAATGGGCACCCTCATCTTCTATCTCCTCGTAGGGTTGTCAACTTAAGTTTCAGGGTCTGACATTATTACAATTGCAAAAAGAAGAGTGCGTGCAAACAGCTTTGATCTTTCAACTCAAAATTTAATTCCCGATACAGTGGGTATTTTTTCTTGACCAGCCTCAAGAACTTCTGCCATTCTTTAACAATATTTAATTGTGTGCCTACACAAGGATATTTTTGAACCACGATAATTTCTTAGCCTCCATAGCCACTATTCTGACTTATTCAGTATATTTACTATGTAATCACGATGGAGTTTGTATGATGGAACCTCAAATTAGGCACTCTGTACAGACTAAATTTGTTGGGGTGCTGCAGAGTAGTTTTGAACAGCTTCTTGGTTCAAAACACGTGTTTGAGGAATTCCATCTACCTCCCTATATTCTTTCCCTCCCTGCACCATATTAGACTTTAGTCTAATTAGACCTGCATCAGACCCTCCCGATCACACTCAACTCATGTTTTAATTATAAAATTATTCTTTAAGGGAGTTGTGAGATTATGTTCACTCCAAAGTAGACGTATCCATGAACTACCTCAAAATTATTTTCTCTCATTGACTACTTTTCACTTCTGGCTGGTCTTCCTCCTGTTCTAAATACCACAGATTTTGGATTTGCCTAAATTCACTTTGGAGTCCCATACCATATAATCTGGTTTATCATCTGCTGGAAAAATTTGGTTGTGACGCTAAGTGACCTTGTCGTCTGCATAAGCTTGTAAGTTGAGCCTCTTTTTTCCAACTCGATCCCAAGGTTCCTCTACATCATTCATAAAGAATGAGAATAGCAAAGGGTTCAGTAGAAATCAAGTTTCACATCAGCCATTATTTCAAAATCCGTGCTTCTTCCTTCCCCGCACCATACCGAGCCCATCTTTTCTGATATCATCTCTTCTTTAGCACATATTGTTTTCTGTGAAAGATTTCCTCATTTATACAGGAGAGACTATATTCTGCAATGCAGAGGACAGATACACAAAGAAAGCCAATAGTTTTGCCTTTTTTTGGTGAAGTTCAGTTCGACGAAACTTGCTAAACAGGTTGTCCGACGTGGAGTAGCCTCACTGAAATTCTTTTAAGTTTACCTGACAAATGAAATTTCAATCATTTCAGGATGACTTGCACACAGCATTAATGTAAAGATAAGCCTCATTATTTTTGCCCACTTTTTTTAAATGGAAAGATTAACAAATTTTTAAACATTTTAGAGGCTTTTCCTGACTAAAAAATGGTGTTAAAAACCTGAATTCATCTAGCTGGTTCAAAGTCATTTTTGTATAGCTCATAAGCCAACCGTAACAGCCTAAGTCAGGGGACTTAGCCTTCTTAGTTCTTTGCCTTAGTTAAAACCAGCTAAAGTCTCTCATCATGGAGGGTTTACCCAAAAAATCATTTTTATGTTTATTTTATTATGACAATGATTTATTGCAATTATTGTGGGTCAATTAAATGAGTGTGCTCACAATATTAGGTCGGTTTTTTAAAATGTGTTTAATGATTAGTTTTATTGAACAAAATAGAAAAAAAATTATGTTAAGTAGGTATTTAATAATAAACCCGTCAAACAGTTTTACTGGACATCGTTTTAATATGAATTGATAATCCAAAAATTTAGAATAATTTGCTTACAACTAAAGGGTAAATAATATTAATAATTTATAAAAATGTATATATTTTATAGATGTTATACAAAAAGACAAAACAACTCAAAATACATTTATTTGTTTCTTGTACCTCATGTAGTTATTACATTTTAGTTATATAATTTTTTTAAATTAATTTATTATTTACAGAAAATATCAAACCCACTTATACGAAATTCCATTACATTTAACCTATTGCTTATAAATTATGCATAGTTAATTCTCTCGTATTTTAATAAACGAAATCAGAACGTGCTTATAAATGGGTAAAACAAACTTCATTTTTTTTAAATCTTAACCTTTTTTTTATTTCCTCGTTTTAACTTAACCATGGATACAGTGCAGATTATGATGTAATTTATTAGTGTACACATACAACGAGCAAATTCTAAATGCGAATTTGTTTTTAATTAAGAAAACCGGCAACTTAAGTGCTAATATCCGGTGTACTTAAAAAAACTTATTAAAGAATCTAAATACAAATAAAAAATAAATAAATAAAAATAATCCATGGGTAATCTTTGTTTATTCATCTATTGAGAAAATTGAGATCATTTCATAATCCGCAATTTCTCCTTTATTCATTAAGGCCTTTTTCAATATAATAGAAAGTGTTCTAGTTTTTATTTAATCCTTGTTCATATCATCAACTAACAATTTGGAATTACAATTTTAATTAAAATATACAGTAATTGCAGCTCTTTTGAATTTTTTTTTTTTAACAGCTAGTGGTGAATACAAATCTCATGGTCAAGTTTTCAAGTGAAGCCAAGTAAACTTTAAGGCCTAGCATTATACCGACCGATTACTCTTGATCAATTCAACAATTAATCTTATCCTTTTAAAATAATCGGCTTGCACCTTTTTAATATTTAATTAATTTCATCTGTACAGTGAATGATATATGTAAATCTTTTTTAAAAACAATTTTTAAAATATGTTAACATTAGTAGAAAACAACAAAAAATAATACAGATATTCACATCAAAACCGATTTTAATTTAGAAAGCACATCCCTAAAAACTTACTGAAATACCAAGTCTGTTACTACTATAAATCCATATTGCACCACCTATTTGTTTGGTTTTTAGTTCTCAAACAACATATAAAATTTGTTAAATTTTGTGGGGGAGTATCAATTAACAAGAGAGGGGCAGGAAATAACAGGAACAAATAAAAGAAATACACCCAATTTTAATGAATTATGGTTAACAAGTAGAAAAAAAAAGAAAAACTAAGAAACATTTTTTTAAAAAAAATCTTGATTTCTCCACCAGATGTTTTAAAATAAATTAAAAACTACAACTATAATATAAACTATTTACAATATTCTGTAAAACAAACAAGCACTAAAGATTAAGGGACAATAATTAAATTATTTACATTTTTTCACTCTCATATCGAGTTGCAAAGTAATGAGCTGATTATGTCAAAATAAGTGTTTTTCGCAGAGTAATGACTGAATGGTGTTGTAATGAGGCTCACAGATATCTGAGAGTGTTGAGGCACTTCCACTACGAAGTCATCTCCGCATTCCAACTTGTTCCGTTTGAACAACTACTTGAACTTTCGCCCAAACTGTCTGCAAATTGGAAAAATTAAAATGTAAAACTTATGCCAATAAGCTTAATTAATTTACTGAAGCTCAGCAGTCAGTTAGAATAGTTAAAAACAACTTGTATGTGTGATGAAAATTATAGTGGGGTACAATGGCACGTATGTTCATGCATTTGCAAATTAAGCAAAGTACACTGAAATAATTTTAAATTCAAATAGTCTTTAACAGGGTAACCAGCCTTTATGGGAATTTCTTGCTTCATATAATACACCACATTTATGCTATTAACATTTGTGTAAAAAAATATTAGGATGTCCGGAAAATAATGCAGGTTTATGGTTATAAAATAAAATCAATTAAATAAATGATTTTAAACATTCTTTTTTTTTACGAAGGTTCGCAACAGCAGTGTTATATCAACCCTCAGGGTGCTGGTGTTTTTGAAAAAAAGCCCATTTGTAAGTATGTCGGGTTCGAATGCAGCGGCCCTGCATTCGAACCCAGGACCTTTACCTTACAGTGATGAGCGCCATGTCAACGCCTAAACCGTTGCAGCCACCGACGCCCCTAACATTTCTTATTAATTAAAATTACTCTCAATACACAATGAATAGAATTTTGAGTCTTTATTATTAACTAATTCTGTAAACATATTTTCTAACAATTTTTGATCAATAAATTTTTGTTGCTGTAAAACGTCCAGATTTCTGAAAATTTGTTAGTTAGCAGGTGAGAGGTCTGGAGAGTGAGGCAGAACCTCATAACTAAGTTCCAACTGTTTTTGTGTTGTTACATGTGGGACAAGGGTTCTAGCATTGTCGTGTAAACAGAATCGGCCTTGTCCAAAGATGGCTTCAATAATGCCAATTTCAGGTGCATTGCTTCAACTTGAGAGCAATACATTTTGGCATTGATTGTTTCACCAGGATTCAAGAAGCTGTAGTAAATCAGCCCAAATGAAACCCACCGAAGTCACCATCGCCTTTTTTTTTAATGAATTGGAGGGTTTGGAAAATGTAGTGCTGCTTCTCCTTTGTCAAGCCATTATCCAGAACATCTGTTGTTATCATAAAGACTACACTTTTCAATCACAAGTAACAATTCTATCCGGAAAAAGTTTGTTTCTCTTGAACTAAAGAGGTGTTGTATAAACTTAAGAAGATTTTTTTGGCGGTCATTTAATGCAAGAGGAACCCTTATTTCGATCTTTTTCAACTTTCCAATTGCCTTAACGTGGTCAGCAATGGTCGATTTGCTAACTGAAAGATTATCTGTAAATTTTTGAACTATTGTTCTGGGATTTTCTTTGATCAAAGTTTGAAGAACATCATCATCAAAGGAAGAAAACCTTTCACGACACTCTTTGCCTCCAAGGTTAAAGTCTTCCTTTCAAATTTTTTTACTATCTCTCTGAACTCCTCTCACTCACACTGTCATCACCCCAAACTTCGCTAATGTTTCTGACCATTTCCGTTCTGACCGAGTTTAAATTCGTAAAACAAAATTAAGCAAAAATCACGCATTGACGTCTTAGTAATGACTAAATTATTCCCAAGTAACAAAATGTTACTGAGGTAAACAAACATTTTTGATTGGAAGAGTTAAAAAGTGTTGACATTCGTACAAAAGAATAATCTATATAAACAGTTTATTCCATAGAGGGGTAATCGAAAGAAAAAATTAAAACGTGCATTATTTTCCAAAAAATCCAATAGTAATACAGATAATCACTTCGAAAATGATTTTGATTTCAAAAGCAGATCACTAATAACTGACATACAAGCACTGTGCTGTGATGTAATATTGATTATTAAAAATTAAATGAAGTTGTGAAATAATATTATTGCAATTTTTAAATTGTTGATTTTGGCTATTCTGTTTTTCCACAATACGTTTTGTCATAAGAGCGTTATATATACTCAGTTTATCTGCCAGTTTGCTTGAATCCACATCTAAGCAATAAACTGAACAACCAACTAAACTGAGCGTTTGTAGGGACAACTTCATCCAGTTTCTTGATTTTTAGGGCCTAGACACTGTTTATCCGTTAGTTTGCTTGCATCCACATCTGAAGCATAAATTGAACAGAGTGTGTACAACCATGGCTCAATTTTTCATTCTCCATTTTTAGAGCCCATACACACTGTTTATCTGTCAGTTTGTCTGAATACACATTGAAAGAACAAACAAGTTGTAGCCACAACTCAGTTGTCTATTTTCTCCACTTTTTCCTTCATCTGTCTTTCTTGATGTTGTGGCAAATAGTGGTACGACAAAAAAAAAATTTGTATTGCTTTTTGATTGTTGCTTCCATTTTGGAAAATCAACCCAAAAAGAAGACTTTTAATGAAACTTTTCATTTAACAGGACTAAGCAATTATAACTTTTAAATAATTTTCAGCTTACCAAGTGGAACTGAGGCTCCAAAGCTCAGACCAAATGCCTGGACATTAACCGGATAGAACTGTATTCTTATTTCAGTTGTTCAACATCATTTATTGATACCGTAAAATTTCTTTCATTTTAAAACAATAAACTTAAAAATTTTTATGGGTTAATAACAAGAAATTCCCGTATCGGTGAATGAGTTCTATGGTTGTGTATGTCAACTAAAGTTCTTATTATAATTTAAAATCAATCATTTACTTGATTTGAAGAAATGACTTACCCATGTAGGTTGGTTCGAGCTTCGGAGAAAAGTTGCCATCTAGAATAAATAATAAAAAAAACTCACAAATGAAAAAACTCATAGATTCATTTGTGTTGAAGGCAAGATAAATTAATTTGGATAAATTGTCCCTAATCTTACTCAACTGACACCATGAAAATAAACTTGGCAAATTTAATTTGTTATAAATTGGTGAGAAAATAAGTTATTGATAATAATCATGTATTTAAAACATCGGAATGTTTTACTTTTGTATACTAAATGTCTAGATATAAACAATGCTCAGGCATTATTATTCAGAAATTGTGAGATGCAGTCTGGTGTAATGTAGGTTTTAGAAAAACATTTTCTTTAATGTGCCAACGTTTTGATCTACGATTGCAAAAAAACTCAAGCAAAATCCTACAGCACTCACTACCCACCATTTTGAACACCAACACAATTTCGACTTCAACAATCCAAAAATATTACACACAGAACAAAGCGAACATAAACGTAACTTTTTAGAAACGGTTTACATCAACAGAGATAAACACAGCATCAAATACAGAACAGATACATGTAAACTCAGTCGCAGCATTATTAATCAAATTCAATATCGATAACATACATTTATCATCATCACATCACACAAAACATATAATATAACATATAAAACAATCATTACATTCCACACATCAAACATTTTTGCATAGTCTAATTTTTGAACAATTTGGCTTTCCATTTCCTATTTATCCCCGTCTATAAAATCCTGAAAAGATAATCTGGCCGAACCATTACCAACGTTTTTTCCCATCGTCGGCTCTTTTCACCTCAAAGAAGCCGACTTCTTATACAAAAATGTCTTTCTATACTGACTTCCTTCCCCACCTCTTCAAAATCCAACGTATATAGACATAAAACAGCAATCTCACTGGCACTCTCAACACAACATGCAAGAATGGCACAATTACACAGAAAATAAACACTGAGTGAGTAGAAATACTTTGATTTTTTGCACTGTATAAATTCACTCTTTTCCACCTCCTACATGTTTTTGTTAAATTTAAACAATGTTTGCCAATCCCAGGCCCTGAAGATGATCTCAATAAAGATCGAAACATTGGCACAGTAAAGGAAATGTTTTTTCTGAAACCTACGTCACACCAGACCGCATCTCACGATTTCTGAATAATCATCGACTAACGGTCACTAATCACCACACAATGCTCAGGCATTCGTTCTACCGCAAATATTCATTTATCTCAGAATTTATTTTATTGCAAGTCTTTCTTAATCAAAGCACATCTGTAAAAAATTGAGAAATATTGTATCCACTTACAAATGTGGCTTAACACGTTGACTGTGTAATGCAACATGTGACAACTGTCCTTCTGGGTGCGGTGGGCACATGGTCTGTGTTCTCCTGTTTATACTTTTTAGGCAGAGTGACCATTGGAGCGGGATGCAATAGGTAATGCATCTGAAGCCAAGCAACATCATCGCCCGATATGACTTTTATCGACACAACACTCTTGTGCCCACTGTGACAAGCGATACAATACACACAATAGTACCTTTTTACACAGTTGTAATCATAAGCTCTTCAGAAAACGTACACGTTACTGGTACGTCAGCGGAAAAAAAAAAAAATTGGGTTCACCAATATAATGTTAACAATATTTTCTTCCATGCTATGTTAAATGTTGTTTTCCATGTTAAATTAGTTCTTTAATAACTTTTCAAGAATAGTTCCATAAACATGGGTACCATTCAACTAACGAAATAACAGCAGAGATGTCCTCCTGTTTAGCCGACAAGATTTACTGACAAGTCACACCTTTCTTAGCCTGGAACGATCGACAAGGTGTGTTGCTCCAACTGATTAGATCACACTGGTATGCAGATGTTGAACTGCTTATCACATAACTTGTCAAGTACTGCTCGCTCAGTGGGCACCCCAACTTAAAATCTCCCTCTAAAACCCTCAACCCAATTCTGTTCAAGGTTCCTAGGGCCACCTTAGAAAGGACAATATTGTCACTGGCTTGGTCATTTCAATTTTCAACTTGAAGTGATTTTTTATTGATTCTGTGAAAAAAAACATCATATGCTTTTCTGTTTACGTATTTGGTTATTTTAATTACTTACACATTTTGTATGATTATATAAAATAAATTCCCTAATTTTGCGGTCCGCTTGACCAATTAATATATTACAATTAATTAAGGCTTTTAGTTGAGATAAAAATTGGAGATTAATTGGTCAAGCGGACCACAAAATTAGTGAATTTAATGTTTTGAAATGAAGTATACTTCACTAAAGCTCTCCGTGGCCATTTCATTTGTCGTCGAGAATCCAATCCGATTACACGACATTTGAAAAATAGCAAAAAGGAGGGAAAATTCAAAAGGTGAGGTTGAGATAGGAAGTTGGTGTCCGAGTGGATCGAGGTTACGATAGCTCAAGTGGTAGAGCAGCGGCGTATCAAGCCGAAGATCGTGGGTTCGAATCCCGCTCGTGCCATTGACTTTTTATCTCTACTAAAAACCTTAATTAATTGTAATATAAAATACAGACAAAATTATTGTAGAAAATTGAAACTACCTTTATTCAACTAAACACCCAAATTGAACAAACCTTCCGCAAGTTGCCAACTACAAACTACTACTTAGTGCTGCAGATGACGCAACAGTTGAGCCATAGAATTTACATCACTTAGATAAGCATAATACAAATAAAAACATAATTTACATTATTTTAAAGTACCAGAAAGCTATTTTACATGATAAACTGAGTTCTGCCATAGGCAACCAAAATGGCCAAACATAAGAAGCAGTCAACGTGTTAAGATAGAACAGGAACTATTTACTATTTACACCAAGCTTTTTTTTTTTTAACTATACATAATTTTGGGGTCAAATAAATTTGGAAATGTCACTGTATGAAACCACAGTGAAAAAATGGAAAAGGTTAATCAAATTTGTGTGAACAAACAAAAACACGTAAGAAAGGAAAGGGAATGCCAAAACATAGGCATCATCCGATAGGCAAAAAAATCAACAAGCCTTTACAACAGGACAAAACCAGTACAAAAAGAGCCATCTAAGATTTGAGGTGGTTAGCAAAAAAGATAAAATTGTGATAATTAAAAAAAAAATAAAAATATATATAGCTAAAAAAGTTTTGGAATTTTAAATAAAAAATTATGTCATCTATTAAAATTTCTTTCTCTCTGGCTTCATAGTAATATTTTAAAAAATTATAAACCTTTGCTTCCTTGAGGTGCCATGTTAGCAGGAGCCCAGATTCGAACTGTGCAGTCATCAGAGGCCGAAGCCATCATCCTATGGTAAACAGGATTCCATGATACACAATTGACCGTTCTTGTGTGACCAGTTAAAGTCGCAATTGGTCTTTCTCTCTTTATATGCCAGACATACACTTTGTGATCTGAAAAAAATGTTTCTATTAATATCCCGCTATTATAAAGTACCTTAAAATTTAATACCTTCACTCCCGCTTGCAATGAAATCCTGATTGACTCCTCCAAAACACGAATGGATTGTGAAATGACCTTGTGTCACCCCTTGAAACTTCCTGATAAGAACCTTGTCCTCAAGGTCCCAAAGATGCACGCCTTGCGTTGCAACATTTAACAGTGCTAATCTGTCGCTGTCATCCACACAAAATGTCACCACGGGCTGATCTTCAAGTAGGCTGTAAATCGAAATGACACATCAGCTCTGGCAAGAACAATAACTATGAAACCCTTACATATTTGCATCAGAAAGATCATCAAAATTATATGTTCTTATTCTATGATGAGTATCGGCTGCAAGAACACTTTTTCCATCTGATCTGCACCACAGGCAATTAACTCTCACCCCTTCCCAAGAGTCTATAACATTGCCTGAAAGGTCCTAAAAAGTGAAAATTAAATAAGAAACAAATCTGTGGATTGGATGATTAATTGTTTGAAATATTAAAAAAAAAATGTCCTCATATTTTTTTTGGTCTACTGTGCACAATTTAATTCAATTGGAAATCTTAAAAATTAGATTAATTTAACAAATTATAATGGTTTTTGAACATTGTTTAATAACTGGAAGGTGTAAATAACCACAGGATACATTTTGAAAATTGTCAAAAATGTTTGAATTAAAATTTTGCTAAAATTTTATTGACAAACATTTGTTGTCCATATAGGTTTGTAAGAATGAGATAAATATTTGTGATATTTTCCATGGGATGGGATGAAGAACCTGTAATTTCGTTGTTTCCAATCTTTTTGTTGTGTTTTGTGCCTATTCTCGTTTGTTTTGTCATCTCAGGTCATCAGCAGTGTTAATCAACCAACTATAGTTTCATAATTTGGCACCTTTTGGTCATTCAGTCACCAAAAATTTCTCCAACCAAACCAGCAAGGATAGGATATTTTTGTAGATTTTTTCCCCAACAGAAATTCTAATTCGCTTGATAATCTTGATGGCAAACAAGAAACATAAGAAAAAGTAGTGTAAAAAATCACTTACACATTGGTAGAATTGACCTCTAATCCCTCCTGTTACAAATCTGGTTCCATCTTTATGCCAGGAACATGATGTGAGGGAATCATCAGGAGAGTGAGACAGTTTGACACGTAGCTCTTCAGTTTCGACGTTCCATAGCCAGAGCTCGGGGCTGTCCTCTGGGCCACAAGCGATGAGATGGGTGCCATCCGGGGACCAAGCGAGGAAGGCGACACCATACGAGTGCCCTTCCAAAGTTTTACGATGTGTACAAGTAAGTGTCTCCTATAATAATTCAATTTTGTCTTATTGGCCAGTTTACAATTAAGATTGGTTTTATACTGTAAAAAAACAAAACATACTGGGTCAACATCCCAGATGATGACTGTCGTGTCCTTGGACCCGGTTGCTAATTTGAGTCCATCTGGGGAAAAACGGCAATACCACACTTCATCGCAATGATCATTCAACACTTGGATTGTCTCACATGGGAACTGCTCCCTGTTTAATAAATCATACCAATTATTTAAAATGTTAAGTGAAGTTACCATTTGTATTAATTGTAAAATTTTTGAATTACTGGTAGATAAAATATTATTATGCAAACCTTGAACATTTGTGATCAACAAGCAATGAAATGTTTTCAAGGCCTTCTTCCATTTTTGTGTTGTGATACGGACATTTTTTCTTCTGTAGCTCAACAGCTTGAGACAATAGTGCATGTAACCTGAAATAATTTCCAATTATAGATTTTTATTATATATATTTTTTTAAATTACCTTCTTGGTGGTAGCATTATGGACGGAGGGAGAAATTGTTGTAATTTGTCCATCAGCTTTGACCTGGAGGCGTTCCCTTTTCCTTCCCAACCAGTGATACATTTAAGTTCTTCTGGACCTCCACACATCATAAAACTGAAATGACATGAAATATATAAATTAAATCTATAAAAAGTTTTAAAAAAATAGAAGATACAACCAAACCATACCTGCTTATCTCATGCACACGGTTTATATTGTACTGAAGTGGAGTGAGCTCATTCCTAAGAACATGGAGGGCATCCAAAACTCTTCTGTCCTCTAAATATTCCAAATACTTTTGCTCAAGTATTAAAAACTTCATCTCCTTAAAACCCAATTAATCAAGTGTTAACAAATTTCAAAAAGAGATGAGTTATCATACTCACTGATAAACTGTGTGTGGATTTCTCCAGCAAAGGTCTAAGCTCATTTAAGTCATTATCAGCCTATGAAAAAATAATTAATTAACAATACATAAAAAATTATTTATTTTTTCTAAATGACTCACTTTATTCCATTCCCCATCCATGACATGCTGCCTAAATTTGGCAGCTGCAGGGTGGTCTAAACGACAGCCAGATTCCCTCATGAGCATTTCAGCTGTTTGTCTAAAAGAATATACATTTATAAAAAAATACTATCCATTCTAAAATTGTGGCAAAACATTCACAGTAAATTGAACAATTGAAATAGCCATTATGTTTAAACACTATTAACTGTTTACACTTCATACAACCTTAATCAAAAAGTGGTGTTTTAAGCATGTAGAGAGAAAGAATACTGTGAGGGCATAAAAATCTCCAAACACTGGATAGAAACTGGTGGCCGTAATCTGGGTAGCAGATCGTGGGCTTTGAGGGAATTGAACTAGCTGACAAACTTGCAAATGAAGGAACATCCCTTGCACGTAAATTCTGATAACGGAACTGAACAAATGGAAAAAGGAAAAGATAACTGGACAAAAATAACATAAAGCACAAAGGAAGAAACAGATGTGGTCAAAATAAGGAAAGGTTGGGAAGGAAGTAAAAAAAAAAATGGTAGAAGAAGCAAGGTTGACTAAGCAGTAGTGTAATGTGAATAAAGAAGGGGGAGAATGTAAGAAAAAAAGGACTCATAATAGAGAACACGAGAGAAAGCCTATTAGAAAAGTTGAGAAGAAAGCGGAAAATCAATGAGATTAATACGAGGAAATTCAGGGAGGGAAAGACGTTTGTTTATTAGGAATAGTAAAATGTAATAATAGAAAGAGCACAGACAAAAATAATGATGAAGAGAAAAAGATAGGGAGTAGTTGAGGAAAAGGAAGAAGGTGAGAGAGAGTGTGAGACTGAAAGGGGGATGGGGAGGGAGAGCTAATGAGAAAAGAACGGATTGTGATAAGCAGTTACATAGTAAAAGATAATGTGTGGGGATTAGTGACCGTTAATCGATAATTATTCAGAAATCGTGAGATGTGGTCTTTATTGAGCCCTGAAGATGATCTCAATAAAGATCGAAACGTTGGCACGATAAAGAAAATGTTTTTCTGAAACCTATCACACCAGACCAGACCGCATCTCATGATTTCTGAATAAGTAAAAGATAATGAGAGTTTTGACACAGATTTAAAAGCATTGATAGAAAGGGTAAACCTTTAATCAGGAAAATCAAAAATAGAAGGAGAGAGAGAAAAAGAGAAGGTTGAGGGAGAGAGTGAGGGGGAGGTGAAAATGTTGGTGTATGCATGAGAGCGAGAAAATAAAAAAAACAATAGCATAATAGTTCTTTTTTTTTTATCATTTATACCAGTCTTCTCTGTTGACTGCAGGTTTTTCAAATTATTGTAAGGTCAAATTAGTGTAAGTAAACTGCAGTTTATTGCCATCGTTCTTTTTTCTACATTCGTAACATTAATTTAAAATATATTTTAAGTGTTACTATCAATTTGACTGAGAGAGACATAGAGGAGTGATGGAGTATTTTGTAAGAGATGGAAAAAGAGGTTGCAAGAGAGAAAGAGATTGATTAAATAAGAGAGTGATTGAGTGAGAGAAAGGGTGTGTTTTGTAAGAGGAAGGGAGAGTGGGTGTGAATGTTCGTGTTTGTGGAGATAATTGGTACGAGATAGGGAGGGAGTGAAAAAATAATATTACAATAGTTCTATTTCTAGAATCCCAACTATATCCTTTTTTTTCAGTACTAAAAATTAAAATATAAGAAGTACAGAGGAAGTGATGACGTGTTTTACAATGTGTGTATGGGGGAAATAGATAGATAGATATATAGATAGAGAAAGAGAAAGAAAAAAAAAAGAGAGAGAAAAAAAAAGAAGGAAGAAAGAGAGAGAGAGAGAGAGAGAGGAGAGAGGAGAGGAGAGGAGAGGGAAGGAGGGAGAGAGGGAGAGGGAGTGAGAGGGAGAGAGAGTGAGAGAGAGAGGAGAGAGAGGAGAGAGAGGAGAGAGGAGGAGAGAGGGGGAGGTGAAAACGTTAGTGTATAAATGAAAGTGAAAAAATAAAGAAAACAATAGCGTAATTGTTCTTTTTTATCTTTTATAATAGTCTTCTCTGTTGACTGCAGGGTTTTTTTAAATTATTGGATGTAATGCTTATCTGCAAACAACCAGTGTATGTAAACTGTAGATTATTGCCACTGTTTTTTTTCTACATTAATTTAAAATATATTTTAAGTGTTACTAACAATTTGATTGAGAGAGACACAGAGGAGTGACAGAATGTTTTGTAAGAGATGGGAAAAGAGGTTGGAGATAGATAGATAGAAAGACAGAGATAGAGAGATAGAGACAGAGGTGAGAGAGAGAGAAAGAGAGAGAAGGAGATAAAGAGAGAGAGAGAGAATGAAAATGTTGTGGGTTGTGTAAGAGGTAGAGGAGTGAGTAAATGAAGGAGTGAAGAGGAGTAAGTGTGAGTGTTGTGTATGTGGAAATTGTTGATCAAAGAGGAGCAGCAGGCGAAGTAAATAGTATTACAATTATTCTATAAGTTCAATTACATCCTTTCTTAATATAAATATATAAAGTGTTTTCTTATATATTTAATTATAAGAGAGACAGATAGAGTGTTTTATAAGAGAGAGGAAAAGAGGAATAAGAGAGTGATTGAGTGAAAGAATGTGGGTGAAAGAGAGTGTGTATGTGTGAGTATTTTAAAATGGAGGGGGAAAAGTGAATAAATGAAGGAGTGAGGGTTAATGTGTTTGTGTACGGGAGTTAGTATTATAAAGTGTTTTTTTTTGCCACAGCAGAGGTCATATAAACCCTCAGGGTGCCGGTGTTTTTGAAAAAAAAGCCCATTTGTAAGTATGTCGGTTCGAATGCAGGGCCGCTAGATTCGAACCCAGGACCTTTACCTTACAGTGATGAGCGCTGTGTCAAAGACTAAACCTTGCGGCCACCGATGCCCCCTATAAAGTGTTTACTTATAATTTTAATTATAAGAGATACAGATGGAGTGTTTTATAAGAGAGGGGAAAAGAGGGAGTAAGAGAGAACTGAGTAAGAGAGAGTGTGTGTGAGTGTATGTGCACAGAGAATGTGTTTTGTAAGAGAGAGGAAAAGGGGTGAGTAAATGAGAGAGAGAGAGAGTGAGGGGGGAGTGAGTGAGTGTTTCAGTTTAAGAGATAATTGATAAGACAGTGAGTGAAAAAAATAATTTAGCAACAGTTGTTTCCATACCAAATATTTCTTTATTTACATACCTATACAAAGGGTTTCCTAAAAATGTAATTTTTGTTACGTAAGAGAAAGGAAAAGAGGAAGTGATCGAGTGAGAGAATGTGTGGTGTGTGTGTGTGTGTGTNGAGAGTGAGAGGAGGGAGGGAGGGAGGGTAGGAGGGAGAGAGAGAGTGGGAGGGAGAGAAAGAGAGAGAAAGAGAGAGAGAGAGAGAGAGAGATAGAGAGGGAGAGGGAGACAGAGAAAGAGAGATATAGAGAGGGAGAGGGAGACAGAGAAAGAGAGAGTGATAGAAAGAGAAAGGGAGAGTGAGTGTGAATGTATTTGTGTGAGAGTATTGGTAAGAAAGAAGTGAGTGAAGAAAATATTTCAATATTCCAATTACAACCTTTTTTTTAAATATACAGACAAAAGTGTTTAATATCGATTTGCTTAATTATAAAACTATAACCGATGGAATAAATCTCTGAAAAACTAAGGAAGAAGGAAACAATACAAGGACGAACTTTGAGAACCGTTTGAGAAACGGTGAACGAGAAATAACCTATATTTAAATGAAACTTTTTCTTAATTTATAATTTAAATTTAATTGTTGATTTGGTTCGTGTTTGCCGTAATAGCTTAGAAAGCCTTCGGAGAAGGAGTGATTTCCTCAGCGACGGGCTAAAATGGAAAAAGAGGTTATGTCTAAAGTAAAACAAAGTTTTTTTTAAAATAAAATTGTACTTGTACGTTAGACGAAGGAAGGAACGTTAAAAAAACAAGTAAGATTTGTAATTTTAAAAAAAAATGGAGAGACTGATAATAAAATCGACTTTTTGTTTAATCGTGCAACTTTAATCAACGGAAAAGATGGAACGTCATTATTTTTGCGTTGAATCCGGGTTAAAATTGTAAAACAAGACAAATAGAGGAGATCCAGAAGGGAGACTAATCAGGGTGATAGATAATACGTGAAGTGTTTGCAGGAAGATTTCTGAATTTTTTTAAAGGAAAAATTGAAATGGGGGCAAATAAGGAATTTCTGCGTCTGCTTTCTTTTAAGATGGGGGTTTGATAAATTTTCTAAAATGAAATGGTCGATCTGTGGGTACTTACTGAAGGCCCATGCTCTTGAGGTGCTGGCCGATGAGCCTGACGATGTCCTGGTCTGTTTTATTGAATATCCTGTCGTTCTCAGCTCCGTTTTCCGTCTTGATGTGAACGGGGTCGCCCTTTGGCGACGGGCTGGGGTTGGACTGCTCTTCCTTGAGCAGGAGCTGGGGCGAGGGCGAAGAGCCATTCGCTTGCATCGTAGCCGTCGCTTCGACTTCAACCGAAGTCCGAGACTTCTTTCGCGGTGGCGGGTCCAAGCCGCCCTCCTCCGGGTCTCCCTGCGAGTCCAGGCTGCTATCGGGCCTCCGTCTTGAAATCCCGAGCTCCGGTCTACGCTCCCGATAGACGTGTACCGAGTCGCTCCGTCCTTCTACCTTCTCGAACCGAGTAGCATAGCCCGTCTTTTTCAACTCGGCTTACTATCACAGATGGGAGACAGCTGAGCAATGTTTGGCCCTGTGACGTCACACGCGAGTATGGATTCCTTTGTTTTCCCTCGGCCTGGCCCCTGAGACGTGAGGGCGAACCTCTTCCCTGCGCACGACAACCACGGCAGAAGAAGGCAGCCCCTCTGTCGACGACCGCGCCAATCAAAAAACGCCCACAAACCACACAGATCACTGCCCAATACAAAACACGACATACAACACTTATGACGTCATCTAAGAACACTCATTCATTAACACACCGCACAGATTAACCGTCAATCCAGTCCTCACTCATTAACTAACCTAGAAAAGTGGTGCATCAACAACTGTATGACACTGAACATTAACAATTGCAACATCTCTTTTAGCAGACTTAAATCTACACCTTACTCCATATGTAATATCTCATTGAGTAAAGTAAAAATTATCAAATTCATTAACATATACAACACACAAATTAACCGTCAATACCCTCAATCCATTCCTCAATCACTAACTAACCTAGAAAAGTGGTGCACCAACCAATATTTATTATATCTTTTTTAACAAATGCAACAACATATCTTTTAGAAGACTTAAATCTTCTAAAATTAACCCTTACTCCATAGATGTATTAGTCATGGTGTAATATACTGCGCCGTTTAAAAGCTATTGTATCCCCCGTTCTGTGCCTATAGCACACCGGTAGTTCTATTTCAACAAGGAACTTGATTAGTAGGTCCGGTTTCAATAGTTGAATTTCTTCTACAGTCACATTGTACATCCCAAAACACTTCCTCCTGTGGGCAAGTGTGACACCACAGATTGTTGTCTCATCTGCCTCTTTGCAGAATCTGCATGTGCCGTCTTGGATTATACCAATTTTCTTTAAATTTCCAGTAGTTTGCAGTTTCTTGTTAATTGTTAGCAAAGGCATTTGGTGGTATAGATTTTTCCATGAGGTGTCTGTGGGTCATATTGGTGTGCCCTATATGTAATCGGCATAATACAACCTCATCACGCCTGGAAGTTTGGAAGGATGTTTCCCAAGGTCTAAACAGTCTCTTTTATAATTAATAATTTGTTGGAAGTAGTTTGTTTCCCAATTTTCAATTAATTGGCTTGGGAATTGGTTGGCAATGGTTTTATGTCGTTATTGTCCATTCTAAGATTATTATTCGTCTCTCTCCCACTCAGAATCAGCTCAAGAATGAGAATGCTCAGAATGAGGATGTGGATTTTACTGATTGCATCGTGCACTGCCAACAGCTATTGCACTGGAAAGACCTAGGTTGGCAGCGCATGGAGTGCTAGACCTAGGTAACTACCAATACCTGGGGTAGGTGATTCTCAGGAACCATTGGCAATCTGTTGAGAAACTGGAACTATCAGAGAATCAGTGGATTCTGAGAAGTGATAGTCCCAACTCTGCAAATGTGGATAATGTGCACACCTTCTGTGGATTTGTGCATATATAAAGCAGCAATATTTTTTTCCTTATGACAGGTACCTTGGCCAAACGTCGTACAGGTGGCACAAACAGAAAACAAGGAGCACCCCAGGCCCAGCCTCACTATAATTATGTCCTTTATGTCAATTTCTACTTGTACTATGACCAGCAGGGGGGGGATGTGGATAAAAACCATTTACATCGAAATCAACATGAAAAAGTCCACTTCCCCTAGGTCACAGGGGCCTGTCCCGGACAAACCACCCCCAACACCCTGCTGACAGTCAGTTTTAAAATCTTACTTTTCATTAATTCTTACAACAAGTGTAAATGATTGGTTGATTCATATGTAAGGCATATAAGTAATAATTCATTAACAATATGTATCAATAAAGATATGTGATTTTTGTTGAATTTTATTTTTAAAATAATATTTGTTATTATTTATTTCCAAGAAATGTGCAAAGAATAATCAATAAATTATATACAATGACACTGAGTTTTAGCTAATATGATTAACATAAGGCCATAAGATAGCTTTAAAAAAAAAAAAAATATTACTATCATCATTACTTTTCTCTCTTAAATTACAACGATTTTATACAATTTATATATTTAATATTAATACTACATTACATTTTTCGTTGTTGCAAATGTATACTAGAACTGAAAATTAATTTGAATTATGGCGGGAAATTTGGAAGAAGGAGAAGAATAAACAAAAAGCTGTTGTAACAGGAATGGGGAGAAAAGGAAGAATGGGATAAAAGACTAACTTCAGAGATTGAATCGTAGGGAATCGATTCCCTTAAAAGAATCATTCTTTCCATCACAAGCTCACAATAGTCAGAATGCTCAAGCTTAGGGTGGCCAAGTATATTTTTGAACACTGCAACTCTGAGCGGACGTGCGCCAAACATTATAAATAATAAAATTATGTTAAAATTAATAACAATAGAATATTTTATTTGACAAAAGTTGTTCTATTATTAAAAAGTTTATAATTAACCAAACAGAATGCTTTTTGTAAATGTATGTAAGTTTTTAGTCGATACATTTCACGTCAAAATTTGGTTAAAATCCTGTTTCTTATTAATAAAAAAATGGTTTAAACCAATTTTGCCGTTAATATTTATTAGTAAATGTCGTGTTGTTTTTTTAAATTGATATTTGATATTGAAAGGGCATTGGTTGTGACAGGGAGGTTAAGAGGGTTGAGAAAAATCTTTTTTTCTTGAGTGTGAGTTTCGATTTTTGAGATGGCTGTTGTCGCCGATCCGAGAAAATTGCTCCTTCCAGACCCGGAAGAGAAGAAAACCGTTCTGTATGACAAATTTACACCCCTCTGCCTAGCGAGTATCTTATTCTTAGGCGTTTTAGCATCCAGACGGTTCAACAGGAAACCTGTGTTCTCTGGTATGACCTGTTCCAATCAGGCTCTTTTCTTTACACCCTCTTTTAAAAAAGGTCTCCAGACACCTGTTAATATCTAGTTTTTGAAGCATCAAAAGACAACAGTATTGTTAATCTTTGTTTATTTAGTATATACAGTAAAACTTCGTTATAACGCTCTTCTGGTCCAAGTCAAAACGCAACTAAACTGCTCAAAAATGAATAGGAAAATTGCCAGTTTTGTAGTATTTACTTTCCCTAGCATTTTTATTTTATTTCGTCTATAAATTGCATTAAAATTTATTGTTTTTTACTGAAGAAAAATTTGATTAAGGTATTTTGAAAAATAAAAAAGTTTTAATTCTATAATTTTGGTTATTGGACACAAGAATTTTTTAAAACAATTAATACCGTATATAAGGTCCTTTGATAGCTAAAACCTCTGCACCTGTGGGGCATACTGCGAATAAGGTTGTCTCTAATTTCATTAGGGATTTCACTCCATAGATGTTGCAATGCTGCACTCAGTTGTTGCAGTCAATTGGCTGTGGTAGGTGATCGAAAAACTTCTACAACGCATACGGTGCTCAGTGGGATTGAGGCCTGGAGACAAGACCAGATGGGAAATTCTCAGGTTTTATAAATATTGATGAAGAATTTTGCTTCTGTCAGGTATGGCATTGCATCCAGAAATTGAAAATCCTTTCCAATGAGATCCCTGGCTTGAGGGATTTATTCCTCAGTAATTTCTTGTATATAACGGACTGCAGTGAGGTTGCCTTCAACAATATGGAGTCCAGTTTGTCCTCCAGTGTAAATCTTGGCCCAGACCATTACACCTCCTCTTCCAAACTGCACTGAAAGGTTTTGTACGCATCTCCTGTTTTCGGTAGACTCTTTGGCACCTGCTATCACTATACTGACAAACATTACTCATCAGTAAACATAACAGCAGTCCAATTGTTCTCTTCTAGGCGCTTGCTGCTCCATATTCTCCTAAGTTGCTGGTGACGGGCTGTTGCTGCATGTCGCTTCAAAGGGGTATACGATGTGAGGCCTTCCCAAAAACGATTCGTAATTGGTAAATGCTTGCCAAAACATCTTATACTTTATTTAGTATCTGATGAGCACTATGGAATCCATCTTGCAGCAGTGACAATATCGTTGTCCTCCATTAGGTCATAGGGCACTGAGATCCATTACCAGGCCTCCTATTGCATTTCCAGTCTCTCAGAATCAGGCTAAAGCCCCAGAAATGATACTCTGAGAAACGTTAACTGCCTCTGCGATATCCACTTGCGGTGAACTCGATGACTCATTCTCACAATAATGGTTGAGATGATGTCTTTCCATGGTTAAAGAGAATGCAACTGGATTAAAACAGAAAAAAAAAGTTTTCAAAATTAGTAATCTTCATGTTTACTATTCTTAAGTAAATCTGTTGTTAAAAATGAGGATTAACATTTGTTTCTTTTTGGTTTGTATTAGCTATTTTGTTTTATCCAACTAACAAGAAAATAAATCGGTTAATTTAATTAAAATTAATATAGTAAGAATAAATTACAAATATCTCTATTCATATTTGAGCAGTTTATAACTGGTAAAACAGTATTACCGGGTAATCATAAAAACACAGCTTAAAATGAACAACATTTATTTAAAAACATATAATGTGTAATTTTTTTTTTTCTTTTGGATACCAGGGACTGGAGGAGTTCCAATCCAGGAGGCAAACACAAATGTGAACTTGAGCCCCCGTTGTACCGGTGTTCTTCCATTGAAGAAACTCAATTTTGAAGGGGGTTGGGACCAAATTCGCCGAGTGCCGTGTCAATTTCTTTCAGTTGTGGCCACCAGTCCCCTTAGGTGTCAGAAAAAGTCCAGAGGCGACGGTGGGAATCGAACCCACGACCGCAGGATCTACTAGCTGAGAGTCTGACGCCTTAACCACTCGGCTACTGCGGCCGACTGGTGGGAGAACCGAGGAAAAGAAGTGTTAGAGCCGGGAAATCTTTATAAGCAGTAGTGTAAATGCATGTTGCCAGACATTCTACACTGACAAGCAATCCAGCACCGTGACAGAAGATAGCATGTCACGTCGTATGTGCAGTGGACTTCGACTTCAAAACCCCACACGCACTCAGTTTATTTGTCAGTTTGCCTGAATCTAGATTGGAATAATATACTGAACAACTATGTATAGCCACAGTTCATTTCTTATGCAGTGTGTATCATACTCGGTTAAGTGATAGTTTGTCTGAGTTCTGATGAATTAACCGAGTGTTCAACAGTTTACTTTTCATCCAGTTTCTCCTTTTTTGTGCCCTCTTGCCCCTCAACCCATTCAGTCCTCAGTTTATTTGAATTCTGACTGGAATAATATACTGCACAATTCTAAACTATGTATAGCTACAGTTCCATTTTTGTGTCCGTTCCTCCATTTTTAAGGAACCATATATGCTCAGTTTATTTGCCAGCTTGCCTGAATCTAGATTGGAATAATATACTGAACTACATATAGCCACAGTTAATTTTTTTTTCATCATATTCAGTTAACTGTTAGTTTGCCTGAATTCCGATCGCAAGAATTAACTGAGTTAATTACTGAGAGTAGCCATAGTTCAGTTTTCTTCCAGTTTCTCCTAGCTTAGCGCCCTCGTACCCATTAACCTGAACAGTCTCAGTATATTTGAATCCAGATTGGAATAATGTACAGATCTATGTATCCTTTGTTTTTAAGGAAACATAAACACTCAGTTTGGCGGAATTCAGATAGGAAGAAGCTGAGTGCGTGAAGCCATAGTTTTTATTTTTTTTCCAAGCTCATACACAGTTTATATGCAGTTTGCTTTTTATCTTCAGTTGTCAGTTTCGCTTCGCTTGCTATTATCACAAAACTTTATTTGATGATATACGATTCCATCTCGGTAAAAACCTCAAAATACTTTTATAATCATTAGTCTCATTACATATTTTCTGATTCCTGATGAAAGTTATTAAGGCAAGTTATTTGCTGTCTGTTACAGCGAGCAGCCCTCATCTTTTTTCCAGGGGTAGAACCCATATTTTAAATTTATAATTTTATATACAACAATAATTTTAATGCCAAAGGTTGTGGGTTTGAATCCGGCTTGTGGCACTAGCTTTTTCATTTCAACTAAGACCTTCTGTAAAAAGAATAATTAATCAGACCAACTAAACAGAATGGATTTGATAATTTTAATTATGGCTCACTTGGTCATCCTTGTTTCTTTATTATTTCTGCTTTTTTGATTCTCTCACCATAGCTCCTGAAGTCCCATTCAGATAAAATATTTTTTAAACTACATTATTAATTGTAAAATATTGACATTATTTCACTATGGTTTAAAAGTATTTTATACATAAAGTTGATATTGTTATTAATTTTGAAGGTATACAACATCATATTATGGCTGTGGTCGGAGGATGGGTGGTAGGTAAAGCATTACACAACATGATGGAAAATCACAATGCAGAAAAAGATGCAATCTACAGGCATTATATCGATCTCCACCCTGATGACTTTCCCACACCACGTACGTTATCAGTACAGTATATCAGTTTAATTGAAAATTTGGCTTATGTTTTGGTTTGTTTCAGAAAGAATAAAAGTAGGCGAGAAGTTTGGGCCATGGACTCCGATTCGTTAATTCTAGTCTGGCCCAGTTCGGAAGAATGTAAAAAGGTTTCATGTTATCAATGTCTCAATAGTTAAATATTTAATTATAAATAGTTTAAATAAATTGTTTTTGCTTATACCCTAGATATAAACTTTCTTTATCCAAGATTTAAATTGCATTGTTTTGTTAAATTATTTGTCGACGTTTGTTTGCTCCAATCAGCACACCAAAACCTCTTAACTTGACAATGCAAGGGGGAAAATATTTTATCTATTCATAATTAAAACAATTTCCTATGGACAGTATTTAAAATAGCATAATGAATACCATTTTAATGATATACATATAGTAAAAACAGATATTTGTTTTTATCATTAAGACAAGACTGGTAGGATTATCACAAATTCTTTTATTATTGATTGTTAATTTGTTTAAGCTCAAATCTGCACCCGGTTATACATACATTTACAGAATTGACTATCTACTTTTTTGTAGTCCACAGGCAGTTCCAGCTTTTGTAATTTACAATAGATTACCAAAGGCCTCAAGAATCACCCAACTCTGGTGTTGACAGTCCGGGGTTATAAGTCAGTCTTGTCTATCCAGCTGCCAAGATTGGGTTCCAGGGCTATCAATAGCTAGATTATTTCAGCCCTTAACACAATCATTTCCTAAATTCAAATCCATTCACTCACTCTGAAATACACTCTTATTTATTACATACTATTCCCCCAGTAAGGGTGATCGAGTACTAGATATTCCTCCATCAGCCATTCAATTTTATAACTAATCTAATTGAGTTTTGATGGTTATTAATATCTTGTCATTGGCCCTATCACACATTCTTTCATTAAATGCATTCACTCTCAACACATGCTAGGGGCACAAAACTATCAGGATTATATGCAATAAAACAACCGTTTCCTCGAATAATCAAAACAAACCCCTCACTCACAATCTCATATAAGGTGTCAGACACATATGCTTTGGCCAAAAAGTAAGTCGCCTGGCCTAATCCTAATCGGGTGTGGATGACCCTTCTTCTATGAGTCAGGTCCTCTGAGGCCCACCTGATAATTTTAATATTATAATCGTATTATTATGTATAATTAATTATACTTTATTTAAATCTAAGGTCTTGGTTGAGATGAAAAAGCTAGTGTCACGAGCAGGATTTGAACATTATTATGTATAACTATTATCTATCATATCACATACGAATATTTAAATGATTGTATCTCCTTTTAAAAATATTTTGATGTCTTCTCAACTTAATGCATGGCTATAGACTAATTAATGCTGATAACTGCAAGGTCTTGATGTTTTTAAAGATTACTCCCTACAATCAGAATGTTATAGGGATGTTGTGGAAGTGTGGGACAATTTACGGTTGTTAGGATGTTTCACATCTTCAAGACAACAAACCATAGGAATGGATTTAACAATGATCAATCAATGTACTTTAACAACAGTAAAAAAGATTTTTCAGAAATCATGAGATGCAGTCTGGTGTGATGTAAAAAGATTTTTCAGAAATCATGAGATGCAGTCTGGTGTGATGTAGGTTTCAGAAAAACATTTTCTTTATCGTACCAACGTTTCGATCTTTATTGAGATCATCTTCAGGGCCTGGGATTTACAAACATTGTTTAAATTTAACAAATACAAATGTAAATCCCAGGCCCTGAAGAAGATCTCAATAAAGATCGAAATGTTGGCATGATAAAGAAAATGTTTTTTTGAAACCTACATCACACCAGACCGCATCTCCCGATTTCCGAATAATCATCGACTAATGGTCACTAACCACCATACACAAACAGTATAAAACTTAAATTGTTTTGAGGGGGAAAAAATATAATACAAATTATGGTTAAAATATGCTATAGCTATTAAAAATATATGGTTTAACAAAAAATGTCTAGGATCCAACCTGTTGTCACATCAATAATAAAATTCAAGTCCTGAAATCCCCAATCAAAAACAAAAATATGTAATCACATTGTAACAACCCTAAACTGTATCAAAGAAGTGGTGTGAAACATCCTAACAACAATTAAATCGATCACTCCCTGGTTTAAATACTGCATAAAGGTTAACCAAGTAGACGAGGTCTCCATGTTCTCGGAACTGGGTGTGACTTTTAACTCAAGTTCTTCAGGTTCTTTCTGGTGTGACAATAATGGACAATTACTCCTAATACTGTTCTCTGGCCGAGGGAGTACCGCAGAGTGCGTGCACAATCCTCTATCCTTTATACTGCACTTGTTCCCACTATACCTATCACCCTCCTTGTATCTTTTGCCAATTTCTATCCTCCAACCCTGATCCTGCTGTCGATTTGAAAGATCTACAAGGATATATCACTAATACAGCAGATAAAATGAATATCAATGAAAGCAAATGCATCCATGTCACATTTACACTCTAAAGGATATCTCCTCTAACAATCTATTACAACAATGTTCCTATCCCCAAATGCAATATTCGTTAACTTGGGCTCCGACTAGACTAACAATTAACATGGAATCAGCATACATGCCTGAAACGACAACACAAAGAGACATTTGGTTTACTCTACAAACTTATGGGATGATAATTCAAGCTATCAGTGAAAAACAAACTAACAATCTACAATATGCTACTACAACTGACATACGGTATATATATATTACACAGGGCGGGCGACCAGGACCCGAGGGGTTAAAAGCCTGAGTAGGCCCGTACCCCATCCCTAAAAGGTCCGGGACCTGGTCGGCTCACGAGTCCTGCATAAACCTATTGGACCTATTCACAAACCCCAGGATTGTGGACCATTTTATCCTGGGGAGTGTTTTGGTTATGTCCTCTCCTTCGAAAGTATTAAATCTTTCCCTAGCATACCTATCGCATTCTGCGAGGTGGTGTCGGGCCGTTTCTTCTTTTGTTTCGCAGAAGCGGCAGAAGGGGTTTGGTAGAGTACCCATTATGAAGAGGTGTCTTCTCAAGGGGCAATGGCCCGTTAGGATACCTATCAGCCTCCTTATTCCCCTCCTAGAGTTAGAGAATAGCCATTTCGATTCTTTAGGTTTGATTTCCTTCAGAAACTCCTTCGATTGCCTGCATCCTGGGGACATATTCCATTCCTTAAGGAATTGTTTCATGCCCCAGCTACCTATACTCTCTTTTGCTGTGCTTAAAGAGTGGGGTAATACCGGTTGTGGTCCGACGAACTCAGTATTTGATCCTTCCTTGGCCAGGCTGTCCGCCTCCTCATTGCCATAGTGCCCCTTATGAGCAGGTATCCATATGAGGGTTACCCTATTCTCATACCTGGTGATTGACATACGGTATAGAACTGTAAGGAACCGCTAAACCTTCCAATATCCACCATACGCCAATTCTTCTTTCAGTCCAAAGTCCTCAATCTAAATCTCTTTAGATAAATCTAAATCACTCTGTCTTGTCTCCAATACTACCCTCCACAACGACGTTAAAATCCCATTTATCCAAACATTAATTCCTCCATATTAAACAATATCGTGCCCAAGTCCAACAGAACCCATCCGTACAATTCCAGGTGTCACAAGAGGAAATGGCTTTGCAACCTCCGCATGAAGTTTATTTAGTGAAGTAAAATGGGAAAATAATATTGTTTATGTAAATGTAATTATGTAAATACATTTATACATCATCAAATTACATGTTGTAATCAGAAATGTGGATTGTAATAAAGTATTGAAATAAAAAAAAATTGACAAACTGAGCATGTAATACGTATAGACCCTAAAAAATGAAGAAATGTCAAAAAACCGGTACTGAGCCTGTATGGGGGAACCAAATATATTTTGAATTGATGGCACATTCTGTGTCATAGATTGTGAATTTCCAATCTGATATTCAAATTTTGCATTTTTGATCTCGGAAAATCTTGCTTATTCTTTAAGTCCACCAAGCTCATGATATTACTAAGTAGGGAGAATTGAATTATTGAATTATATGTAACAAAGTAGGAAGTTTATGGGCCAACAAATAGCTGAGGCCACTGCCAGCCCTCTACATGTTATCCTTGTTTTTCTCTTCTTTCAGGCTTATTTTGTTTTATATATAATTATTGAATTATTATTGCATCATTTTCAATTAGGTTAAAAGTTGTTTAAACAAACTTAATTGGAAATTGTACTATGAAATTTAAGCAAAAAAAAACTTAAATTTTACTTTATATTTTTTACGCATTCTAGTCTGTCCAGTTTCAATTTTATTTTAGTTGCTTGCTATAGCAGCTTTCTTTAATTATACCATCCTGGCTTGGGGACATTCTGTTTCCTCAAAAATTATTTTTTATAGACAAAGAAAGGCTATGAGTACCATGAAAATAATAGATTTTAATGTTGATTGTAAAAATCGACATGTTGGGCGGGGTCTATTATGTTGAACTGATATGGAGATATGCTTTGACCATGAATGTCTACCATGACTGCTGAGGATATGCGTCATTTTGTAAAGTTTGAAAATGACTTGCTGTCGTGTTCCAACAGTAGGAAAGAAAAGCTTCGGGCCCTTTTCACAATTTTGCCATTTTTCATTCTATTGTTCATCGTATACAAGTTTCCAGAATGATGAAAAAGCCACTTTGTTAGACCTGAATGGTAAAATGTGAAAGCTCGCTCATTTCCCTTAAGAACCATGTGTGCTTTAACCCAAGCAAAATGTACCATCCATTTCAATTCCTCAGATTAAAAAAAATTGTTTTTTCTGGTATCTTTGGGTCCTGAACACTACTTTGCAGCAAAAGAGCATCTTGCCACAAAAGAGGATACATCTTAAAATGGATCTTTAATGAGTCCAAAACCTGGTGGAATAATACGGGGTATGAGGCACGCGAAGAGATTCCTAGAAGGACCATCTGCAAAACTTACAAAAGAATTACTGCAACTGCAACTGAACTAGGATTCTGTTGGACTCCTAACAGAACTTAAGAAAGCACCGGATAGGGGTACCGACAAGAAACACTGCAGATACTGCCAGGAAGAGGAGGAGACCGCAGAACATTGAAGGTCTTTGTAGGTGCAGCTTTTTGAAACTAGGACAAGAAAAACCACAAGCAATATCCTACACTAAGAAGCTGTTGGGAAAACTATGGATTTCCTGATTAACAACCTAACGCTGGCCAGGGAATTATAAAAAAAAAGAAGGGGTATATCTATTCAGGTTGAGGTGCAGAAGGCCTTGTGGCCGCCTCTTTTATCCCTATCCTTATCTGATGTCTTCTATAAGCGGCCAGTATCAATTACCATTCCTCAATATGTCAAGAGTGATTTTTTTACAACATTTTGACAGCTGTCAGTCATGATACATATTGATCTGTTGTCAGGAGATAATATTCCCAGTACTTTGAGCATCTGAACCACAGCTAAGCATTCTTTGTTGTTTGAACAATCAGCTCTTACTAGAAATTCTTTTTGCTGCCTAGCTCTATAGCAACTACAGAACAGCCATTTCCACCATCCTTACTACTCTCTATATACATGTTCAAGGCATACTGAACATTCTCTTTCCTTTCATCAATTAGTGGTAATCTAGTAGGATGAGACCAGTTGACACAGTTTAATCTACGTTGCCTGTATTCAGTTGTCATGATGTAAATGCCACTGTCTGTGGCATGTATGCCATGATGTGTAGAACTGACTATGTGCAGGTATGTAGGAATCGACCTTTTCAGGTTTTATTTACATTTAGTTCCATGTTGTTACAAGAACACCTCTCCACAAGATTAAAGATTTTTCAGAAGGAGAGCATAAAAGTTATAGTGGTACTTCAGGTCATCAGCAAAGAGGTTAACCAAGTAAAAACAAAGAAAAATATCTAAATGCTTTCTAATGGGCATAAGTTTTCACTGGAGGTCTGCTTTTATTTTAAATATTCCGTATACAGTTCGAGTATATACACAAAGCTGGGTCTGCACCAATAAAAATTTATTCCGAATAAGACACACAGTGTAAATTTTTGTGCATATGTGAGTTTGTGTGTGTGAACTTGACAATGCAAGCTATAATTTGTCCAATATTCAGCAAACACGCTCCGAGACCTAGTTGGTTTTTAGATGAACATTAAAGTATTTGCTGTAGAAAAGAAATAATAAAGGTGGGGTGGTATGTCGATTCTCTTTTTGCAAAAGATAGTTCTCACTTTTCTGATAGTTCACCTCTTCTCTTTTATGATTTAACCATCATTTACAAAAAGTGAAGCAACGGATTTGCGCCGCATGAATTCTCTCGATGTGGACGTTTCTGCTGCAAAAGATTGTCCGCCTACCTTAGTAAGTTTGTGTACTTAATTAACAAGCACAGAGTTGTTTGTGACCTTCGAAGTGTGGATAGAGCAAAAAAAAAAAAAAAAATGCGTAGATAGCAAAAACTTGAACTTAAAAAACTTAAGTCATTCTGAGGTATTGAATGTAGGCAAACTGGAGGACAATCTTTTGCGACAGAAGCGGCCACATCGAGTCTTTATGCGGCGCAAATGCTTTTATGTTCATCAAAAAACCTATTACATCCCGGTGTGTGCGTTGAAGGTGGGATAAATTCTTGCGTGCTACCTCCCACACAGAAATTCCCGCACATGCACAAAAATTTACGCTGTGTCGTATTCGGCGTAAATTTTTATACGTGTGGACCCACCATTGAAGGTAAAAGTTTGTGTGAAAATCATTGGGTTGGGTTTTGAGGGTAGCAAGAAGCTAAATAGCAATAGCGTACGAGACTACGAGTTACGACGGCATCGGGAGTCGGGCATACCATTTTGAAAATCCCCTCCCAGCAACTGAGACGTATGTACAAAGTTGGCAGGTTGGTACCGACTTAGTTTTCATTTGGATGTGAGCAATTTTTTTCTTTCTCTGAGTTCGACTTATTGGTAATGGTTTAAAGTTGGAAATTGTACAAAAGTTGTCTCTGAAGCGATTTCAATGCCACCTTTTCCGGCTCGGGGGGAGAGATGGCATGAAGACTGGTGGCCGTTTCTTGTAGCTGCCGACGTCAGATGCTTGTTTGCTTTCTTAAATTATCACCCTTTTCCAAGGTAGTTGTTTTGTTGACAGCGTTCCTCGGTATACAACTGCGGTTCGACTCGCCTTCTCGGCCAGTGCGGACGGCTTCTCCGAAAAGGCGTGAACTGCTTCACATCCACGGGTCAGAAAGGTATGCAGCCCGACTCTAGAGTCGAGGACAGGCTATTCGCCGCCATGTATGATTTCGGTATTAGTTTACCCCTATTTACTGCTTTGTTCTCTTTTGGGGCGGATTCGCCTGTTTATTTGAGACGTTTGCCCTATTTGATATGTTTCTCATCGCCACGACGTTTTGAAAGGTATGACGGTGTAAGATGTGCGACCAGACGGAGGTGACTTACTTGCCAGACCAGGTCGTTTGGGTGAAACTTGCCAGCGTTTGGTGGCCGGCCCAGGTCGTCGACCAAGACAAGCTCGACGAAGATGTGACCGCGGGTTTGAAGAAAAAACCGCTCGTCGTCGTCAAATTTTTCAACGAGGATTACTAGTGAGTGATTTTCAATTTTTTTAATCGGTGTATTTTTACTTTTCAATACTAATTTATTCAATTTAAAAGCGATTAAATTCTCCACATTTCTAAATACGATATTACAAAATAAAATCCACAATTTTCATTGAACACATTTTATTGTACTGATTATGCCCTTTCAAGCGGTCAATAATAACCAAAACACACATATATTGTCTCATAAAAGTAATCAGAAATCACATTTTTCTTTAAAATGCACTGCTCCATAAAAAAAAGTGGTTCAATTTGAAATTTTAATATTTTTTTATGCACTTGCCTTTTCAGTAATATTAACACACATATTTTTTTATAATTCAGGTATTTATTAAAAGATTTGGTTAGTGTAAAAATAATAAATGTCACAGAAACAAAAAATAATAATTAAAAAAATCACTTTTTGTTTGAACATAAAACATATTAGGTTTTCTAGAAAATAATGCAGGTTTATGGTTATAAAATAACAACAATTAATTAAATGATTTTAACATTTTTTCTCACTGTATTTTTCCTTCTCAATTCTAATTTATTCATTTTAAAAGTCACGACATATCTAATACTATATTACAAAAGAAATCTACAATTTTTATTGTATACACATACACTGACAGGCAAAAAATTCCACCCATCTGATTTTTTTTCATTCTCTTCTCTTTCAATTTGTCTCATTATTTTTATCAATAAATATTTGTTTATGCTGTTTTAAATTGGGAATATCAATTAGAGGTAAACACACTTAATCCTTATTCCAAAACAAGGATAAAGGATTTTTCAATGTTTGATTTTTACGGAATTTAAAATGTTTATTCAGTCTCATTTGAATTCTGAAGCAATAAACTGTTTAGTTTTCATCTTTGTTGTCTTAATTTCAATTTTTAAACTTAAAAATGCCACTTAGTGCTGAGGGTGTTGCGTGTTGTGTGGCACTTATTGATGATGGACGTTCCATCAGATATGCAGCTATTTCTATCGGAGTTCCCTACGAAACACTGTGTTACACCATTAGATATTTTCGAGAGACTGAGTCCTACCATAGAAGGCTTGGTTCTGGATGTCCTAGGGCATCAGAACTACAGAATAGCCATTTTTTAACCTTGAGAATTTTGCAAAACAGTCACCTCACTGTTGTTCAAGCGATTCATCAGCTACAGGAAGTTTGAGGTTTCCAAATTTCTGAACACTGCTCGAAGAAGATTAAATCAGTTTGGATTGATGGCTTTTCGCTCTGTAAGAGGACCAGAATTGACCAGAACATACAGAGTAGCAGGGCTCGCATTTGCTCAAGAACACAGCCATCCAATCTTTGGACGATTGGTCTGCTGTACTTTTTACAGATTTGCTCTACGATCTCCAGATGGGAAGAAAGAGTCTGGAGAAGGTGAAATTAAAGGTACGAAGCCTGTAATTTTTCCCAGAGCCGACCTTGTCAATGTAGCTCAGTGATGGTGTGGGTGGGAATTTCAATGCTGAGTCGCACAGAGTTGTTTGTTGTTTGTGGAGGGTCTTTGACGGCTACATGAAATTTTGGAACATCATTCGTTGCCTGTCCTTGTTGAAATCAGCACAATCCTAATTTAACGCAAGATAATGCCCATCCACATGTCGCTCGCATAGTACATACGTCCCTCCAATAGCATAACATCACGGGGCTTCGCCTGACCAGCCCGTTCTCTAGACTTGATCCCCATCAAACATTTATGGGATAACCTTAAAAGACAAATAAGAGCACGTCCTCCTCATACACTCCATGATCATGAAAGGACTCTTTGTGAAGAATGGGCTAACCTCAAGGAAAGAGACATTTCCTGACTGGTAGAAAGTATGCCGAGGCGTCTTTGAAATGTAATTAAGGCAAGGCAAGAGGAGCAAAATATGCGATATTGAAATGTTAATTAAAATCTAAAACAAAATTAAAAGAAATTTTATGTCTTTTTTTTCATTTTTCATTTCCTTAGCAATTTATATTTTTTTAAATTTTTTATTTTATTTTTCATTTTCCTTAGCAATATACATTTTATATTATTACTATTATTTTTTACTTTTTTAAACAAAGTCTCAATTATTATACGTTAAAAAATGTGAAACTTTGATTAATACATAAAAATATATAGAAATCATGTTATATTACAAATGGGTGGAATGTTTTTCCTGTCAATGTATTTTATTGTACTGGTTTTGACCTTTCATGCAGTTAATAATCAAAAGATATAATACAGTGTCTCACTCACAAAAGTAATTGGAAATCACTTTTTTCTTTAAAAAATGCTGCTCCACAAAAAAAGTGGCACACTTTAAAATTTTAATATTTTCTTTATGTTCTTGCCTTTTCAGTAATATTAATACAGATATTTTTTATAATTCAGGTATTTATTAAAATATTTGGTTAGTGTAAATATAAAAAATGTCTCAGAAAGAAATTGATTTTTAAAATTATTTCGTGCGTTGATAAGTTCACACAAATTCCCGCACATGCACAAAAATTTACACTGTGTGACTTACTCGAAGCAAATTTTTATAGCTGTGCCAAAGCTGTTACAAGGGCACCACGAAAATTTTCTATAAAAAAATTATTTTTATATTTATTTTTTAAAAAAACCTATAAACTAAGTCCCATTTATAAAACCCTAAAAACTAACACCTTGGTTACCTCCCAATCTTAATTTGGATGTTAACGAGGCAGTGCAAATTGCTTTTATATTTTTGCTATTAAGTGCATAATCACTTTTCAAAAGTCAAGCTTTTTAAAGTTTACGTTTATACAGACCATTGTTTTCAACTTCTGGCTTTAAAATTCTGATCTGCTTAAAGCGGTGGAAATGAAAAGTTTTGGAACCACTGGTCTGATGAATGGTGAGGCAGAATTTGATAACCAGATCTAACAGTTTTCGTGTTGTCACATGTGGACTCGTGTAAACAGAATCAGTCTTTTCGTATTGATCAAAGTTTCGGTAATGTCAATTTCCAGTGCATTACTTCAATTTGAGAGAGCAGTTCATTTCAGCATAGGTTGTTTCGCCAGGATTCATGAAATTGTAGTAAATAAATCAGCCCACCAAAGTCACCATCACCTCTTTTTTATTGAGTAGGGGGGCTTTGGAAAATTTGCTGCTTCTCCTTTGTCGAGCCACTGTCCAAAACGTGTTCTGTTATCGTAGTGAATCCACTTTTCATCACAAGTAACAATTCTATCTAAAAAAAGTTGGTTTGTTTCGGTAAAGAACTGTTGTGTAAACTTCATAAATTTTTTTTTGGCGGTCGTTTAATGCATAAACAACCCAACTTTCAAGCCTTTTTATACTGTATTGACACAATTTATGAGGTTGCAAAAAGAATTTCATCTACAATTTTAAATTTACAAAGTTTTTAATTAGAAAAATACAAAAATCTACTTTTACATCTTTATTTTCTTACTTTGTACTTGTAAGTGTAGGAGTTTTATTTGAATTTCCTATGATTTTTATAGTTACCCAATAAAATTTTTAGATAAAAATGTGCTTGTGAAGTTGTGTCAAAGATAATTTATCCTAACTATAACTGTAAAATGAAGATAACACAGTGAAGATGACAAAAAATTTTTTCTCCCACTGTCCTCTGTGTAGTAGATGAAGGTTAAAATTCTTTAATAGGGTGCATTACCTCCTCTTGGTCTTATTACACACTCTAATTTTCTTAGAATGCAGATAATTAAGCATTTAACGTCTAATTGAGTAATTCATCCCAAATCTCAACTAACGTTACATACTGCTCAGCAAACCAACTCCATCCAGTCCTGTAACTATCACCTATATGCCAACGACTCCCAAATGTTTCATATCCTTCCACCCTTCCGATCTTCACTCGGCCACTCTCAAGATCCAAAAAGACTTAAACTCCATCAACGAATGGGCACATAAAAATTCCCTAGTCCTCAATCCGTCCAAATTCACCGTCATAATGATTGGGTCCAGGCAACTCCTCAATTCCCTCCCCAGCATCCCTCCTCTCATGTTAAATAACTATCCCATTCCCTTCTGCTCCTTGGTTAAAAACCTAGGAGTAGTCTTTGACCAAAACCTTTCCTGGCATCCTCACATTTCCCAAATTTCCCGCAATTGTATTCCCTCCCTCAGCATGTTTCGTCGGTCCTGGCTTCTCTTACCTTTCTCCACCCGCAAACTTTTTGTATCTTCCCTTATACTTCCCTTCCTCGATTATAGCTGTGTGGCATACGGTGGTCTCTCGGAGGGGGAACATGCGATTGAAGCGTATTATGAATTGTTGCGTAAGATTCGTGTCCAGCACCCCACAGGGGTCCTACACATCGGGGGTGTATTCCCAACTTTCTTGGCTCTTCCCTTCCTTCCGTACACAGTATTTCCTAGGTTGCTTTCTTTTCCAGTCCATCCACACTCGTCCTTACATCATCCAATCCCTCCAATTCAATTCCTCACATCTCACTCGTAAGACCCGCTCATCCCCAGTCGACCTTATCCTTCCGCAACATACAACCCATACCTTTGAAAGATCCTTTCTGACCCGAGCCCCTAAACTCTGGAACTCCCTTCCCCTTTCTATTCGTCACACTGCCTCCTTTTCCTCCTTTAAATCCCACCTGTATAATCACCTCCTCTCCCTCCAAGCAGAGACCTTACGTTAATATTTGATATTTTTGTTTAATATTCTTGTCATTTTCTCTTCTGGCCTGCCTTACTGGTATACATTGTGTCAAGATTTCTATCTCATTTAACTTTTAATTTCATAGAAGGAACTTCTTTTATTTATTTCATGTATATTATTCTTAGGGGACACCAGTCTCAGAAAAAAGTTTTTTTCTTCTTAATCACTCCTATTGAATTGCCACTGTTGGCTGGTTTCTTACGGCATGCTTCTTTCAGATACAGTGCTGGCCATGGTGTTAGCTCAATGAAAGTAACATTACGAACACATTTTTCGTATTTACTAGCTACTAATATATTGTCTGCCTAGGTGATGAATAGAGAATTGTGGATTATATATACTTAGTTGAGAGCTGTGATATTTCAGTTTGCTCACCTTCTTTACTTGAATTTGTTTCCTCTTTCTAACTTTCATTGTTAATGGATATTTTATTGAAATGTGATCATTTAAATTTAGTTAACTGTTAGCCGGATTGTAGACTAACACAAACCGTTACTGTTGGTATGTAACGGTCATATGCAAAAAAACGTAAGTTGCTTGGTGTATTTATTTTATGAATTTTTTTGTTGTAGTGAATATGTAAAGAGTCTTAACCAGATTTACCATTACAACTGCCGCAAGAAGGAAGAGTTCATAAAAAAAGGGCTAGGTTAGAATCTTATCTATAAAGTTGAATTTTACGTTATAAATAAAAATTTTAAACATACTCCTTTTTAAAGATATGTGTAGATCCAGTGGGACCAGAGATGTGCCGTCGAGCATGAAAAAATTTCCGGAGGACATTGCCATGGCTGAGACCCTCACTGGAGGTGACCCAAATATCATTTATGATCCGTGTTTTCTCCCAGAACAGTCTGTCAGTGTGGAGGAGCAGTTAGGATTCAAGAAGACGCCCAAGCCCAAAAAATCAGAGCGGTTCCTAGAAGTCAATAAAAGCACACATTTGAAAACGTTAGGCTTTCTCGGTGACGCATCGGATTCTCCTTACACCAACAAAAATCATGAAAGTTACATAAGAATTCAAAGAACTCCCTTCCAGTATAATTATCTGTATAAATGCGGCAACTGCACGTACACTTGCAACAATAAATTTCTTGTGGAAGTACATACTAGAGTTCATAGCACACATGACACGAACGGTGTCCCGCTTCGCTTTACTAAAAATGGAGATAGAATTCCATGGTCGTCTACTCCAAAGTATAAACAGAATAAAATTTTCAAGAGGAAGTATATCTCATCATCAGTGAAACGTAAAAACCAATCAGAGGACACTGGGGAAAAGAAAAGGCACAAGAAGAATAGAGTTAAAACTGATTCTAAGCAGAATAATGATGAAATTAGAGAAAATTTATTGAAGGACTGGATGGATGACTCTGGAGAAGAAACTGGTAATGTGGATGAGTCTATGCTTGACGACTCTTTAGTACAAGAAACTGACAAAACAAATGGTGATTTAGAAGAAACTACAGCTCCGAATACTGATACTAGTAATATTGGTGATACTAGTAAGTGTGATGAAAAATCAAAAGTTATTGAAAAATCACAAGAAAAATCTTGCTTTGATTTTGATGATATAGATGAATCTATTAACCTCAATTCATCAATGAAATTTGGGCAGAAGTTGCCTCGTGTGATAAGTGCTGAAAAACCGAAAAAACAAGAAATCCCGATTTTTGATGAATGTGCCGATGATAAGCAAGATCATGATGTTCTTTCTAAAGAGTTTACAGAACTGTTAGATGATACACAGGTTCCACAACTCCCTGACATCCCAAGTACATTATTTTCTTCTTCGTCCAAATCTCCTAAAAAGCATTTTTTAGATGAAACTTTGGATGAAACAAAAAAAGATACAATTTTGTCACCAAAAACCAATTCCAAGACGAGTGTTAACAGAAAAAAAGTGAAATCAACCACATTGACTGATGAAAATAATGAACAACATAGGGAGCAAAATTCTGCTGGCAAAGATGATACACTAGACAATGATAATTCTTTGGATTCAACCCTTCCTAGAAGTACTTTTGATTTTAACCTCTCTGATACTGCCTTGGATAAAGAAACAGCTAATGAAAAACCACAAAAGAGCCTTAACCTGGATTCACCACCTTTAAAAAAGCGAAGGTCCAGTGAGCAAAAACTTTTTTTAACTGAGACTGAAAAGGCCAAAGATAATACGATGACAAAAGACTGGATATCTTCTCCATTTAAAAAGCGCAAGCAAGTTGAAAATGAAAAATCTTTCGACTCGTCACTTGTTGCTGAAACAGAACAGAAATTAACTAAAGGTAAAGAAGAAGAAGAAATGAAAACATTTTTGATAGATGAAGCAAGTTTAAAAGATGATAAAACTGTAGGTTGTAAATTCCCAGACTTACAGACTGATGACTTTTTAGACAAGTCTAAAGATCCAATTGAAACGTCATTGTCAGTAAATAGTAATGAAATAACCCAACCAGAAAATGATGAATCAGAAAAAAACATGACAGACAGCCAGAAACCCAATGAGAGCACTGCAAATGATAGTCCCTTGAATATTGAGGTGAATAAAGAAGAACTAATAAATAGTGAAGTGGATGAAGCCAATAACATTTCACAGCATGAAAATAAAACTGATAAGGCTGTGAGTCTTGTGGATCCTTCGGAAATGGAACTCGACATCAATTCCATGCCAATCGTTCTGGGCGATGACTTAATTCCAGATCTCAAATCGTCTAATTTTTTAGATCCACCTACTTCTAATGAGAATGCCGAAACTAGCAGCGTGAAAAAAATAAAAATACAGTTAAAAAAAGCGAGTGATACAAAATTGCCTGGTGATTTAAGCTATATCAACGGGAAACAGGTCATAACAATCCCTGGTAAGCAGAAGAAGTTGCAAACTAAAGATACCTTACTAAACAAAAGAACCGTAAGCAGTACTGTTACGAGCAGTGTGCAGTCTATAACTGTCCCTTCTCAAATTGTCGTCAAATCACAAAAGACAGCAGGTTCCCTGATCAAGATTGGCGATCAAGATGTAAATACTTCACAGAAAATCTTACTTTTGCCCACAGATTCTACCAGTAACGGTCAGACTGTCACTCTCTCCGCAGAATCTGAGAAAATTCTTAAAACAGGAGGTTCATTACAACTTGGTACAAGAGTCATAAGCACCAAAGGGCTGCTCACTCAACAGGGCACTGCAAAGACGATAACTTTAAGTGGGAACAAGGGGAGTTATATAGTAAAAAAGGCTAATATACTTTCAAATAGGACTGTGAAAACGGCCACCTCGCCTCCTTTGTCCAAATCACAAAATATACTTGCTTCGACAGCATCGACATCAAAGCAAGTGCCAACATTGAAAAATATAATCGTCGCCCCAACTAGTAAAACGGTTGTTACAAATCCCAATGTCAAGCTTGTAACCGGGCAACCAAAATTTGTACAAATTCAGAGGCCAACTGGAGGAACGACAGCACAATTAAAAGTGGCTTCAAAAGGTTCTCAAATTGTATATATACAGAGTCCGCATTCTCTTGTATCAAAGGGCCAGACACTTGTTAAACAGACCTTGACCACGGGTCCAATTAAAACTAAGCAATTGTTCAAACCACGCCAGGCGAGTCCAAACATCCTTCAGAAGTCACCGCGAAAGACTTTACAGCATCAGCCTCAGAAAGTTGTAAAACCTGTTCAACAACAGCAGAGTGAAATGTTGAGCATTCCTGTGGTACAGAATCTTCAAAGTGAATCGAATGAACAAATGAAGATGGTTTATTTAACAGTGGACGGGACGTACCAGCCTATTGATAACTCTTCTCTGATCCCGGTGGAGGGTGGAGGAAACAACATCTTCCTCGAGACAAATTCAGGAGATGTAGATAAACTCTTCCTTTCAATTGATGGAAACGGCCAGCTAATAAATATAACAAACCCTTCTGTATCGACGACTTCACAGACGCCGCCGGGTCAAGACATTCTAGCGAAAGCTTTAGCAAACACACAGGTATTGCAAAATGAAACTTCAGACTCTCTAGATTGTACAAACGTTTTTAGCCCACAGTACCCCCCTCCTTTGACACTGTCACACAATGTACTTGAAACTTCATTTACAATTAACCAGCCTATTATGACACCACAAGAAGTTCCATCCTCGGTCACACCAAAGATGGCGGGTTTGGCTGCGAGTATTGTAACAGGCGACAAGAAAGTCAATCTCCCGCCTTCCATGCCCTTGCTCTCTGATGATCTAGAGGGGCAAACGGTTTACATCACAGACAACCCTTCCTCTAGTCAACAGTTCACTATTCAAGTGCTCAACGAGAACGAGAATGTCGTGAGCGGTACCTCGACAACAGGGCAGCTAAGCCATGTTATTTACACGACAAGTGAGCAACTACCTTCGATCGATACTCTTCAGAAGAAGGCTGAGCCACACAATTTTGACTCTGAATGTAAAAGTAACTTCCGGGTTCTGGACAGCTCAGATGTCGAGGCGAAAGACGACGATAATCTTCCAAACGTCCAAGAACATCAGCTAGTTGTCGAGCAGGTCGACTCTCTCAACGAACCTTACCTCTCAGCACCAGTAAGTATAACATGCAGTCTCAAGTAATTAAATGTAATTCATTTATGATAACAAGGTGGTTTTTTTTGCGTCATTTCGCCAAAAATAATTGCTTGTTTTTTCCCTTAGGACAAAAAAGAAGTTTAAAAAAATGTTCACATCTTGAATGCTTGCTGATTTTGCTGAAAGAGAGAAAGATTCTACGAAGTTTATCCCTCCCTTTTTTGTTTTGTACAATCATTTTGATAGAAGGGATGTTTTATATATGTACATTTTGTAAATACTTAGACAGGAATTTATTAATTATATTCAAATTAGAAGTATTTTCTTAGATACATATTGAAACTCACAAGGTTGTTACACAGAAAGAAAAAATATTGTGTAATCCCAGGTGGACCTCTTAGGGGGGGCCAATTTTATAGTTACCAAGTTAATTATAATTAATAGTGTATATAAATTAAAGTTTAAGTCTTTTAATATGAATATTATAAAAGTTGATAGGATGCAAAAGAAATTGATTAATTGAAGAAATGTTAAAAAAAAAAAAAAACTTTTTGGTGTTTTAAGTTCAAAAATATACTTAGAATTTTAAAGAAAATAATTTTTTATTTATCTGAAAAATAATGTAGCATCTATAATCTGCCTGTATTTTGAAATTTTGTAAATGTTACTTTGCTTTTAGTAGAAGTGGTTGCAAGAAACTGCCTTAACTTATCGACTACACTTCATGTTAGTTTGTTTTGTAATATATTTATTGAACTATGTTGCAATTACAAAATGTTTAAAACACAATATGCATTGTGTGTATTGCGGCTAAGTTTCTTATAATTCATTTTGGGAAAGTATTAAGTTACAGGTCGTGTATCACATAACATTTTTTCCATGTTTTCCATTATTTTATGAAAAACATTCCATGTTGTTTTCAGTTCACACAATGAAAGTACTATTTAACCAGTCTTGAGTGTAAAAGGTTGCAGTAATTTTGCACTTGAATGTCAGACACCATATTTATTTATTTTGCATTTTGTATTGCAATTATCAAGCATATGTATATCATATTATTGTACTATTACGATTAGTTTAAAAAAATAAAAATGACCATTAAAAAAAAAGTTGTGTACAATATGAATCAATGTAAGGCTTCTATTGTTAAAAAGAACCTATATAAAAAAAAACTAAAAAAAATTAAAAAAATTGATTAGATTTAATGAGTTAAATATAATTTAAAAATATATGTATATTACTTTTTCTTTATATTTTTTTTAGACTGATCTTTTTCTTTATAAATTGAAATGAAAGGTTGGAATGAAATACTGGAACTAATAACTCCTACAGCCTACAAAAAAGCAAAAGTTTTTAATTTTATTTTATAGTTGTTAGCATTTTTATAATATATTTTATCAATTTGGGAATAGCATTTGTGTTTTGCCTTTGCCTTAATAATTAGACCATTGTAAATAATGAATTGCCGCTCTCTCGGCAATCTTCCTAGTTTTTACAGTAATTAGTAAATAAAAATACAAGAGAAAGATTTGAAATCGGTTTGTGAAAAGTGTAATAATTATTTTAATCTATAAAAGATAAAAGAAATTATTTTTGTGTATGCAGTATAACATTTACACATAAGAAAAAAATGTATAGAGTATGGTGTATAGAAATAAAAATAACAGGTGGTTATTTTTTTTTTTTTTTTTAATCTCACAATCCTTTAAATAACAGAACATATAATAATAATTTGCATGTAAAACTATTATTATTAAAAGTAAATTAATCGATTAATATATTTATGCACATAATTACACTTACAAAGTAGAAAATAATTTTTATATTTACATTGTTTTTAATAAAGTGTTTAAATTATGAAGTTTATATATTACATACACACACACAAAATGAAAAAAATTGTGAGCTTGTTATTCAAATCAGTTCACATTTTCCTGGAAAAAAAAAAACAAGAAAAAAGTGATGAATTTAGACTAACAAATCCAACGATGGGATGAATTAATTGGATTAGGTTAATTAGATGTAAAACTAAATTGTGGCAGAATATTTTCTATTTACATTAATGCTCACCGAAAATTTAAAACGATATGTAACTGAAAAGTTAACTGTGTTCTTTTGCTACCTCCTGTCGACGCTGTCTTAAAGCCGCCCGAGCAAGTTTCTGCCACATGCGTCTTACAAATGAAAACATGAATTAAATCTAGTTCATTAGAAAACAATGTAAATTATTTAACCAAAATTAATCATATTTTGTTAATAAGAAAATAACGGACTGTAACGGAAGGCGTTAAATACTAAAAATTCTATTCAAAATAAAAACTTTTTTTGCTGGATTTGGTACTAAATGAAACAAAAAAATATAAATTTTTAAAGTAATCTTATAGCTGTTTCATTAAAAAAATATTCGATCCAAATTTTTGAAAACAAACTAGAAAGAGCCAGCAATATTGCAGAAATTAATAAGATTGAAACATGCACCTTGTCACTCCATATTTTTAAAATAGTAATTAAATTTAACTATTTTTTAATTTTATTTATAATTATATTGACAAATACATCGGTGTTTAATGTGGCTGTATGTTCAAGCGTAGTATCAACTTTTATTAATTATATGCACATTTAGTTTTATAAATAAATTATATTATAGAGAAATGATGCTGTTTGTGCAATCCACAATCAAATTAATTAGTCATTAATTTCAAACTAATTCCAACTATTTGAATTATTTGGTTAAAACTACAGTGCCAATGTTTAAACAAGCCCACGACATAAAACAATATTTCAACATAAATGATTAATTAAATAAAATGTGATTAAGACATTATATATGAGTGTAAGTTGTGCTAATCATAGTAGAAAGTAATGTAAGTCGGGACTGGATTTATATGTATTTGCTTTTTTTTTTTTTTTCTGAGCTTAAACCTTTTTTTAAACAAGTTTCATGTTTCTTGCTATTTAAAAGCAATTAAACAGTGTTTTATTTTACAAATTTGTAAATATTTGTTGGATTTTACGTATTTTACCTTAATTTACATATTTTGGCCTATATTTAATCAAATAAATAAAATTGTTGAAAATTAAATAAAAATGAGCAAAAACCATAAGAAGGCTTTCTGAGAAAAAAGATTTCAAGACAAAACTAAAAAAAATTGGAGGGAAGTGAAATTTCAGATATGGATTCTTTGATATTAAACATGAAAAAAGTTTTCCTTAAAGCCCTGAGTAGAGCAAAATCGTTTTTATCACATCCATCTTTTTATTTTTGGCTAGCACAATTACGCAACTGGAAACATAGTGTGTCTCACTCCACAACAACAATACTATAGTAAAAGATGGCTTCCAAAAACTAGAAAATATGGAATAAAATGAAACAAAAAGTTACAAATGTGCTTAAAAAAAGTAATAATAAAAATAATAACAATCGTGGACTTGAAATATTGGGGAAAATAGCCAAAAAATAAATCCTCTCTCACCAAGTGTAATTGCAGCCTTCAAGTGGGTCCCCATTATGTCCACAGATGTGGAATGTACTTTCATTTGGTATGAAAATATTTTATAGGTTTTTTTTAACATGGACTTTTTTTTAAGGCATAAAACCACTAAGGGTCATAGCTGCCTTAAAACAACAAACATCTTCATTTTTAAGCAAATTTTTGGTTTTTGTTTAAAAAATCAATTCCATGTGATTTAAAAAAGTTAAATTCATTATTTATTTAAACATTTATATGGATGTTTCAGGAATTTTACACCCATCATCAGATCTACATTTTTAAAATATATAAAGTAAAAACAGGAGATTATATATTATTAAAAATGTAGATGATGGATGTAAATTCCTGAAATTTTGAAATAAATGATTAAATAAGTAATGAATACTTTAATTTAAAAAAAACCTCATGAATTTTTCAAGAAAAAAATGTTTTAGCACCATATCGACATCATTTTACTTTTGAAAATTTAACAATGTAAAATAATTTTGAAGTTTAAAATTATGGTTTTATTTCTTTTTCACATTTTTTAAATATCAAATATATAATTAAACTTCCTCAATATTTAAAATAATAATAACAAAAATTACACAATTCTAATAAAAAAAGAAACAGAAATAAATGTTATATGTAATTTAAAATGGGATTTTTGCATACATTTAGCCTTCCAAATTAAGAATTTAAAAAAAATTAAAGCCTGGATGGCAATAGGATAAATTAGTTTACGAGTGAATGTTTGGAGTCAGAGCTTTATAGCACTCAGAAGAGATATAGCTAACCTAAGATAGAAGGTTTGGATGTTAGGGCGTGAAATGACCTTAGCCGTTAAAACGCCCTTTAAAATTAATAATAATAATAACAAAAATTACATGTTTATTTTCTATTTGATTACCTTGTTACATTATTCCTTTTTACACTTTATTAACTAATATGTATAAATTATAAAAATTCCTTTAAAAATGCATAACTAAATATTTTTTTTATTTTACATATTTTTCTTTTTTACTTGTGTATTGTTAAAAAATACACATGTATGTATTTTATATTTTATTTCACACATAAATCCAGCCCTTAGTTTTAAACAATTATTAGTGTTGCATTCATTGATAAATATAAAAAAAAAGTAATTAAAAAATAAAGTAAATGATTGGGAAGAAGAAAGATTCAACAAAAAATTAGTTATCAGATTTTCTATTAGTGTCTGCGAGGTGTAACTAGTAGTTTGTTTGTTTCCAATCATTTTGGTCTGCCTATGCTGGATGTTTTGGTCTTTCTCATTTTCAGTTCTTTGTCTTTGTACGTTGATGCCTTTCCATCTTTTTATCCTTAATGTGACTCAATGAAGATGGGAAGAAGCTGAAACATATTGACAGATCGAAACAGCGAGGATAAGCAGACCGAAATGATCAGAAATGACCAACTATTCTAATAAAAGTTCTAAATTTTAAGACCGATATAAAAGATAAATGACACTAGATTGTAGATATTGTTTGAATAATTAACTGGAAAAAAACCCTAATACAATAATATACATTAGAAGTTATGATTATTTAAACTAATTATTGATTAAAATATTGAAGCATGTTAAGTAAATTACCTTAAAAGCCAGCAAAACCAGTGTGAAATTCATGTTTTATATTGTAGTCAAAATAAAAAGGAGAAAGAAAATGTCAAAGTGTATATTATTTAAAATTTGAGTTGCAATAATTAAATTTGAAATTTAGCTATTATCTCCACCTGCCAGGCCATTGCTGATTTTTGTCCGTGAGGGGGACATAGACGACGCCCATCAATGGGGTCCTGATGACCTTCCCATCTGCTGTTTTATCTATCTGCTCTAGACGCTGGTCACCGTTGGCAGGGCCGATCGGCACTATGAGCCTCCCACCTGGGGCAAGCTGGTTAACAAGCTGAAATCCAACGGTTTTATAAAATAGGAACACTGGATTTAAAACTTTATAGGAAAAAGATTTACATGCTGCGGAAGTTCGGGGGATGCTGCTCCTACATGAATGGCATTATATGGAGCATCTGGTTTATATCCTTCACGTCCATCACCAACTATTAAAATATTAAAAAATCTGAATTATTTATCATGTTATTAACTAGGTAGTTTCACCATCTTTTTAAATTATTTGCCAGTTTTGGAAATGATACCAATTTCACTTTTCAACATGATGAAATATTGTCACATCATACGCCCATCGGCTAAATTATGCATTTCTCCTACCATACTTTCAAATTATAACCCAATTACATAATTAAGTCTATTTAACTCAACCACTTTATGCTAGCTCAAATTTCATTTATTTTCCAGGAGGGCAATTTTAGTGTAGCCATTAGTAGCATTAAGGAAATAAGCTGAGAGAAATAGGTACACAGAACAAGCTGTATCTGAATTTGGTGAAAAGCAAACATGCATCTTACAGACCAATACAGTGAAGATAAGCAGACCAAAAAGATTGGAAATGAACAAACTAAAGTAAAATTATGTTGGTCTATTGAGAAATTTACACAAATGCAAAAAATTGAAACAAAAACAAATCAACAACAAGAAAGCCTGGATTTTTCTGAACTTCAAGTTCACTTTGCAGCCACCCCGGAATAGGGGCTCTTTAAAAAACATTTTCTCCAAATATGAGGCACAGTTAAATTGTCTAGAGTGCAGTTATTTAAAATATGCTTACAGCATCTCCATGTACATAGTACTGATGAAGTTCACAATTGAAAATAAATATTTTATCTTCATCGGATAGGTGAGCTCATTACCTAATGTTCAATACAGAACGAATGCAAGCATTAATTCACATTTGAAGTTTTTGAAAGGATTTAAAATCAAGTGAACATGAGAAAATTGTGTTGCAATACTGAAAAAAGGAGCTACAAGTTAAGATGTTATTAATAAAAAGTGAAAACAATAAAGGCCCCAGAATGGAGCCCTGAGGGACACCTATTGATATAGGGAGAGAAGATGACTTGATGACTTATTTGTACTACATCTTATAACCTGGCCTGGGCTTAGTTATTAAAATGTGATGATACAACATGCTAAGAAACTAAATTTAAATTGAGAAGTTTTGACAAAAGAATAGTGATTAATTTGAAAGCATTTTTGAAAAAAATAAAATAGTTAGAAAAATACTAACAGGTATATGTTTTGGTATATTAATTTTTGGAAATGGCAATTAACACAACTTGGATCTAATTGTGAGAGGCAAACTCAGTTTAATATCACTTATCAATCCATTGGTTTTATTATGTTAGACATGAAACAATTAAAAAAAATGTTACTTGAAGACAACTTCTAGATTTTATTAGTTCATTAAAAAATTAATCAAACTATATATTTGTATTTTCAATCATTGCGATTTGAAGGATAGGAATTGAAAGGCAACTAAATAATGAACTATAACATATGATAAATTGAAATTTAACTATTTTGAAATATGTTGATCATTTTCATTCATGCTATTGTAATTTTAACTTTAGTTTAGAATTTTAATACAGCTGTATTAGTTAGTTGGCTATTTTTGATCAGGTTTTGGCTGTGTTGGTCTATCAGGCATGTTTTGGCTTTTCACCATTATCAATAGATTAGCAAAATGTGTGGAAGATCAATATTTAAAAAATAATCTCATCCAAGTTTCAACAAAATCGCAAAATATGAATGATATTTAAACTAAAGGCGGCCAGCAAAGTATCAAATGTAATTACCGACAAGTTTCAAGGTTCCATTTTCAAGTAGTTCAGGATGGTCCGACATGACATTCTTTTTGGAATAATCGACAAGTTCTGGGATGTGGTCAATCCCCACGACGAGTCCTCCCGGGTTGACGAGCAACGCCATGCACGTTGTCAAGTAGCCAGAGCCTGAGCCGACATCAAGCGCCTTCGCTCCAGGGACCAACCTTGACTTCAGAAGTTCTAAAGCATGGGCATGCTAAAATTATTAAAATTAATTTAAAATTTTATTCATGTTTAGTGATTTAGTTTTAAGAGTAAGAGTTGTCATTTGTTCCTCACCATATGCGGGGCGCTTATGGTCACACCGAAACCAATTCCTTGTGGTACGTCCATATAAGGATTGGTCGCCACATATTTGGCCCTGTCGACATTCGCCATGACCTTTTCAATAGCATCGCTATGAATTATTTCGTTTTCTAAAATAAAATAGATTAATTTTATGATTTAAGACAAATGTGCTGGATTTTTGTTGGCATACTCCTCAGATTTTTAACAAGATCAATGTTTGTTCTGCCATGAGACCTCCAAGCCATGGTATAACAGGCTAAGAATATGTTCAAAACCAATAACGTCTGTAGTTTGATCAATATCATGAAATCCTGCAAGACAACATTCAATAGTGAAAATGGTTACATAAACCACTAGTACAATATTATTACATTTATTAATAATTAAATTAATCGAAATGTTTATTGTATGAGTGAATTTTTGAATTGTTGGTTGGGGAGATATCAAATATGACAATACTTGAATAATAATGCCATTATAGGGGGGCATCGGTTGGTTTAGGTGTTAACATGGCGCTCATCACTGTAAGGTAAAGGTCCTGGGTACGAATCCAGCGGCATTCGAACACGACATACTTACAAATGGGTTTTTTCAAAAACACTGACACCCCAAGGATTGATATAACCTCTGCTGTTGTGAACCCATGTTAAAACAAGAAAAAATAAAACAAGTCTGGAGAATTGCCTAGTCTGGGGTCACAAGTCTGTCTTCTCCATCCTCCACTAAAGGCTCTGGAGATATCAACAGCTAGGTCATTTCAGCCTCCAATGAATTTATGTTTTTAACCAAATCACACTCACTCGAACTCGTTCTTATGTACATTTAATTTCAGTTCAATTTTCCTCCCCATTTGTGTTAATCATATTTTTCAGTCACAAAAGAATAATTTGTTGTCATGTTGATTGTCATGTCAATCACATCAACAGGTCTTTCAGGTGAACTGATAGATAAAGTGGTGTACGAGGGACACACTAGAGAGCTGGATGATAGACTTAAGCACTTAATGAATTATTTTGTATGCTTCATTTTTGGCTCTCCATGAAAGTCCTACATGACTTTAGCTTGAAGTGCTTATACTCTTCCCACCGCAAGCTATACTTCCTTGGCTTCTTCCTTTACCAAACAATATCTTCACACTCCCCTCCTTACATGATATCCTACATTTTGGCCTTTGGTACCCAATCATCGTACTCCATCTAGCTTTTCTGATCTCTTTTCTCCTTAACACAGAACTGCTTTCAGCCGTTCCTTCCTCATCCCTTCATCCATCCTCCACAATTCCCTTTCTCACTCTACCCACCGTGTCCCATCCCTTCCCACCTTTAAGGCCCACCTATTTGATTACCTCCTGACATTGCAATTTAGCACCAGAATAAAGTTTATTTTCTTCTTCTTCACCCCGAGTGACTCATCTGTTGAGTCCTTTTAAAAAGATAGTTCCTACTCACAGTAAGTTACTTTCCAATTTAGTTTTGTTCTTCATATCTGGATTCAGGCAAACTGACAGATAAATTGAGTGTATATGGTGCTCTAAAAATGGATAAACAGAACTACGGCTACAAACGCTCAGTTTGGTTAGTCGTTCAGTTTATTCTTCCGATCTGGATTCAGGCAAACTGAGTGTATATGGTGCCCTAAAAATGGATAAACGGGATAAGAAAAAGAACTGCAGCTACAAATGCTAGTTTGGTTAGTCGTTCAGTTTGTTCTTCTGATCTGGATTTAGGCAAACTGACAGATACACTGAGTGCATATGGTGCTCTAAAAATGGATTAACTGGATGAGAAAACAGAACTGCAGCTACAAATGCTAGTTTGGTTAGTCGTTCAGTTTGTTCTTCCGATCTGGATTCAGGCAAACTGACAGATAAACTGAGTGTAAATTGTGCCCTAAAAATGGATAAATGGATAAGAAAAAGAACTGCGGCTACAAACGCTAGTTTGGTTAGTCGTTCAGTTTGTTCTTCTGATCTGGATTTAGGCAAACTGACAGATACACTGAATGCATATAGTGCTCTAAAAATGGATTAACGGAATGAGAAAACAGAACTGAGGCTACAAACGCTCAGTTTGGTTAGTCGTTCAGTTTACTCGTCGATCTATTATTCAGGAAAAATGACAGATAAACTGAATATCTACATGGTACATACACATTTCTCCCGTGAATAGGGTTCTAAAGATAAGGTACATGTATAAATAGACCCATGGAAATTACTATGAATTATCACCAGATTGTGTCATCCTTCGCCTTTTCCTGATGAGAAATGAATCCATTGTTTATAGATTACTAAATATTGTAATTTCATTCTATCACTGGGTATCAACTAGTTATATAAATAAACCAATAAAAGATGGTGTTTCAAGTCAAAGAGATCGATCGATTCGCTCATCAACTGTCAATCACACAAAGCCAAAAACTAGGTCGATACAGTTTATTTTGGCAATTTATTATCGATTCTCGCAATTTTACCGTGCATAGGATGTTAAAATTAGTTTTTTAGAATATTGTGTGTCTAAAAAAAACTCCACTTCTTTCGTGTTCTGCGCGTAATAGATTTGTGTTTATTTAAACTTATTTCGGCTATTTTCCAACTTCAGTGCTGGGTTTGTGTTTTTTCAATGAATAAATTAACCAAAGGTCGATGTTTAAAATTAACTTACCAAATGTAAATAAACGAAATTTGATTTGTTTTAGACGACACTGCCTTCCGTCTGGTGAACCAGTTTGACCCGGATGCTCGGGGGAGGCATCGGATTGGCTGTCGCCAGGCAACAGGAAACTACGCTTCTTCCAGGTTCGTCAACAGCTGTTGGTATTACAGACGTCAGCTGTACGCCCGTCGTTGTCAGTACGGTCTGCGATTTTCGCATAATTTAGATAAAGTAAAATCTTTATTAAAAAGTACAAAAAAAAAAGTTGTTCTAAAAATGGAAGAAATAGATGGGTTTCAGGAGTCGATGAAAGAAAAATATGTACGGGTGAAAGAACTGATCGACATCAAACACACCAAAGATCCTGATGATGAACCTTACAGATCCAAATACCTGGCAAGGGACATCCTCAAAGAGATGGAAACTTCAATAAAAGAAAGAAACGAATGCGGGATAAAAGAGAAATCTATGTTGACGGCGGTTTACACACTTCTTGGAACAATATGCATGGATGTCGACGAACCAGTTTCTGGAGAAGAATACCTCCATAAGAGCCTCAAGTTAGTCGAAACTGAAGAGTGCAGCGATTATTTTATTCTTTCGACACTCTGCACCTTGAACCAATTGGCGCTTTTGTACTCGATGAGGCAGGAGGATGAGAAAGCCTTAGTCTATCTCGAAAGGGCGGACAATCTTTATAATGAGTACAAGGAGCTCAAAACGGTCTCCCCTCTTGGCTATCATTTCTTGTTCACCAATGACAAAGACACTTGCGATGAGAAGGGCAAGGAGATGTTCGAAAAGACCCATACGCTCACATTCTATTACATGGCACAGGTGTTTAAAGCGATGGGCAATACAATAGAATCGGCTGTCTTTTGCCACAACACGCTGAGGAGGCAGCTCGAGACGAACGACTACGATAAGATTGATTGGGCTCTCAATTCGGCCTCTCTGTCGCAGTATTTCACAGAGCAGAACGCCTTCAAAGAGGCGAGACATCACCTTGCCGCAGCCTCTTACATGCTCAGCCTTAAAAAAAAAGAACTAGATGATATTGTTGACAAAAATGAAGAATACGAAGCGAGGTAAACATTTACGATGATCTAGTTAGACATATTGTTAATAAGTTTGATTTTAATTGACAATAGTTTTTGTTGGCCTGCGAGTAGATGAATTCATGTTGAACTGATTGACAAGCTAGTAATTTTTGATTTCTTCAGTTCTTGGTTTGGATCCCAGGGCTCATGGATTTTTAATTGACATTTGTATGATAAGTTTTGTAAAATGGTTTGACCCCTTGTCCGCAACACCCAATGGTTAATTGGTTGTTAAGCTTCCCTCTATGACAATAATTACTTTGTACTGGTACTAGACTTACTTAGAACTAGAATTAGAATTACTTAGAACTATACATGCTAGCAGTTCTTGGTTTGGATCCTGGCAGAGCCCATGGAATTTTAATTGACATTTGTATGACAAGTTTTGTAAAGAGGTTTGACTCTTTGTCCGCAACACCCAATGGTTAATTGGTCGTTAGCTCCCCTATATGACAATAATTACTTTACTTTGAACTGGTAGACATGCTAGCAGTTATTGGTTTGGATTCCGGTAGGGCCCATGGATTTTTAATTGACGTTTGTATGAAAAGTATTGTAAAATGGTTTGACCCCTTGTCTGCATCACCCAACGGTTAATTGGATGTTAAGCTCCCCTGTTAGATAATAATTACTTTACTTCAATTAATTATTCTTTTTATTTAAGGCCTTGGGTTGAAAAAACTAGTGTCATGAGTAGGATTCAAACTCATGACCTTTGGCTCAATATGCCACTGCTCTAACCACTTGAGCTATCATCACTTTGATCCACTCGGACACCAACTCCCCCATCTCAACCTGACCTTTTGAATTTTCCCTCTTTTTGCCATTTTTCTTGGGTTCAAATCCCGTTCATGACATGTTAATAATTAACATAGTCAATTAGGCCATTAAACATAAATGGATTAATTACTTTACTTGGAACGGATTGACGTGCTAGAAGTTCTTGGTTCAAATACTGACAGAGCCCATGGATTTTTAATTGATACTAGTATGAAAAATGTATTGTAAAGTGGTTTCAACACCCAGTGGGTAGTCAAAAAGTTAATCCGTTAAGTTATGGTGGGAAATACTTTACTTTGAGCCAATTGACACAGATAATTTTTTATGGATCATATTATCATAAGTTGAACATAACGATGAAACGGACCTGATAAAACACACCATCAGTATTGATAAGTTCATCATACTTCATATTTAGTTTGGTCATTTTTGATATTTTTGGTCTGGCAATTCTTGATGTTTTGGCATATCAGACGTAGTTATGGAAGACGAGTGAGGATAGGCAGACCAAAATTATTTGAGCAGACCAGACAAGATCATCACCACACAGATCCCATGAGTAAATCTTATAATTTGATATTTCTTACATTAATAATTCATGTTCACTTTTTTTCTGTTTAGTCTTGAACAGTATAATCACAGGAAGAGTGATGTCTACAGATGTTGGATTAAGTACTGTTTGAGTCTACTCAGCAGATCTAAAGACAGGCTGATGGCTTCTGACGAGGATGGGGCGAACGTAATTAAAGTGACACCAGGTGAATTCCATTACTATTTATAAGTTCATCTATGTTGAGCGGACTGACCGAATTGTTAGGACATCCTACTTCTATTTGCCATGTTAAAAATCCTTGCATTTTTATTTATGAATAATTTAAAAAAATAAAAATTGTAAAGAGGACCTCTAGTCCTTGACACCTAATGGGTAGTTGGGCATTGAACAGAAATACTTTTGTACAAGTATACTTTGTATACAAGTTGATGAATTTTTGTAATTAGGTTGACGCCAATCATTTTGGTCGCCCTATCCACCCTGTTGCGGTGCATTTTGTCTTCCTGCTATCTGATAGACCAAAATAGCGAGGTTAGGTAGAACAAATTGACCAGAAATGACTAAACTACATTTTCATCGTGTCGTAGACCACCAAGAGTTAATTGCACATTTGTTAAATATGTTTTAGCCTCCCTTATCAACAAGAGATTTCCATCATTACAAATTGACGCAAATGAAAATATGGTAACAGCCGATTATCTGTTGACTTATTACGATGCAAAGCCTGTCGTCCTGTTTGCTCAAAGCTGTGTTAACAAAGCGACAGAGTATTACACCCTGGAAGACCATGCTTCCGATTATGTTCTCATAATCCAGGATTCTAGTCAACTCTATCTGTTCCTTGCCTTTTTCGAGGAGGATGAATCAAAGTAAGTTGAATTTCTAAAACTTTATTATAATTTCATTTTATTATTTATTTTATTTATTAGTTACAACTAACCCTCCCATTACATTTATCAGTTTTGCAGTTCTTTCTTAATCGTCTTGATTCAGTTGTTAAACAGTGTTTAGCATTACCTTTATATTATTAACTATCCTGGATGTATTTCTTCCACATAACAACTACACAAAACTAAAAGTTTGTCTTGGTGTTTTTCATAAAAACACCCTATACATTCTGTGTTGTTAAAGAATTTTTTTACTGTTCTTTCTTTATTTTAATGTTTAATTTTACATAATTTTAAATTTTAATTGTATTATTTTTGTGTAGTATTTAGTGACCGTTCATTAATGATTGTTAGGAGATAGTGAAATGTGGTCTTGTGTGATGTAGGTTTAGAAAAAAAAGGTTCTTTATTGTGCCAATGTTTCGATCTTTATCTAGATCATCTTCAGAGCCTGGGATTTACAAACATTGTTTGGATTACAGAAATACATTAAAATGAGAAATGAATTTATACAATAATTACAGAAATTTTAGGTTTATTCAAAGTATTTGTACTCACTCATCGTCTTTTCTGTGTAGGTGTGTTGTGGGACGTGTTACGAGTGTTAGTAAGATATAAATCTAAATAAAGATCGAAACATTAGCACATAAAAGAAAATGTTTTTCTAAACCTACATCACACAAGTCTGCATCTCACGATCTCCAAATAATCATTGTAATTATTGTTCATATGATTATTTTATTTAAGAACTCAACATTTATATTTTAAAAAATAACAAATTACTGATAGAAAAATCTTTTGTTTTTACATTTACTTGTATATAACTTGAGTTTTTATTTTTTTGCATCGAACAATTACACAGCCATGTTACAAAGAATACTTTTTAAATTCAAAGTTCAAAATTCAAGTTCAAATTATATTTTCACAGACACATCATTTAAAAACTTTATTATCAAGTTATACACACAGGGATACTTGAATAGAGCTCTACTTTCTGTAATTGGGCGATCCTGGTAGAATTTATTTCTAGCCGACGAATGTTGGCTGCAGTGAAACATTATGTGCATTAGGTCCCTCCTTTACTCTGCATGTGTCGCAATTAGGGTGTTGTTTTATGCCAAATTTGTGAAGATTCGCTGCGTAGATGACATGGTTTGTTCTTAACCGATGTATGGTGGTTATGTATTTTTTTGCCATGTCTAGTTTGTTAAACCACGGTTTTATTTTCAAAAGTGGAAATAATGTTTTATAAGCCATTCCCTTATCCGAGGCAGAATATTCAATTTGCCATTCTATTTGAATTCTTGTTTCCAATATTTGAAAAAGGTCTGTATTGCTAATAATTCCGCTGAATAAATTGATATCTCTGCCGGCAGAGGAATTGATTCCCCTTTATTGATGCTAGGGCAGAACCAGGAGCATCCAGCATTACCAGACATGAGGGATCCATCGGTATAAACAGTTAAGTGGTCATTAGATCACATTCCTGAAGATCAGCAAGCACTTGTTGATTAACCGCTACGGGATTTTGTCCGGAGTAGTCTTTTAGTATATAGCAATTAAGAGGGTTTCTAATTATTTTTAGTTCTGTAGAGATTTTTTCTTGAAATTTTGACAGAGAGGTAAAACTCGTGGTAATCGGCGGAGATTTTTTCTTTTGCCAATATTTTTTGTTAGATTCATAATGGACAAATCACAGATGCGCTGAGCAAGTAATGTTTTTTTTTCACCATTTGGCGCAACACAAACCGTCCTGCCAGTTTTTCTCTTCTATGTGAAAGTGGCTGATTGATACATTCAGCTTTGAAGACATCATTGGGGTGCTCTTAAGAGACCCATACAAGTTTTGAGAGATTTGTGCTGTATGATGTCCAATTTCTTTAATTTTGATCTAGAAGCTTGTCCGTAATAAATTGATCCAAAGTCAATTATAGATCTAATTGTTGTTTTGTAGTAAACTGATTATAGGGTTAGCATATCCTGAAATACATTTGAGTGGATTATAAAATTTTTCTGCTTTGGTCTCAATTGCAGCAATATGGCCGATCCGTGATAACTTACGATCCAAAATTAATCCAAGAAATTTGACCTCATTAACCACCAGAAATGATTTTTCAGCCAGGGTCAGAGTATCGGGAAGAGTAGATTTCATGGATATTGTAAAATAACATTTTTTTTTTTTTCTTCGCAAATAATTAATCCATTGGTGTATGTCCAGTTCAGTAAGTTTATCACCGTCGAATGCATGGCCTCTATTGCCGCTTTTGCAGATTGTGAGTAGAATAGACGCATATGTAGTCTGCCAGTTGAATAATTTTAACATTTTTGAATAATTTTTAACAAAAATGTGTTATTACATTTTCTTCATCTGCAATGTATAACAAATACAGCAGTAGGCTTAGTATACCTCCTTGGGGCAAGCCAAAACTAGCTTTCCTCGGTCCAAGAGTGATGTCATTTATTTGGACATATACGTTCCTCTCTGAGACGAGAGTGATTATGTTGTTAATAAATTTATTAGGTAAACCCATCATTTGCATTTTTTCTGCCAAAATGAACAGATTGATGGAATCAAAGGCAGCTGATATGTCCAAAAACAGTGCTAGAGTGCTTTGGTTATTAGTGAAGCGTAGTTGTATGTCTGTGACTAGTATTCCGTGGGCATCGGTGATTGAGCGTTCTTTTCTAAAACCAGTTTGTGAGTCGGGCAGTTTTTTATTGCCTTCTAGCCACCATTCTAGTCGTGCCTTTACCATTCTTTCAAATGTCTTAAGCAGACAGGAAGTAAGAGATGTAGGGCGGTATGAGTTGAATTCTGATTGAGGCTTTCCAGGTTTCAGTATAGGAATTATCAGTGTATTCTTCCATTGTTCGGGAAACTGATCTTTTCCAAAAAATTGTTCAAGAGATTTAGAAGACTTGATTGACATGTCAATGGTAAATGTGCCAACATTGAGTAATATATTTTGTCGAGTCCAGGAGAGGTATTAGAGTTATTTTTCGTTGCAGCAAAAATTCACTGATAGAAAATTTTTCAGTCAACACGGTGTAATTTTCAGAGACATTTATTTAATTGAGGGATAATTATTTTTGCACACTGGGAGGGCATATTTTATTTAGAAAGTTTGAGACCCAGCCGTCCATAATTATTAGTGGGGGCCTATGTACCAATAATTTGAGGTTAAAAAAGGATAATTTGAAATTTAAAAAGTTATTTTGAATAAAAACGTGTTGGTTTGATGGAAAAAGCTATACATGCTTACATTTCATACCCTCTCCTAATTTTTTTATTCCTTTAAAGAAAGGATTGATTAGAAATTAAAAAGGGTTAATTTGAAATGAAAGAAAAATTAGTTTGAAATGAAAAATGGTTTAATTTGAAGTTATCAAAAGGGTTAATTTGAAATTAATAAAGAGCTTATTAGGTGTAAAAAAGCTTAAATTAAAGTCAGTTTATTATATACCCTCTTTACTTTAAATACAAATATCATTGTTCTTTTAGGCAATGCAAACTGCACAAAAAGCGCAAAGATCTTTTGATGAAAACAGTTTCAGAATTAAACGAAACTTATTACTTAGATGTATGTCGTGAACTTTGGCTGGAACTGGGCTTGATATGCTCATCTATTGCTGAAATCAAGTCATTGCAGGTATTTGGATGTAAATGAGAATTCATATAACAATATATAATTTTTTAAAAATGAATTTTTAGTTTTCTCAAAACAGTTCAGCACATACAGCGACAAAATTGAACAATACTTTACAGGTTTCTTTAAACTTTTTGTTGAAATATATAAACTCTTTTATCAACAAAAGGTAAAAAAAAACAATAATAATTCTTATTGTTGCTCATATTGATGTGATATTGATTCGTAGGACTAACAAAATGCCGGATAGATTCCCGCTTGAATACGAGAGAGACGCCCTCATGGCACATTTGTGCACGGCGCAGGCTTACTCCAAGTTTGTGAACTGCGATAAGAATAAAATCATAGATTATACCAAGCAGAGTTTACATTATTACCAAGTGAGTTTGGTGTTGTTTTTTACTGTTTATTTTGTACTGACAATTTTTCCTTAGGCCATCGTTAATTATTGCAAAGAGTATCCGGATTCAACGAAGGGCTTCCAAGCAGAGTTGGGCATATGCAAGGATATGGTCACTCTCTTGCCCGTCAAAATGAATAAACTGGCTTTGCAAGGGTAGAATTCGATAAACTTTATTGGTTCAATATAACATTATGTATTTATAACTACTTATAGATTATTTATTTACATTGTTTATACGTATAGTTATTATGGATGAACATATTTAATTTTTACTACTCTCTATAGTGATAATTGTTCTTTATAATTATTGCAATATAACATTGAAAAAGACGTTGTTTTATTTCATAAATAAAATACAATAGAAAACATTATTAGCATTGAGTTTTTTAATGTTACAATATTAAGATGGTGGACCATCCCTAAACATTCCAATATTTAGTTATAAAAAAGTTACAGTGCAACAAACACAAGTAAAAACTATTGCATAATCTGTGGTAGTGTCTGTTATTTAAAGATCATGAAATGCGGTCTGGTGTGAGGTAGGTGTAGGAAAACATTTTCTTTATTATGCCAACATTTAGATCTTTATTGAGATCATATTCAGGACCTGAGATTTATTAACTTTTTTTAAATTATACAAATACATATAAGATGTGAATATAAATTTATACAATGATGTATACAAATGGAAATTTTAGGTTTAATCATAGTATTTATATGATATTAAGTGACTGTTAATTAATGATTATTTGGAGATTGTGAGATGCAGCCTGGTGTGTTGTAGGTTTAAAAAAACATTTTCTTTATCATGCCAATGTTTCGATCTTTATTGAGATCATCTTCAGGGCCTGAGATTTATAAACATTGGCTAAATTATACAAATACATGTAAGATATGAAAAAATGAATTTATACAATGCTAGAAATTTTACTCAATCAAAATATTTGTACTCAAACTGTGCGTTTTCTGTGTAGATGTGTCATTGTTGTGTATCGTGTTGAGGGTGTTAGTGAGATACTAATGTTTTGTGTTTATATATGCTTGACTTTGAAGGTGTGAGGAAGGAAGTAGGGATAGAAATTCATTTTTCTACGAGGAGTCGGCTTCTTTGAGGTGAGAGGGGATCGACGATTGAAAAAGTGGGTAATGGTTTGTCATTCAGGGTTGGTTAATCTTTCAGGATTATTATTATTATTATTTTTTAAACAAGGGTTCGTAACAGCAGAGATCAACCTCAAGGGGCCGGTGTTTTTGAAAAAAAGCCTATTTGTAAGTATGTCGGGTTCGAATGCAGGGCTGCTGGATTCGAACCGGGGCCTTTACCTTACAGTGATGAGCGTTGTGTCAACGCCTAAACAGTTGCGGCCACCGACACCCCCTTCAGGATTATTATAGATGGGATTATTAGGGAAAGGAAATATAAAATGTTGGGGATTTAGACTATGTCAATATTGTTTGATGTGTGGAGTGTAATAATTGTTGTTGTTTTGTGTTTTATATGCATGTTATTTGTGTATTATATTGGCTTAATGATATTAGCTGCGCCGGAATTTACATGTGTCTCTTCTGTAATTGATGCTGTGTTTATCCCTGTTGATGTAAACCATTTCTAAAAAGTTAGGTTTATATTTGTTTTGTTCCATGTTTAATATTTTTGGATTGTTGAAATTGTAATTGTGTTGGTGTTCAATGTGGTGGGTAGCCAGTGCTGCAGGATTTTTTTTTTTTGCAATTAGATCTCTTGTTTTACCCTCTTATATATTGGGATGTAATTCCGATATAAGTTGCCAGACAATTTATTGTTACAGGTGTGGGATTTTTAATTTTGTAAAAAGAGGTGTGAATAGTTTTATAGTTTTTGAAAGTATTTTAAAGTTATCAGAAGAAAGAAATGTGTTTAATTTGTGTGATAGGCCGTGAATGAATGCCGTGATATGCATGTTCTTTTGTCCGTGCTGGATAGAATTGATGTTGTGCTATTTGTGATAGTGGATGGTGTTAGTGTTGAGATGTAGTTGTTGATTATGTGTTTAGGGTAGTAATTATTATGTAGGATGTTTCTATACGTTTATGTCCTTGTGTTGAAAAGATTCATGGCTCAGGGTGTAATTCTATGAAGTAGCCCTTTGGTCGAAGTATACTCAGGTATAGATAATACTCAACATCACAGGTAACACATATAATGTAAAAGACGAATTTCATTCCATTAACAAAATCCACATTCCCTCACCTACTCTCTCATATCCCTAGATGTTTCATTATTTACCAACATTAAACAATGTTTATAAATCTCAGGCCCTGAAGATGTTGCAATAAAGAAACGTTTTTCTAAACCTACATCATACCACACTGCATCGTACTAAATTTTCATAATTAATGTTAATGTGAAATAGGTGGATACTGAAATTGCTACTAAAAATTTGTTTTCTCAAAATAAAATAAAATAAAAATATGGTTTCTGTCAGCCCATGAAAGATTTAAATTTACCTCATATATGTATAATAAAAAGTTAAAGCTTATAGTTAACATTTATTTATTAACTATCAAACATAATGAAGTGAACATAAGTGAAATCATCAAGCATAAAACAACATTATTATAGTAGGCAGATTAACGTGTACTAATTTTTGTCATTTATTGAAATTGTAACTAAATTATTTTGTTTTCCCAACTTTAAAAAAAAAATCTGTCAGTCCATGAAAGATCTAAATTTACCTCATATATGTGTAATAAAAGTTCAAGCTTATAGTTAACATTTATTTATTAATCATCAAAGATTATTAACGTTGGATGCAGGTGGTTGGTGTAGCCTTAAATTGATACACATGCACCGGTTCAGTTTGTGGGGTGAAATTGATTGTGTCGTTCACTTTGGAAGTAGAAATAGTTTGTGTTGGATGTTCGTCAGATGTAGGTGAAAAAACGGATTGAAACATCCAATTTAGCATATCCTTGAATGATCCTATTGTTTCGCTTAGTAAAATGTCCTTTTTTTCATTACCAGTGCTGTCATTGATGGTAGAACCTTTTTTTGAATAATATATTATAATTTCTGCATTTTCTGCACCAATTTTTAGCGGCATCTTTAACTGCTGAATTTTTTTAAGCCCAGGTGTGAATTCATGATCGGGACTAGAGATTCTTTGCTGTGCAACTGAAATTTTTGATGAACTGGGAATAAAAGAGATTGTGTCGTCATTAATTTTAAAGTTGAGACTCGCTGTTTTTTCAGTGTCGCTATCCATAACAATATTCCTATCGTTGTCACAGCTTGTACTATCGACCTGTGTAAAGTCATCTGGGTATGTTTCAGCATCAGACTCTATAGAAACAGAATGTGAATATGGACGGGCGTTACATGACGAGGACAATACAGTGTTGTTTGGTCTCTTTTTATTCTCTTGATGTGGTAATTGTGTATGTTCAACGTGTCCTAAAATTTCTGTCCCGAGAGGAAAATCTTGTTCTGATTTTGAGATTCTTAAATTTTCCTCATGATGTTTGCATTGTGAATTCATTTTATTCCAAAATAAAGATAGTTCGCTTTTATACTTTTGAATTTTGTCAGTTTGTCTTCTGTCAACCATTCTTTCATGTTGTCTTGTTCTATTCTTCTCTAAAAAGTAATTATTTTTTACACAGTCATTTACAGATGAAGAAGAATGACCATCTTTGGACAAAGAGTTAGTTGTCTCTAAATTAGATGATGTCTTACTCTGTTTTCTTAATGCTTTCTTTCTGTTGCCTGTTGGAGGGCTTCGAGTACAAGATCGTTCATTGGCTGAAATGTTTCGACTGCTAGCACCTAACCATTTCCTTTTTCTTGCAACTCGTTGGGATAGACCAGGCGAACCAGTATCCTGCATTTTGGCCAGCTGTTCTTCCTGAGGTGCAGTCTTCAATTTGTTGTCAACAAAATAACCACCTTGATCAGTTAAAGTGAATGGTGATCGTGAAATATGCAATCTACTTGGTTTACTTCCTATTTCAAATATATTGGCTTTATGGCCAATTTCCAAAGCAGACTTAGCTTTCATGCATTCCTCTTTCATACCGCTCGTTGATACAACAGTTGGAACAGACCTGGATTTAAAACGAAATAATGCTGGAGTCGAAACAAAACCTACAAAAAAAAAATAAATAAACAAACAAAGCATATAATACATATATTAAATAATAATATGGTATAAAATAATAAAACAATAACACACAGATTTACATAAATAAAGTAACGTTTCCTGTTCTAATCAGAAAATAATTTAAATAAAATAAAAATATAATTATTCATCTTACCGAGTTTATCATCTTCTTGGTTGAAATTTGGAAATTCACGAGGCTGGTTGCTTAAGATATCTGTCAGATAGGTATCTCTAGCGGCCGATTTTGAAAGATGGTATATCCTTATTGGCGATAATTGCTGTTTGTTGTCTAAAAACTCTTCCTGGGCTTTTGAAACTTCTGGATCTCCATTTCGCAACTCTAAAGTCAAAGGACAAAGTTCAGCATTTGCTGTACTCTTCTCTTCATGTATATTAATTATGTCAGAGCCTTTTGTCCTAGTAGGAAAATGAACAGTCCTTTTAAGTCGTGCCATCTGCATTCGACCTTTAATAAAATTCTTTCTATGTTTGGCTAGGAGCTGTCCTCTTGTTTTCCCTCCTGTTAAGTCCACAGTCACAAATACGTGGGATGTGAATCTACGAGGTGGTTGTTTTAGCACTGTTTGAGAATTTTGACTTACGAGTGTTACTTCTTCTGTTTGCACAAGTCGGTCACATTTACTAGTCGGCTCAAGGGATACAGTCTGAACTGAAGTGTGGTGCAATGTTCCCCAGTCTTTGCAATTTGATGCACCTTCATATTGCGTTGCTTTATTTTTGCTGTTGCATAAACTCTGATGTTGCACTTCTTGATCACTTCTATGTTTCAGACATTTTTGGGTAAGGTTTGATGTGGCAGCAGTTGTCAAGAAAGACATTTTCAATAGGTCTAATTCCACATCGGTCGACGCAATTGTCGGTGAATAATAACCTTGAGTCGCTTGACATGAATGTAAATGGTCAAAGTCAATGTAATTTGGTAGTTTCCTTTGACAAGACTTATGAGCATCTATATTCATCCTTACTAGTTCCTTCTCGTTAGCTGCATATGACAATTCTACAGTACCTCTTTGATCATTTCTACTGTTTACTAAAAGTTCCAAGTTAGATAACTGCTGTTTTTCATTAATTTGAAGCCAACTGTCTCGTTTATCCTGGTCTCCATAATTGCCAATTGTGGTTTTGGTTTTTACACTTATTGTTTGAGCAATATTGAATTGGCGTGGCGAGTGAACTGGAACTACAGGAGGAAGTGTCCCATCAGAGTCAAAACTATCTTTTTCACTCGAATCATATTGAACTGTTCTGTCAATATGATTTACTTGATTAGACAAATTTTTGGGTAAACCAGTCTGGTATTGACGAATTATTTTCAAATCAGCTTCTCTGATTTCTTTGCTTTCGCAAGCAGTCAAAATGTTGTTATGGTTCTGTTCTGATATATTTTCAAGTGGACTCTCAACAGAATCTGTGCCGAGCTTCGTTAATGCAGATCTATCACATTGCTGATCTTGCTCTACCAAATCTGCCACTATTATTGCTTCTTCCTCCTGTCCAAATGTTCTGACTGTGTTAGAGGGAATTTGAAACAATCCTTGGTGTGTAGGATTGTTTTTAGAATCAAAACTTGCATTTAGTCCTTGGACACACTTTGTGTCTTCATTTAGTAGTAGCCGTTTATTGCTAATTTGTGGTTTGTCATCTGAAATCTCTTCATTTTTAACAAATGTCTCAATCTCGTGTAATGTGGCGGTTGATGTTTCTGATCGGCACAAGTATTTACCATCACGTTTTACATAGTTCACTTTCTTTGAAGGCTTACTCTCACATTCAGTTAAAAACAAATTTATGCTTACTTGCTGATATCTCTTTTCGACTGATGTTTCGGTCATATTCAATTCTGTATCATACAACCGTTCAGAGCTACTATCATAATTTGCATTTTTTACATGGTTTTCTGGACAAGATGTGTCTTTCCTACGAATCGGTGGTAAGTACTTTTTATTCGATTGTATGAAATTTGACTGAACTGCATTTATGATATCAATAGTCTCTGTTAGCTTATCCCGAACTTGCGATAAACCATCGTGCTCTTTTACCGGATTCATTAATTTGTGCGTCTGAACTGTCTTGTTGATGGGTTGTGCTTCATGAGATTGGTTTTGTTGTCGAGTTTGATGATTTGAATTTTGTCCTGTTGAAATTCTTTTCCTTTTCTTGTCTAGCAGTTTATTCTGAGACATTTTTGTTAAGTCAGAACATGTCTTTTCAGTTGCTTTAGTATGTCCCGTCTTCTGTGTTGTACTATTACTTTGATGTTCTGATCTGGGAACATTTGTACTCTTTTGACAAGATTTATTTGATGTTCTGTCTTTTGAGTATCGTCCACTATCAATTTTTTGACTCGGGATCTGTTCATTTCTCATTATATCCGTAGCTGTGTGAGTGTTTATATTTTTACCCTTTTTGTTTGCCATCTTTTTTCTTTGTTCCTTCTTCTCTCGTTTGTACTCTAACCAAAGTGAATTTATCCCATGTAGAAATGATCGCAAAACATCTAAATTTTGCTCTTCATCTTTGTTCAATTGTTTCAGCAAGCCATTTAATCGATTGACACTGGAGGCCATACCAAAATTGCCACTTTCTTTTGATATGGTTAAATTATGAACGCGGGTAACTAAACGAGAATAAACATTTTTTAACTTCTGAATATCTGCAGCTGTTACTTCGAGTATTGATTCTGAGCAATGCTGGTCACACAATGCCATCACGCCCTTAGGATGAGTGCAACCCTTACCACCAAGATCATCCAAGTTTGGGTTTTTTGCCTCAATCCTTCCAGAATCATCCATTTTTCTCTTCATGTAATTGTTCTGGTTAGATGACATTTTGGTCACTGTATTTTTAATGGCCCTATATTTTTGCTTATTTATATAATGCTGGTTATTGCCGGTCAATACCGGTGGATAGCTGTTGGTTAAATTACTCATTTCACGTAATTCACACTTACCATTATTGTGTTTTATCGCCATAGGTAATCAAATTACAAATGATAGAAATAATAACAAGTTGAAAATCACACTCGTTAATGACTAGTGGTTTTTCTTTTTTTATTTAATAAATGCTGTCATGGAAACTGCAATGTATAATTAAAAAAACAAAAGAAAAAGAAAAAAAAAACATATGTTTTTGTATAGTACAAGAGTTAGAAAATGGTGGATTTTTGAGATATTTCATTTAGATAGTTATGAAAGTGTAATAATAATGTTAAAGAATTAATGAAAATTTGATACAAATAACAACAATAAATTTTTGTTTTTAGTTTTACAAAAACATATGATTTTGAAATTACAATATTCATCTTATTCATTGCAGTTTCCATGACAGCATTTATTATGTATATACATACACACACACACACACACACACACACACACACACACACACACACACACACACACACACACACACACATATATATATAAAACTATTACTATCTCTGTTTGCTAGTATTAATTTCAAATTGTTATTACTTCAATAAATTATAATTTAATTACCAATCACGATGAAACACAGCATTCTTTTACCACCTTTACTTAGTTTATTATCAAACATTCTATTTTATTCTCTTTAAGCAAAGGATTGACACAGTTTATACAGATTTCTCTACGGCATTTGATACAATCAATCACTATATTTTGGTCACCAAATTAAAATGTTATGCAAGGCAGTCTGTAAGAATGGTTACAGTAATACACAAGTTGTAAAACGTCATTCATTTAAATTAAAGCCTATTTCAGTTTCATCTGCGGTGTCACAGGGATAACTTGTGCCCTTCGTTATTCTTATTCTTTACAAATGACTGAAATCTATCTATCTAGTCTTTATGATAAACCATTTTTTGTGTATGCTCTCAAAAGTTTTCTGACTGTAAAATGATTTCAACTCTCCACATAAATATAAATAACTGCTAAGTAATTTTTTTAAAAATGGTTCTTGCTATACATTTACCTACATTATGTAAATTATTATTTCGACATTAACCAACCTAAAGAAAATATCCTGTGTTAAAGGCTTGGTCATTTTATTTGATAGGAAGTTACATTTTATATGTTAGTAAAACTCACCACTTAAGATTGTGGTTTATTTTTGTCTTTTAGGCTAACCCTAAAAATGGCTAATATCATGTGGTGGCTGGACTACATTGTCATTCCATGACAGCATTTATTATGTAATAAAAAAAGAAATAGAAAAACTAGTCGTTAACAACTATGAATTTCAACAACTTAATTATTATAAACATTTGCAATTTAATTATCAATTAATAAAACAGCAATGGTAAAGGGTGACATTTGAGAAATGAGTAATTTAACCAACAGCTATCCACCAGTATTGACTTGCTATAACTAGCATTATTTAAATAAGCAAAAAGATAGGAGCGTTAAAAATACAGTGAACAAAATGTCATCTAACCTGAACAATTACATGAAGAGAAAAATGGATGATTCTGGATGTATTGAGGCAAAAACCCCAAACTTGGATGACCTTTCTGGTAAGGGTTGCACTCATCCTAAGGGCGTGATGGCAATGTGTAACCGGCATTGCTCAGCATCGATACTCGAAGTAACAGATGCAGATATTGAGAAGTTAAAAAATGTTTATTCTCGTTTAGTCACCCGCATTAAAAATTTAACCATATCAAAAGAAAGTGGCAATTTTGGTATGACTTCCAGTGTCAAACGATTAAATGGCTTGCTGAAACAATTGAACAAAGAAGAGGATCAAAATTTAGATGTTTTGCGATCATTTCTACAGGGGATAAAATCATTTTGGTCAGAGTATAAACGAGAGAAGGAACAAAGAAAAAAGATGGCAAACAAAAACAATAAAAATAAAAACGCTCACACAGTTACTGATATAATGAGAAATGAACAGATCCCAAGTAAAAAAATTGATAGTGGACTATATTCAAAAGACTGAACATCAAATAATTCTCATCAAAAGAGTACAAATGTTCCCAGATCAGAACATCAAAGTAATAGTACAACACAGAAGACAAGATGTACTGAAACTCCTGAAACGAGATGTCCTGACTTGACAAAAATGTTACAGAAAAAATGTAGACTAGACAAGAAAAGGAAAAGATCTCCAACAGGACAAAAATCAACTCATCAAAATCGACAACAAAGCCAATCTCCTGAAGCCCAAGCCATCAACAGGACAGTTGAGACGCACAAATTAATGAATCCGGTAAAATAACACAATGGTTTATTACCAGTTCGGGATAAGCTGACAGAGTCTATTGCTATCATAAATGCAGTTCAGTCAAATTTCATACAATCAAATAAAAAGTACCTACCCCCAATTCGTAGGAAAGGCAAATCTTGCAAAGAAAACAATGTTAGAAATTCAAATTATGATTGTAGCTCTGAATGGTTGAGTGAAACAGAAGAATTGAATATGAAAGATGTGAGAAGATGCCACAATACTTCTGAACAGAGAGTAAATTCTAAAGGATTTCATTTGCAAGAAAACGGAGGGGACCAAACAACTGAAACATCAGTCGAAAGGAGATATAAGCAAGTAAGGACAAATTTATTTTTAACTGAATGCGAGAGTGAGCCTTCAAAGAAAGGGAACCAAGTAAAAAGTGTCGGTAAACATTTCTGCCAACCACAAACATCAACCTCCACATTACATGAGACACAGACATTTGTTAAAAATGAAGAGCTTTCAGATGACAAATCACAAATTAGCAGCAAACGGCTACTAAATGAAGACACCAAGTGTGTCCAAGGACTAAATGTAAGCTTTGATACTAAAAACAGTCCTACACACCAAGGTGTAAAACCATTGTCAACGCAAACGGAAGATGGCTTATCCTTACAAGATGAAATTAAACGACCACAAAAGTTAAAAGAAACTAAAGAGAAAACTGCTGGATTGTTTCAAATTCCCTCTAACACATTCAGGACATTTGGACAGGAGGAAGAACCAATAATAGTGGCAGATTTGTTAGAGCAATGCGATAGATCAGCATTAATGAAGCTCAGCAGAGGTTCTGTTGAGAGTATCACACTTAAAAAAATATCAAAACAGAGCTGTAAGGACTGCTTGCAAAAGCAAAGAAATTAGAGAAGCCGATTTGAAAATAATTCCTGAATACCAGATTTTACGCAAAAATTTGTCTAATCAAGTAAATCATATTGACAGAACAGTTCGATATGATTCAAGAGAAAAAGATAGTTTTGACTCTGACGGGACACTTCCTCCTGTAGTTCCAGTACACACGCCAAGCCAATTCAATACTGCTCAAACAAGAAGTATAAAAACCAAAAGCACAATTGGCAATTATGAAGACCAGGATAAATGTGACAGTTGGCTTCAAATTAACAAAAAACAGCAGTTATCTAACTTGGAACTTTTAGAAAACAGTAGAACTGATCAGAGGTAACGTGGAATTGTCATATGCAGCCAATGAGAAAGAACTAGTAAGGATGAATATAGAGGCTCATGAGTCTTGTCAAAGGAAACCACCAAATTTCATTTACTTTGACCATTTACAGTCATGTCAAGTGACTCAAGGTTATTAATCACCGACAATTGCGTCGACTGACGTTGAGTTAAACCTATTGAAAATGTTTTTCTTCACAACTGCTGCCACATCGAACCTTACCAAAAAATGTCTGAAACATAGAAGTGATCAAGAAGTGAAACATCAGAGTTTTTGCAACAGCAAAAATAAAACAACGCTATATGAAGGTGCATCAAATTGCAAAGACTGGGGAACATTGCACCACATTTCAGTTCAGACTTTATCCCTTGAGCCAACTAGTAAACGTGAACGACTTGTGCAAACAGAGGAAGTAACACTCATAAGTCAAGTCACGGTGCTAAAAAAAACCCACCTCGTAGATTAACATCCCAGGCATCTGTGACTGTGGACTTAACAGAAGGCAAAACAAGAGGACGGCCCCTAGCCAAACATAGAAAGAATTTTATTAAAGGTCGAATGCAGATGGCACGATTAAAAAGAAATGTACATTTTCCTACTAGGAGAAAAGGCTCTGACATTATTAATATGCAAGAAGCAAAGAGTTCAGCAAATGCTGAACTTGGACCTTTGACTTTAGAGGTAAAATGCATTTGAAAGAGAAAAGAAACCAAGTAGGTTACCTGTTGGACCAAACGCAGGGTTCACCGGATAACGAAGAAGATGCCCAAAGTAATGATCATTCCACCATCACTCTATCTGGACAGGTGGCAAAAAAAGGAAGGAAGGAGTAAGACTTCATATAATTTAGAAACACCATACTCTTCATCCAATGATGGCCGTTCTTTTTCACCTGTAAATGACATTGTAAACAATAATTATTTTTTAGCCAAGAACAAAATAAGACAACATGAAAGTATGCTATTTGCATATTCCTAGGGAAAAAACAGATGGATTGGAGAAATGCTAAGAACTAGAATAGCTGAAACAAATATAGGACCAGACACTATAGAAGTTAGCACAACCAAAGAATGTCCTCAAGGAGGGGTACTGTCACCTCTTGCGCCTAACTGTTGACAAACTGCTCGAGCCCTGGATCTTAAAGAGATCCTGACTGCCAGGGGAAAATTCGAGGAAACGCTCTGTGACATAATCCAAGAGGGATCACAGAACAATGGTGTAAAACTGCTGATTTAGGAATCAACTCTAATAGAACAACCATTGTCGCTTTTACATGGAAAAGGAAACTAGAGGCAAATAACACTGGTAGAAATGAAAAAAGGAGTCAAATTTTTGGGCATCACAGTAGATAAAACACTGACATTTAAGAAACATATCGGCTCTACCATCACGAAGGAGATGCAAGATTTGATGGTGTGCAGAAGAGTAGCAGGAAGGAACTGGGGATGCAGACTGGAAACTTTGCTTTGGATTTACACCATGACAGTAAGACCCATACTTATATACGGAGTTAACCTGGGCTGATAAAGTAGAACAAGTAACTAAACGAAAAGAACTCACAAAAATACAGAGACTTGCATGTATCTGCATAACGGGAGCAATGAGAAATGTCCTACAATTAGCATGGAAAAAGTACTGGGATTAATCCCCCTACACCACACGGTAATAAGGACAGCACAGAAAACCATCATTAATATTACCAAAGAGATACCTCCAACAGGAATAAAACTAAAATGGAGAGACAGCAACAAACTAAGGAAAGACCGTCTGATACTCATGGCTCCGAGAGATGACATCAACCGGATGTTTGAATTTAATCAAAACTTCCAAATACATCTAGGTACCAAAAAAGAATGTGAACGAGAGAGAAACACCTCTTTTAAGAATGGCACCATCCTTTGGTACACAGATGGATCTAGGACACAAGAAGGTACAGGGGCAGGAGCATTGGACCTGGAACCAAAGACTCATAACCCATGGGAAATACACCAGTATCTTCCAACCTGAGATTCATGCAATTGAAAGATGTGCCCAACTGAACCTGAGTAAAGGGTACATAAACAAGAACATAGCTATCATGTCAGATAGCCAAGCAGCCGTCAAAGCACTAAGCTCAAATATCATTAGTTCAAGGATGGTGCTGAACTGCAAAACCAAACTAAACATATTAGGTACGCAAAACAAAGTCATCCTCTGCTGGATCCCAGGACATAGGGGGTAGAAGGCAACGAGAAAGCGGACACCATTGCAAAGCTGAGATTTGACTGCTGACAGGACCTGAACCCTTCTGTGACATAAGAACCCACACTATTAACAAGTATCTTAAACAGAAGGGCAACAAGAAAATGAAAGAACTATGGAATTCACTCATTGGACACAGACAATCCAAGAATCTCCTAACCAATTTTGGAAGAAAAGAAATTACAGAATTTGTAGCAGGAACAAACTGCGAATCCTAAAAGGATTCCTAACAGGACACTGCAAGTTAAATGACACTTAAAGAAGATTGGAATAATCCAAGACGGTATATGCAGATTCTGCAAAGAGGCAGAAGAGACCAACACATCTAGTAACAAACTGCGGAGCTACACTAGCCCACAGGAGGAAGTATTTTGGGATGTATGATGTGACCATAGAAGAGCTTCAATCACTGAAACTGGGCCTATTAATCAAGTTTCTTGATGAAATACGACTCACCGATGTGCTTCAGGCAGAGTACGGGGGATACAATAGCTCTTAAAGGGTGCAGAATACTATACAATCTACATCTACTGCATATATTGTTTGACTTTATGTTAGAATATATAAAGCTAAAGCACAAGGAAGTTATTAAAGCACTCAATGTAACAATGCGTTCATAACATCCACAGCTCAACAACAAAGTACCATGTTATTTTCAATATGTCTGCTAAGATTACAAGCAGACTTTCTCTTAATGATGCTTTAATGACCGGCCCTGTAATTCAACAGGACTTAGTTTCAATAATACTCAGATTCCATTCTTATAAATATGTAGTAAACTGCAGATATCACCAAAATGTTTAGGGATATTAAGATTTCAGAAGAGAATTTTGGAAAAAAATGTCCTAATCAACCTCTTATAAAGTATCAGTTAAATACTGTTACCTGTGGATTTGCTCCAGCTTCGTTTCTCGCTATAAGATGTCTTCATCAAGCTGCTAGAGAACAAGAAGATTAATTCCCCTCATACATTGCAATGTATCTGGCAACGAAAACATATATAAACAATTAAAGCAATTAAAGATGCTGGTAAAAATTTAAGGTTTAGAAAATGCGGAAAATATGTTATTGATAACAAGGTTCAACCATTAAGGATGCTGTATCGATTAAAAAAAAAGGATATTTTGTTAGAAACAAAAAGAATCATTTACCAATATGCTAAAATTGATGTTTCGATGTTTTTTCATCCACTGCTGACGAACAAAGACACACTTGCTCAACCGCCAATGTGCACAACACAATAAATGTACTCTAAAAACTGAATCGCTACATGTGTACAGATTTCAAGCTATACCAGCTTCCTGTAACCACATGATTACAACTGTTGTTAAAGTAAACACATGTTTGTAATGATTTCAATTTTAAAATATTTTTTTGAGGCACAAAGATGTGTCAAAAACTTCCTTGATTCGATATAAAATAATGAGAGAATGGGATGAGTTAGGAAAGGCAATACCTAGAAAGCCAGACAGGAGCCGCCGTCACCCCTCTGCATTCCAAGCCATCTCACTCTCCTACTCTTTATTTATCAATCCAGTTTAAGTAAGAAACTCCAAACAGCTTTCTGTTGTTAGATGGGGAATCTTTAAAAATTTGGGTCACACTATTTGCAAGCCTATATTTGACACTAAGGTCTTTGTAGTTGCTACATGATGTCAGAATATGCTTGATGGTTATTGTTTTACAGCAAGTTGTGAATTCTCGGGGAAGTTCTCTAGCCGGAAGGGTAATCATGCATCGATATTGTGTCTCCTATCCTAAGCCTAGCCAATCAGTTTCTTCTTTCTGTGATCATGCTTCATTGCCGTACTCCATTGTTTACCATCTACATGTTTCGCCATTTTAAATGCCAAAGGTCTGAAATTTTTCCTTTTAGAAAAACTGCAAAATTTTCGGAAGGCTTAAAAAATAAATTCAGCTCATTTTCTGTTGGCGATTAACAAACCTAATTGCACGTATGATTTTCTAGTGCTAAGAAAATGTAAGTCTGATGGGGCTTAGTCTGGAGAGTATTGAGGGTGTGCTAGGGACTTGTCAACAATGCTTCATTTTCACCTCCTTTGTCCTTTTGGCTGTCTTGCATTGGCCTGGTGAACAATTTACACCATTTCTGTTCATGAGAGTGTTGTTTCGGGGCAAGGGCAAGAGATACTTCACTGATAGTCAGTCACGAAGCGACAATCTAGTAAAAAAAAAATCTCTACTTTGGGCTGTTAAAGCAATGAAAGGCTAATGTTTTTCATTGAAGATTGTTAGCATTGGTCAATTTATGAGGATTTGCTCAGCTTCTATGTCTCTCTAAGCTGAAGTAGCTGAAGTATGCTAGAATGAATGGTTTCATTGTATTTTGAACACTTTGGCAAATTTACAGATGATAGAAAAGAACAATAACTACAACTTATATAATTAGATATAAAATTGATGCTTGCAAATAATAATAAAATTGATAAATAATTTTTATCAACAAATCAATTAAGATATATAATTAATAATAGTAGCAAACTGATATAATTTGTTTTTCTCGATAAACCCTTAGAAAAATAAATCCTTCATAATGAAAATCAAATTGATTTTTCTTACAAAGGATTATTATAAATGTCTCTTTACACTATTTAAATAATTAAAATAAAAGTGTTAACTTTTAAGACACAAAATAAATTAATTAAACACCATCACTCTTAAAACTCATTGTAAAAAACATAAATAAATAAACTATTTAAAAAAATTAAATAATGCATAATCCGAAGGATGACATAAATTATTCTACAGCCTCTGTTCTTGTAAGCAAAAAAAACTGACAAATTAAGACCACCATGGTTAACACTGAACATCCTAGTCTGCTTCCAGTACTGGCACATCCAAATAGCCTAAAGGTTTAAATGATAAGTTTAGTAAATTATATAATTGTATATGCATCCAAAACCTGTGTCGTAAGTGAGAAGTGAAGCCCTGCCCGTGCCCATTTTGACAACCCTGGCCAATTTTTTGAGTAGATTTTCATAGAGATCAAAATTGTCTTTCTTCAGAACACTGCTTTTCCCAAAAGGCTAAAATTAATTTTAACTATAATATTAATCGTGTTTATTTTATATAAAGTTTTACCAAATCTGTCACAAACACGTCTACAGTTTGATCTCTAAATGGGATGTTTAATGCATCCCATTTAAACGCATCTATAGGGAGACCTTTCTCTTTAGTAAGGTGTGTGATGTTTGCTGAAGTTCTATTTATCGCTTTGTCATCTTTATCTCCTCCTATTTGAAAAGTGCCTGGAAAGCTTAAAGCTCCCTGTGGTTACTAGTTAAGAGTAATAGTATGTAGACAAATAACAATAATATACTTATGTTCAACACACTCAAAACGATTAAGGGGAAGAGGGGTCATCCTCACCTAATTAGCAATTTGAGGTTGATACATGGACCTTTGGATGTGTCCTACTTAACGTGTTCATTACAGCTGCCCTGCTATGGTTGTAGGGAGTGTGTGTTATACAAATGTGTTAATTGAACGGTGTTATTTCTGGGCTTCTTATAGATAGCGCATAAGAATGCCATCTGATATGAGAATTGTACTTGAGATGGGCAGCGAATATCTGTGTCCATGCTTACATTTCATACTCTCTCCTAATTTTTTTTAAATTCCTTCAAGAAGAGATTAATTTGAAATTAAAGAAAAATTAGTTTGAAATAAAAACAGATTAATTTGAAGTTAACAAAAATTAATGTGAGGTGAAGAAGAGCTACTTTGGTGTAAAAAAAAAAGATTACTTTAAAGACAGTTTATTACATATCCTCTTTACCATTAACACAAATATACAGCATTCTTTTAGGCAATGCAAACTGCATAAAAAGCAGAAAGGTCTTTTTTTGAAAAGTTTCAGAATTAAACAAAATTTATGATTTAGATGTATGTTGTGAACTTTGGTTGGAACTGGGCTTGATATGCTCAACTATTGCTAAAATCATGTCATCGCAGGTATTGGATGTAATTGAGAATTCATTAATAATGTATAATTTTTTTTTCAATGAATTTTTAGTTTTCTCAAAACAGTTCAGCAGACACAGCAACAAAGTTGAACAACACTTTACAGGTTTCTTTAAAAATCGACAAAAGGTAAAAAAATTAATAATGATTTTGGTTCTTAATTGTTGCTCATATTAATGTGATATTGATTTAAAGGACTAACAAAATGCCGGATAGATTCCCGCTTGAATATGAGAGATGCCTTTGTGGCATATTTGTGCATAGCGCAGGCTACTCTAAATTTGTGAACTGTGATAAGAATAAAATCATAGATTATATCAAGTGAGTAGGTGAGTGAGTAGTATCAAGGTGTTGTTATTTACAGTTTATTTTACATTGACCATTTTTCCTTAGGAATTTTATTTTTTCATTACAGTTTTACAAATTAAAACAGGTATAGTTGTCTATGTGGATCCTTCAGTAAGCCTATGAAGGAGTAACTACTAGTAAGTATATGAAGGAGGTGAAATCATCAAGCGAAAAACAACATTAAATAGTAGGCAGATTAACATATACTTACTAAATTTTTGTAATTTATTGAAATTGCTACTAAATTAGTAATTTGTTTCCCCAAATTAAAAAAAAATACAAATAAAAAATAAAATGGTTTCTGTCAGTGCATGAAAGATTTAAATTTACCTCATATATGTATAATAAAAGTTCAAGCTTATAGTTAACATTTATTTATTAATTATCAAAAATAATCGTTAAAGATTATTCGAGTCGGTTGCAGGTGGCTGGTGTAGCCTTAAATCGAAACACATGTACTGGTTCAGTTTTTGGGGTGAAATTGATTGTATCGTACACTTTGGAAGTAGAAATAGTTTGTGTTGGATGTTCTTCAGATGTAGGTGAAAAAACGGATTGAAACATCCAATTAGCATATCCTTGAATGATCCTATTGTTTCGCTTAGTAAAATGTCCTTTTTTTCATGACCAGTGCTGTCATCGATGGTAGAACCTTTTTTTGAATAATATATTATAATTTCTGCATTTTCTGCACCAATTTTTAGCGGCATCTTTAACTGCTGAATTTTTTTAAGCCCAGTGACTTTCGTAATTTCTTTCATTGAATCGTCTTGTCCGGGCAATGAAGATTTCAACGGTTGGTGTTGAGGTGTGGATTCACGATTGGGACTAGAGATTCTGTGCTGTGCAACTGAAATTTTTATTGAACTGGGATCATAAGAGACTGTGTCTTCATTTATTTTAATGTTGAGACTCGCTGTTCTTTCAGTGTCGTTATCCATAACAATATTCCTATCATTGTCACTGCTTGTACTATCGACCTGTGTAAAGTCATCTGGGTATGTTTCAGCTTCAGACTCTATAGAAACAGAATGTGAATATGAACGGGTATTACATGATGAGGATGATACAGTGCTGTGTGGTGTCTTTTTATTCTCTTGAGGTGATAGTTGTGTATGTCCAAGGTGCCCTAAAATTTCTGTCCCCTGACGAAAATCTTGTTCTGATTTTGAGATTCTTAAATTTTCCTCGTGATGTTTGCATTGTGGATTCATTTTATTCCAAAATAAAGATAGTTCGCTTTTATACTTTTGAATTTTGTCAGTTTGTCCTCTTACTAACATATTTTCATGTTGTCTTGTTCTGTTCTTCTCTAAAAGGTAATTATTTTTTATACTGTCATTTAAAGATGAAGAAGAATGACCATCTTTGGACAAAGAGTTAGTTGTCTCTAAATGAGATGATGTCTTACTCTGTTTTCTTAATGCTTTCTTTCTGTTGCCTGTTGGAGGGCTTCGAGTACAAGATCGTTCATTGGCTGAAATGTTTCGACTGCTGGCACCTAACCATTTCCTTTTTCTTGCAACTCGTTGGGATAGACAGGCGAACCAGTACCCTGCATTTTGGCCAGCTGTTCATCCTGAGGTGCAGTCTTCAATTTGTTGTCAACAAAATCACCACCTTGATTAGTTAACGTGAATGGTGATCGTGAAATATGCAGCAAACAGCAGTCATCAGTCGCTGGAGGTAATGAAATGGGTAATCTACTTGGTTTAGTTGCACTTTGAAATATATTGGCTTTATGGTCAATTTCCAAAGCAGACTTAGCTTTCATGCATTCCTCTTTCATTCCGCTCCTTGATACGACAGTTGGAACAGACCTGGACTTAAAACGAAATAATGCTGGAGTCGTAACAGAACCTACAAAATAAAAATAAATAAACAAACAAAGTATATAATACATATATTAAATAATAATGTGGTATAAAATAATAAAACAATAACACATAGATTTACATAAATAGAGTAACATGTTTCCCGTTCTAATCAGAAAATAATTTAAATAAAATAAAAATGTAATTATTCATCTTACCAAGTTTATCATCTTCATGGTTGAAATTTGGAAATTCACGAGGCTGGTTGCTTAAGATATCTGTCAGATAGGTATCTCTAGTGGCCGATTTTGAAGGTTGGTATATCCTTATTGGCGATAATTGCTGTTCGTTGTCTAAAAACTCTTCCTGGGCTTTTGAAAGTTCCGGATCTCCATTTTGCAACTCTAAAGTCAAAGGACAAAGTTCAGGATTTGCTGTACTCTTCTGTATATTAATAATGTCAGAGCCTTTTGTCCTAGTAGGAAAATAAACAGTCCTTTTTAGTCGTGCCATCTGCATTTGACCTTTAGTAAAATTCTTTCTATGTTTGGCTAGGGGCCGTCCTCTTGTTTTCCTTCCCGTTAAGTCCACAGTTACAAATACGTGGGATGTTAATCTACGAGGTGGTGGTTTTAGCACCGTTTGAGAATTTTGACTTACGAGTGTTACTTCCTCTGTTTGCACAAGTCGGTCACATTTACTAGTCGGCTCAAGGGATACAGTCTGAACTGAAGTGTGGTGCAATGTTCCCCAGTCTTTGCAATTTGATGCACCTTCATATTGCGTTGCTTTATTTTTGCTGTTGCATAATCTCTGATGTTTCACTTCTTGATCACTTCTTTGTTTCAGACATTTTTTGTTAAGGTTCGATGTGGCAGCAGTTGACAAGAAGGACATTTTCAATAGGTCTAATTCCACATCAGTCGAAGCGATTGTTGGTGAATAATAACCTCGAGTCGCTTGACATGAATGTAAATGGTCAAAGTCAATGTAATTTGGTGGTTTCCTTTGACAAGACTTATGAGCATCTATATTCATCCTTACTAGCTCCTTCTTGTTAGCTGTATATGACAATTCCACACTACCTCTTTGATCATTTCTACTGTTTTCTAAAAGTTCCAAGTTAGATACCTGTTGTTTTTTATTAATTTGAAGCCAACTGTCACATTTATCCTGGTCTTCATAATTACCAATTGTGGTTTTGGTGTTTGCACTTATTGTTTGAGCAGTATTGAATTGGCTTGGCATGTGTACTGGAACAACAGGAGGAAGTGTCCCATCAGAGTCAAAACTATCTTTTTCACTCGAATCATATTGAACTGTTCTGTCAATATGATTTACTTGATTAGACAAATTTCTGGGTAAACTCTTGTATTCAGGAATTATTTTCAAATCGGCTTCTCTGATTTCTTTGCTTTCGCAAGCAGTCAAAATGTTGTTATGGTTCTGTTCTGATATATTTTCAAGTGGACTCTCAACAGAATCTGTGCTGAGCTTCGTTAATGCAGATCTATCACATTGCTGATCTTGCTCTACCAAATCTGCCACTATTATTGCTTCTTCCTCCTGTCCAAATGTTCTGACTGTGTTAGAGGGAATTTGAAACAATCCTTGGTGTGTAGGATTGTTTTTAGAATCAAAACTTGCATTTAGTCCTTGGACACACTTTGTGTCTTCATTTAGTAGTAGCCGTTTACTGCTAATTTGTGGTTTGTCATCTGAAAGCTCTTCATTTTTAGCAAAAGTCTCATTCTCGTGTAATGTGGCGGTTGATGTTTCTGATTGGCACAAGTATTTACCATCATGTTTTACATAGTTCACTTTCTTTGAAGGCTTACGCTCACAGTCAGTTAAAAACAAATTTGTCCTTACTTGCTGATATCTCTTTTCAACTGATGTTTCGGTCATATTCAATTTTTCTGTATCACACAACTGTTCAGAGCTACTATCATAATTTGCATTTTTTACATGGTTTTCTGGACAAGATGTGTCTTTCCTACGAATCGGTGGTAGGTACTTTCTATTCGATTGTATGAAATTTGACTGAACTGCATTTATGATAGCAATAGACTCTGTCAGCTTATCCCGAATTTGCGATAAACCATCGTGTTCTTTTACCGGATTTATTAATTTGTGCGTCTGAACTGTCTCGTTGATGGCTTGTGCTTCACGAGATTGGTTTTGTTGTCGAGTTTGATGATTTGAATTTTGTCCAGTTGGAATTATTTTCCTTTTCTTGTCTAGCAGTTTATTCTTCGACATTTTCGTTGAGTCAGGACATGTCTTTTCAGTTGCTTCAGTATGTCCCGTCTTTTGTGTTGTATTATTACTTTGAAGTTCTGATCTGGGAACATTTGTACTCTTTTGACAAGAATTATTCGATGTTCTGTCGATGTTCTAAAAAATTTTGTTTGTATACATATGGTGGGGTTTTCTTTTTTGAGTTTAGCGAGCTGTAGCTGACAATTAGCTTTTAGTGAGAGCCAGGGAGGAAATGTAGAAACAGAGATAGTTTGTAATGCTGGAATGGTGCTGGTTTGACTGCGTAAAAATAAGGAAGTGCGTACAGGGAAATGTTTCTTTTTGTTATTATCACAGTTTTCAAGGGAGATGATGTTTTTATTTGGAAATAAATCATTCAAAGGTTGTAGTGGAGATGTTATGATTTTAACAAAAAATTTAGTGTCAAGAAACTGTCGCCTGTATGCTAATGGCAATTCTCCAGCTTCAACCTGTAGGCTATTTATCATGCTTGATTGAAAGGCCTCTGCCAATCGTAAACAAGTGTTTTGGATTGGGTTTAAACAGTTGAGCTTACTGTCTGAGGCTGAACCATATGCATTGCAGCCATAATCGATTCTAGATTGTATTATACTTTTATATAATCTTAAAAGGCTCGCACGGTCAGCTCCCCATGAAGTTGAACTTATAGTCGTTAGCAAATTCATATTTTGAAGGCAATTTGCTCTATAAGGTAAGCAATCCAATTTAGAGTCTTATCAAAAGTTAGACCGAGATATTGAGCAGTGTCAGCAAAATTAACTTTGTTTCCGAGAATGTGCAGGGCCGGTAATGTAGTAGGTCATCTTTTCAACATCGAAATCTTAAAGCCATTTTCAACAACCACTTACATCATTTAATGCATTTTGCATATAGTGTTGAAGGGTTTCAATTCAATTTCTCCCCCGTCTAAATCCACTTTGCCAAGCTGGTAATAGACCATGGTACTCAAAATACCAATGAACCCTGTTAGATATAATTTTTTCTACCAGCTTACACATCGAACATGTAAGAGATATTAAACGATAACTGGTCACCTCTTATGCAGGTTTACCTTTTTTTGAAATGTGAATAGCGATAGCTGTAGACCAGATTTTAGGAAATATACCAGAGACAAAAATTCTGTTTATTGCTTTTAGCACAGTTTGTTTATCGCTGTTTGACAGATTTTTGATGAAGGAAATGCAAATGTTATCGGGTCCCGGCGATGTATCTTTGCATGAATTTAGTGCTGTAATGAATTAGACTTCAGAGAAAGGTTTGCTCAAAGGATCGGGTTGGTTGTATGCTGCATGATGCACCACAAAAGGGATAGTCTCATGTCGTGCCTTTATTTCTTTAAATATAGTGCAATAGTTTGAAGTAGCCATAATTTTGTGAAGATGGGCAAAAGCATCAGCTATTTCTTTAGGTTCAGTTAGGAAGCCATCGTTATCATCTTTAAGGGAAGTAATGTGTGGGCTGTAACCGCGTCCTTTAATAAACATATATATAATAACATAAAATACACAGAAATAGGGGTATTGGAATTATTAAGTTCCAAAAACTTCCAGGAATTTTTTTTACTCATTCTAATGACATATTGAGCATGCTTTTTTGCCACATTATAATTTTCTAAATTTTCACTGGAAGGTTGTCTTAGTAAAATACTAAGACATTTTTTCCTATTTTTGGTCACTTGCCGACAGTCTTCATTCCACCAGGGAACTGTGACCTGCTTTATTCTTTTTTGTTTATTCCGGGGGACCGGTACTCTTGCTCCTTCCAAAAGTTTATTGTTAAGGTCATCAATTAAGGAGTCAATTTCAGAATTACCAATATCTAAATCATTTAGACTTATGTTGTGCTGAAAGAGAGACCCATCAGCCTTTTTACATTGCCAAGTGCCAGGTCCCTGATAACGATTCTTCTTTAACAAGTTATGAACGATAATCGGAAAGTGATCAGAACGATGTGTCTTTTATACTTACCCATTTCAAAATGGGTTGCAGAGTTGGGCTTGCAAGACTAAGATCTATTACTGAAGTTTTACCGGACCTAGAACAGAAATGTGTTGGAGATCCATTATTTAATAAGTTTAAGTTACATCTATCTATAATTAATTCGATGGACTTTCCTGAAGTATTCATTTTATCTCCACCCTATAATGGGTTGTGGGCATTAAAATCACAAGAAATAATGATGGGTTGTGGAAGTTGATTGAAAGCTACAAATAACTCCTCAAATGTTACGAAGTCCCCTCTAGGAAGGTAGAGGGAACAAACCATGAATTGAGGAGGGGTTAGTGTCCTGGCATCTGATTTCTAGTCCAGAATCTAAGTCAATTTGCGAGTATGTTATGTCATCTGTAATTACTAGGCCGACACTTCCACAAGCAATCTGGCCGTCACTATAATCCTTTCTAAGTAAAGAGAAATTTTTAAAGTTAATTTTATCAGAGGGCTTTAGGTTAGTTTCCTGTAAGCATGATATACAGCAATCAAACTTTGATAATAACTGTTGAAGTTCATTTCGTTTCAGTAAAGCCATCCATATTCCATTGTAATATTGATGATTCACCACATTTACCACAGCTTTTGGTGTGACAATATTTACCCAAATGCCTATATTGAAAACAAGAGTAACATTGCATTGGGTTGGGACGAAACGGGCGCAATTTGATTTGAAGAAAATCTAAGATAATTTTCTCTGGGATTTCAGGCTTCTGAAATGTAAGAAAAGCAAAGAGGTAGGGAGGGGTTTACCATTTTCAGTTTTCATCACTCTTTGTACTTTAGTTACTCTTTGAGACTCTAGCTCTGATAAAATCTCAGCTTCGGGACAATTTAATAACTCAGGAGCAAACACAACCCTTCTAGAAAAATTCAGCGAACGATGTAAAGTAAACTGTACTTTTAAGTTTTCATACGTGTTGATGTTTTGGAGATTGAAGTAATCTTTTTCACTGTTTATGTCAAGAAGGACAGATCCATTCCTTAAAAACTTCATATTTATTGCCGGGGCATAACTTCTGACAAATCGACAGACCTTAAAGGGAATGAAGTTGTTAAACGAAATATTTTCTTGATCAGACTCTAAGGACATGAGAACAAATTTTCTGCACCATTTCAGTTTGGTTTTTATAAATAAACCTTTGTCCGGGGTATCAGTTTTTAAGATGGATTCATTTATTTCCATCACAAAATTAATAATAAAACAAAATTTGAAAAATAAAATAAAACATTTCTAATTAATTTAAAAATAATTATAAAAAGAAAATTATTTGGATATGAGAGATCTATATTATACTACCTGATTTAATAAGGATGGAAGAGATAACACAATTAGATAGACCAGTCAAAGGACAAACACAGACTGAATATTAATAAATTATTAATAATTAAACAATACACTACTTATTCTGACAGCATTTATTATATATATATTTATATATTATATATATTTCTCTTTCTNATATAAAATATATATATATACTATTATATTCAAACAATAATTCTTTTAAAAATATCCTTTTAAAAATAAAAAAATAATAGCCTGTGTTAAAGGCAAGATAGATTTTATATGTTAGTAAAACTCACCACTTAAGATTGTGCATTATTTTTGTCTTTTAGGCCATCCAAAAAAAGGGATATTATCATGTGTAGGGGCTGGAGAACATTGTCATTCTTTGACAGCATTTATTACATAAAAAAAGAAAAGAAAAACCACTAGTTATTAATGAGTATGATTTTCAATTTGTTACTATTTCAATCATTTCTAATTTGATTACCACTTGCGATGAAACAACAATTGTTCACCAGCAGCCACATGCAAAATGGCGTCAACGAACACCACCGAAGATACGAGATATAATTAATAAGAAGATTGTTTGTTTTTTGGCACCAACGGGAATGGAGGATTCCCGAATGATTAGCAGATGCTAGTTAATTAAGTTAAGAATTAAATAAAGGAATAAATGAACGAAAGGAGTAATTGAAGACTTACTATTTAGTGACATTTCTGTGGCTTACAAGATGGATGATGATCGTATTGGAGCTCGACTCACTGCGTAGTAATACTGCGAAGTAAACCACATGGTGGGCTGCTCAGACTAGAAGATATATAGGCGATATGCAGCGATGATTAGCATGATGCAGCGCACTGGCCTGGTGATGGCAATGGGATGATGCAATCCAGGTGGCGATGTCAGTGAGATGATGTTGTCTTCCGGGGATAATGATGATGGTATACGGATAAAGGGAGATGAGATATTAAGGGAAAATGGCAATGATAGGTTTGGGACCATGCGGTTGGGAGATGGGATGCACGCTCCAAGAGGTGGCAGAGAAGATAGCCAAAAAGGCTGGAAGGGACGGATTTTTGAGGAAAAACAAGGGAAGCGTGTTAAGATTGGGGATTATGAGAAGATAGGGGTTGTAGATAGAGGGGTATAGTGTACGTCACAAATCAGGTGCTTTGCTGAAGGAAACGAGCCCGAACAGCAATGGTAAGTGTGAAATTCAAGAAATGAGTAATTTAACTAACAGCTATCCACTGGTGCTGACTTGCTATAACCAGCATTATTTAAATAACCAAAAAGATAGGAGCGATAAAAATACAATGAGCAAAATGTCATCTAAGCTGAAGAATTACTGAAGAGAAAAATGGACGATTCTGGAAGCATTGAGGCAAAAACCCAAACTTGGATGACCTTTCTGGTAAGGGTTGCACTTATCCTAAGGATGTGATGGCATCGTGTGATCAACATTGCTCAGCATCGATACTCGAAGTAACAACAGCAGATATTAAAAAGTTAAAAGAAGTTTATTCTCGTTTAGTGACCCTGCATTCAAAATTTAAACATATCAAAAGGAAGTGGAAACTTTAGTATGACCTCCAGTGTCGAACGATTAAATGGCTTGATGAAACGATTGAACAAAGACGAGGAGAGAAATTTAGATGTTTTGCGATCATTTCTACAGGGGGTAAATTCACTTTGGTCAGAGTATAAACGAGGGAAGAAGGTACAAAGACAAAAGATGCCAAACAAAAATGTTAAAAGAACAAAAGCTTATACATCTACAGATATAATGAATGACAAATGAAGAGATCCCGAGTAAAAAAATTCATAGTGGACTATAATCAAAAGACAGAATGTCAAATAATTCTCGTCAAAAGAGTACAAATGTACTAGTAAGTAGAAGATCAAAGTAATAGTATAACACATAAGAAATGGCAGAAATGAGACGTACTGACTTGACAAAAATGACCCAGAATAAACTGCTTGACAAGAAAAGGAAAAGAATTCCAACAGGACAAAAATCAACTCAAACAAATCGACTACAAAGCCAATCTGTTGAAGCCGAAAACCTTAAAAGGCTAGTTGAGACATACCAATTAATGAATGTTCCAAAAGAACATGATGGTTTATCACAAGTTCTGAATAAGCTCAAAAGAGACTATTGCTATCATAAATGCAGTTCAGTCAAATTTAGTACAACCGAATAAAAAGTACCTTCCACCCATTCGTAGGAAAGGCAAATCTTGTACAGAAAACAATGTTAGAAATTCAAATTATGATTGTAGCTCTGAACGGTTGTGTGATACAGAACAATTGAATAGGAAAGATGTGAGCAGATGCCACAATATTTCTGAACAGAGAGTAAATTCTAAAGGATTTCATTTGCAAGAAAATGGAGGGGACCAAACAACCGAAACATCAGTCGAAAGGAGATATAAGCAAATAAGGAGAAATTTATTGTTAACTGAATGCGAGAGTGAGCCTTTAAAGAAAGGGAACCAAGTAAAAAGTGTCGGTAAACATTTCTGCCAATCAGAAACATCAACTTCCACATTACATGAGACACAGACATTTGTTAAAAATGAAGAGCTTTCAGATGACAAATCACAAATTAGCAGCAAACAGTTACTAAATGAAGACACCAAGTATGTCCAAGGACTAAATGTAAGCTTTGATTCCAAAAACAGCCCTACACACCAAGTGTAAAACCATTGTCAACACAAACAGAAGATGGCTTATACTTACAAGATGAAATTAAACCACCACAAAAGTTAAAAGAAACTTAAGAGAAAACTGCTGGATTGTTTCAAATTCCCTCTAACACATTCAGGACATTTGGACAGGAGGAAGAACCAATAATATTGGCAGATTTGTTAGAGCAAGATCAGCAATGCGATAGATCAGCATTAACGAAGCTCAGCAGAGGTTCTGTTGAGAGTATCCCAATTAAAAAAATATAACATTTATTTATATATAATATAAATTAAAAAACAGAAACCATAACGACATTTTGACTACTTGCGAAAGCAAAGAAATCAGAGAACCTAGATCAAAAATAATTCCTGAATACAATATTTTACCCAAAAATTTGTCTAACCAAGTAAATCATATTGACAAAACGTTTCGACACGATTCAAGTGAAAAGGTTGGCTTTGACTCTGACAGGACACATCCTCCTGTAGTTCCAGTACACTCACCACACCAATTCAATACTGCTCAAACAATAAGTTTAAAAAACTAAAACCACAATTGGCAATTATGGAGACCAGGATAAATGTGACAGTTGGCTTCAAATTAATGAAAAATCTGTAAATGTCAGCATCAAAAATAATTACTTTTTAGAAAAGAACAGAACAAGACATGAAAGTATGGTGGATAGAGGACAAACTGAGAAAATTCAAGTCTAAAAGCGAACCATCTTTATTTTGGAATAAAATGAATCCACAATGCAAACAGCATGAGGAAAGTTTAAGAATCTCAAAATCAGAACAAGCTTTTCCTCTGGGGAAAAGAATTTTAGGACACCTTGAACAAGAAAAAGGAAATTGTCAGGTGCCAGCAGTCGAAACATTTCAGTCGATGAACGATCTTATACTCGAAACCCTCCATCAGGCAACAGAAAGAAAGCATTAAGAAAACAGAGTAAGACATCATCTCATTTAGAAACACCTAACTCTTTGTTCAAAGATGGTCATTCTTCTTCATCTGTAAATGACAGTGTAAAAAATAATTACCTGTTAGAGAAGAACAGAACAACAGAACATGAAAGTATGCTAGTAAGAGGACAAACTGAGAAAATTCAAAACTATAAAAGCGAACTATCTTTATTTTGGAATAAAATGAATCCACAATGCAAACATCATGAGAAAAATTTAAGAACCTCAAAATCAGAACAAGATTTTCCTCTGGGGACAGAAATTTTAGGACACTTTGAACATATACAATTACCACCTCAAGAGAATAAAAAGAGACCACACAGCATTGTATCGTCCTCGACATGTAATGCCCGTTCATATTCGCATTATATTTCTATAGTCTCGGCACACCCTCAATGGCATCAGAGGTGATGATGAATTTAGCAACTCCGAACGGCGATGTTGAAACATACCCAGATGACTTTACATAGGTCAATAGTACAAGCAGTGACAATGATAAGAATATTGTTATTGATAGCGACACCGAAAGAACAGCGAGTCTCAACTTTAAAATTAATGAAGACACGATCTCTTTGATTCCCAGTTCATCAAAAATTTCAGTTACACAGATAAGAAGCTGTAGTCCCGATCATGAATCCACACAACACCAACCATTGAAATCTTCATCACCTAGTCAAGATGATTCAATGAAAGAAATTACAAGTCACTGGGCTTAAAAAAATTCAGCAGTTAAAAATGCCGGTAAAAATTGATGGTGCAGAAAATGCAGAAATTATATTATTCAAAAAAAGGTTCTACCATCAATGACAGCACTGGTCATGAAAAAAAGGACATTTTACTAAGCGAAACAATATGATCATTCAAAGATATTCTAAATTGGATATTTCAATCCGTTTTTTTCACCTACATATGAAGAACATCCAACCCAGACTATTTCTACCCCCAAAGTGTACGACACAATCAATTTCACTCCAAAAACTGAACCGGTACATGTGTTTCGATTTAAGGCTACATCAGCCACCTCCCACCAACGTGAATAATCTTTAACGATTATTTTTGATAATTAATAAATAAATTTTGGCAATCTTCACTGCCAGGTCAAGACGATTCAATGAAAGAAATGACGAAAGTCACTAGGCTGTAACACATTCAGGACATTTGGACAGGAGGAAGAACCAATAATAAGTGGCAGATTTGGTAGAGTAAGATCAGCAATGCGATTGATCTGCATTAACGAAGCTCATCAGAGTCTGTTGAGAGTCCACTTAAAAAAATATCAAAACAGAACCAAAACATTTTGACTGCTTACGAAAGGAAAGAAATCAGAGGAGCCGATTTGAAAATAATTCCTGAATACCAGATTTTACCCAAAAATTCTAATCAAGTAAATCTTATTGACAGAACAGTTTGATACGATTCAAGTGAAAAAGATAGTTTTGACTCTGATGGGACACTTCTTCCTGTAGTTCCAGTACACACGCCAAGCTAATTCAATACTGCTCAAACAAGAAGTATAAAAACCAAAACCACAATTGGCAATTATGAAGACCAGGATAAATGTGACAGTTGGCTTCAAATTAATGAAAAACAGCAGGTATCAAACTTGGAACTTTTAGAAAACAGTAGAAATGATCAAAGAAAAATTGTGGAATTGACATATGCAGCTAATGAGAAGGAACTAGTAAGGATGAATATAGATGCTCAGGAGTCTTGTGAAAGGAAATCACCAAATTACATTGACTTTGACCATTTACATTCATGTCAAGCGGCTCAAGGTTATAATTCACTGACAATCGCCTCAACTAATGTGGAATTAGACCTATTGAAAATGTCTTTCTTCACAACTGCTGGCACATTGAACCTTACCAAAAAATGTCTGAAACATAGAAGGGATCAAGAAGAGAAACATCAGAGTTTATGCAACAGCAAAAATAAGGCAACGCAATATGAAGGTGCATCAAATTACAAAGACTGGGGAACATTGCACCACACTTCAGTTCAGACTTTATCCCTTGAGCCGACTAGTAAATGCGACCGACTTGTGCAAACAGAGGAAGTAACACTCATAAGTCAAACTTCTCAAACGGTGCTAAAACAACCACATCGTAGATTAACATCCCACGTATTTGTGACTGTGGACTTAACAAGAGGACAGCCCCTTGCCAAACATAGAAAGAATTTGATTAAAAGTCGAATGCAGATGGCATGATTAAAAAGGACTGTACATTTTCCTACTAGGACAAAAGGCTCTGACATTATTAATATACTTGAAGAGACTTTAGAGTTTAAATGTATTTTAAAGAGAAAAGAAACCAAGTAGATTACCTACTTGGACCAAATGCAGGGTTCACCAGATAACGAAGAAGAAGATTCCCAAAGTAATGATTTGTTCCACCATCACTCTATCTGGACAGGTTGCAAAAAAAGGAAGGGAAGTAGTAAGACATCATCTAATTTAGAAACACCATACTTTTCATCCAAGATGGCCGTTCTTTTTCACCTGTAAACGACATTGTAAAAAATAATTATTTTTTAGCAAAGAACAAAACAAGACAACATGAAAGTATGTTGTTTGCATATTCCTAGAAGAAATAATGAATGAAACTACCACGTAACGGGTGAGTCTGCTAAATTCATGTGAATTATAGTGGCCATTTTTTTCTGCAGTTTCTTTTATATTGTTAACCCAAATCTCAATCACAATAAATACCAATTAATAAGCACTGGTTTTTTTTTTATCATTCATTGTGAAGTAATTGTTTACATAAATTACCAAAATGCCAAAACGCATAACAGAAGTTTATATAAAAAAACTTCGTTTTCAGAGTAGTGAAGTTAAGATTAGACAACTTTTATAATTGATGCGCTATTGATAAATAATTTTTATCAACAAATCAATGAAGATACATAATTAATTAAGCCGTAGGCTTATTGTTAATAAAATAATAAAAAAATTAATTATTTAAACTCTTAAATAATTAATGCGCAACATAAGGGAAAAAAATGAGAAAATCACTTGCCGAGAGTAGCAAAGTTTCACTCCCTTTACAGTTCGCTTCAAGGCCTTAGAGTATTCCTCCTGGAATGATGAGGAAATGCAGTTAACACTGGCTGTGAAAACATAAACAGCTCTTTTCTGTACATAATTTTCTCATGTTGCAATACGGAGGAGAAATACTTCGTTGAGAGTGGAAAGACGTTAAATAAATTTATGATATTGAGTAAAAGGCGCCCGGCCAGAGAGAAAAACGCGTATGTACTGAAAAACTGGCGGAAAACAAAAGAGAAAAGCCTCACACCGTCCGCCAACTAAGCCTGTTATCATTCGACAGGCCAATCAGAGGTTGGAGGCTTAAAAACAAAGAGAACTTAATTGAATTGTAATAAGACTTTTTAATTAACTAATTTTTAACAAGAAAATATAATAAATTACGCTTCGGGGTAAACATTAATAATAGTATCAAACTGATATAATTTGATTTTTTTGATAAACCCTTAGAAAAATAAATCTTTCATAATGAAAATTATATTGAGTTTTGTTACAAAGGATTAATAGAAATGTCTCTTTACATTATTGAAGTAATTAAAATAAAAGTGCTTACTTTTAAGACACAAAATAAATTATTTAAATACCATCACTGTTAAAACTCATCGTAAAAAAACAAATAAATAAAATGTTTAAAAAAATTAAATAATGCATAATCCTAAGGATAATGTATATAAATTATAGATAATTATTGGAGATCTTCCTTCTTAAAAACGTTTAATTAAAAAGTAGTAGCTCCGCCGATATACATTCGAGGAAGCGTACACAGAATCTAATCTAATTACCCTCGGTCCATCATTAGGGGCCTTCACACGTACGCTCAAGAGTCGACGATTGAGCGGGACACTCAAATCTACGCTCAAAAGCGTCAGTGTAAATGCGGTTCAGCTTGGAGGTTTGAACGGGGCTGATGCATCATCAGCGCCGAAGTTTTGATCGCACTCCAATTGAAGGTCAGGAGCGACAATGTAATTCACAGTTTTATGTGAGGGTTGGATTGGAATCAAAAGTGGGGTTAGTCGTCGACGCCGAGTTGTTCATTACGTTCTTATACTGTCGATCTGCTTCTGTTCGCTACTGTTCTCAAAAGGTTTTCGTAATCTGGATCAAATTACCTGTTTTTATTTTTGTCTGTAGTTATTATTTAGTATGGCAGACAGCAGAAGTTGGAGTAAGGAAGTTTTATTAAACTTCATTGAATTGTACGGGGAAATGCCATGCTTGTGGAAAATAAAGTCGAAAGAATATTTGAACAAAAATTTAAAAAATGAAGGATACGATAAGCTTGCGGAATTCTGTAGGCCCATATTTCCCACTGCGAACCGGGATTTTGTTTACAAAAAAATTCAAAGTCTTCGAGGAGCATTCAGAAAGGAGTTTAAGAAAGTTGCTGATTCATGTCGTGAACTTGAGGTCTTCATAGGAACGCCCTGTTGCCAAAAATCTCAGAGCGGCTGTAAGGTGTTGTTCGGCAGAAATGCTAGGTCTCATCACTGTGTCCCTTTTCTTAATTCTTCCCCTTACTAAACTGAGAAGTAGAGACTGGACTACTAGACTATCCATTCTCAGATAATTTCTGAAATCGTCAGGGTAATTTTCTCTGAGTTCTCGAACAAGTGGTTGATCGTTGAAATCTTCCCTGAACCTCTTCACCCAAACACGACGTTTTCTTTCTAATTTCTTCCGTAGGTAGACTACACAACCAGCAGCAGCCACAGAAACAGCTTGTTTATAATGATTATCAACTATTATAGCCATTTTTATTATGTACAGTCACTTGGCGTGGAATGAAAACTTTCCAATATTTGGAAACTTAGTACGCCACTCAGGAATGACGTTAAACTGTAAGTTTACTCTTTACACGTACGTTTTTGAGCGGACGAATACAGCGTCGAGGTTTGCGTGGGGTTAAGATTGTGGCGTCTAAACACGACCCACTCCTGCGTGGCACACTCCTGGCCAACAGTTTTGCGTGCAAGCCAAGACGGGTGTTTAAAAATCTGGCGTGTGAAGTTTTAACCGCACTCAAACCTTGCATCAAGAGTGTCCCGTTCAAGAGTCGACTCTTGAGCGTACGTGTGAAGGCCCCTATTAAGTCACCTCAGGTTAAGGGGGAGAAAAATGCAAATGTGGTTAATCAACATCTGATAAGCCGAGTACATTTTTCTGTACAAGTAACTGTAACTAATATTTTTTATATATAATATATATAACTCCTCCGCCCTTAGAATAATGCTTCCCCTGGGGAGTCGTCTTTTACTTCCTTTATTGTTTGTTTATTTTTATTTACGATTTTAGTTTTTATGCATCTAATTATAAATATTGTTATAATAATGATTAAAATATAAAGGAATAATGTCCATAGACTTAGATTAACATGTACATATGGTACTTTTTTTTTGTCACAAAGTTTG